TATGTACATACGTGTATTGTACTAAGTTTTAAGGCGTGTATGCAAAACGAAAGTATTATTAAAAAAATATGTACGTATATGTATAATACAAGTGCTAAACGGGAAAATGCTAGTTAAAAATCAAAATGGGACAATAAAGACTCGGATAATGGCCAAATAGTAATGGATAATGCTTTAAACTACTCTTATCGATAAAAGAAAATTAGGAAAAGATTTTGGTTTTTTTTTGAAAGGATCCTAGTATATATTTAAATACTCTTTAAATTTTATTTTAATATTTAAAAAGTATAGATATTCGAATACAAATTTGTGCTAAAAAAACCGAAAAATCAATCTTAGGATTTCGGTTTTGCTTCAATTCCTACACTCCGAATTTTCCCTCTCTTTCGTGGATCAAGCTAAGGCTAGGGTTTTCTCTGAATGGCGCGATCCATCTCCATCTCCTTGAAATGTCACTGTAAGTTCCCTTATTATTATTATTTTTTTCAAACACTTTCACTTTTGATTTTCTGAATTCTTCACAGTTCAATGTATTTATTGATTATTATTTCAAAATCGAGACACACTCATAGATACGTATTCGTAGTTACATATTAGAATGTATGTACATATGTTATGCTTTGCTTTTAGACTTTCCGTTTGGTTTCCGAGAAAATAGAATAGAAAGTGAAGTATGAAGCGGGTTTTGTGTGGCGTGAAGGTTGTGTGTTGCTTTGTTTTTCCACATTTAATTTAAGATATCACTAAATTATGATAGAATTGTGGTGGAATTTGTATTTCCTTCACGTTTACATGTATTTTGTATCTAGCTTTTACATCTGAATTTTGATATGAAACTAATCATGGCAGCAAGTGCTTTGTAATATTTGGAATGATATTTGTTTTACTTGTGAAACATTTTCAGTTTTTTTTTTTTATAAGGTTGAAGCGGTTATAGTAAGTAGCACCTATAAAAGCATTGTTCGACTCTCTGTTGCACATGATGAATTAAGTAGGATGATGAGTTGGGTTGTCAAATGAGTTTAAGGCTTTTAATAATGTTATTGAATGATGAAACCATATTGGAGGATATATGAGTTGGAGACTAATTAAACTGGGATTGGGCAGTTTGATGCTCATGCGAACGTAGATCAAACAAGTAGTCATTGAGGATGGATGATGATGGTGACATTGATATTTTTTTCTCCAATTGGAACAACAAGAATCGAACTGATCGCCTTTTTATTGTCTCTTGCCTTATCGCTGCTCTAATTGGAATTTTGACTATAGCCTACATGTGGATTGCCATAGTAGCGTGTCCAATGAAACAGGTGATATTTGTGATTTAGGTCTATTCAGAAGGTTGACTCTATCCCCTCTTCATGTCTGGTGGATTTTTGAGCTCCATTAATGAGATGGCATATTCAGTATGAGCAACTGTTAGGAGTCAGAGCAACAAGTCCAAGCATACGCTATGAATAAAAATTTTACAAGTATAGCCGTACGGCTATACGCGGCTATACTATTTAAATGCAATATTAGGAGTCAGAGCGACAAGTCCAAGCATGGAAATGAACCCTCTGTTGACACGGGAAATAGTGGTAGTACTGGGGGTATGTCCACAGAAAGCACAGCTGATACTCATCAAGCTGTTAATCTCTCCTCAGTTGATTTCAATGGAGTTTGGTGAACCTATTCCTCTATTATTATTTCGGACGTATCATAAATTGTTGCTTGATTGTTGCATGTGCTTGTGTTTCATGTAGGTTTTTGAGCTGACCTCAACACAAGGACCGGAGGTGGGTCTATATTTATTCAGAAAGGTGCCGCACCATAGAAAAGCAAAACTTTGTGTCTCCTCCTCCAGTTGCTATTCTACCTGCCGGAATAGGGAATGATCTGGCTAGATAGTTTTCTACTAATCTTCTGCTTGATGATGGCTGGTTTGTAGATAATGCTGTAAATTGAGAGAGGCAAGTGCATAGGGTTGCAAGACTAAGAAAGAAACTGTGTCTGTATAGTGCAGCGGCCAACGGCTTTATTTTTAAGCCATCAATATAGTTCTTAAGTCTCTTGAAGAATCGTTCAGCTTTGGAAATTTCCAAGCTCCCTACCAAAGCATCACATCTTTCTCAGTGTATTAAAAACACTTCCAATAACAGTTTTTACTGTCCTGGCAGAAGTGGCCCTAATAGACATTATCTAATAATGAAAACAAAGGCACCTGTAGAAGATTTGTTTGACGAGCAAACAAAAACGATGTAATGTTAAGTAACCTAGTAAGAGGATATCAGAATTTCACATTTCTGATGTCTTGCACATGATAGGAATAAAACATCGTTGTGGACTTGTGAAGAATCATGTGTAGGAGGAGTAGCCAAAACACCTCCTGATGGAAAATAAACCTCTTCTAGCCGGCAATGACTCAGGTTTATCCTCAGATTTATTGTGAGGAAAGTGCCTATGAAAGGCATTCACTGCTCCTGTCACCCCATCTTTGCCATCCATGGCCTTGGCAATTTCAACAGCACGCTCTTTAACCTTTCAACCGAAAATAGTTATTTCTTTGTTAATTTAATCTATTCAGGTCCACGCAAGGGATTGAAGAAAATAACCCGAGAGTTGTGACAAGTATTTGCATGTTGAAATTGATTACAAAACAATGTCAACTTCAATTAAATCAGCACGTATGCATGTGTGATAAGTTTACACTCAAGAAATGGCAAATTATATGTAAATCACTTGGAAGTTTGAAAAGAAAATGGTAAATATCTTTGGATCTAACATGAAGCGTATGGCATCGACCAACTTTTCAAGCGAGAATTCATCGGTGCAGGACCTACTCCTATGGCATGCACCCTCTGCCCCCAAAATGGCTGGTCCCCAAAGAATGGTACAATTGTGGTTGGACACTAAAAAGAACAGAGAATATGAGCCAAAAATGAGTAACTGGATCATTTACAAATGTAAGACTCCCCAAGAATATAGCATTATCGGTTACCGCAGCTTTCAGACCAGCAGCAGTTGTCCCAGCAACCCCATGATGCACCTAAGAAATATTTTCAAATCCAGTGAGAAACCAGGAGTAGCCTAGTTATCCAATAGGGGAACAAAACAACAAAACAACAAAAAGGTGCATCAAGTTCATGTGACGTTCTGAACACCAGTGCAGTGAAATCCCAACCAAATTAAAAAGAATTAAAAGGGTTGGAATAGCCAATCATGGGGGCAATTGTCCACTAAATACACAGAATCACTTGGTTATGCCACTGAGAAGAGAAATATATGAAGGCTTTCAGATGTAAAGAAGCATAAGAATACAATGTGCTTGAAAGTAATCTTTTTTTAAGAATCAAGACTTACAATTACCAAGGCCACCCCAGCCTCGGTTGATGACGCCTCTCTGTCCAGTTATTTCCAGAGCTTGAAGAATAATATTGGTCATGTTCTCTGGTTCTTCAAGAGGCTAATACAATACAGATAAAAAAAATTTAGCAAGCAAGACAATTTAGCATTTCAATCAAATGCACAATCAAGTAACCTTAACTATGCAATTCAGAGGTATACTCTGCATGTATTAGACATGCCTCAGTCAAATTAGATATTGAACGACGAACAACCAAAGGGTCGATTTGTCATCTGTCATGAATAGACCTCCACAACCTGTTCGTTGGGGACCAACATGAAGGTGGTCACTCTTTGGAGATTGTGGCTTTGGTTGATTGTTTTAATTGGGAAGGAACAAGTAATTTTTCTAGGGTAAGGACAAACAAAGCTACTCTGGGATAGAACTGGGAAAATAATATTAAACATGAATAGAGAAAGCTGCAACAAACTCACAAGGCTATCAAATCCAATATGGACAGGCTGTTCACCAGCTTCAAGCCACTCCGCAAGTGAATCTGGGGGTTCATAATTTGAAGCAAGGTCAAGAAAACAAAAAACATCAACATCAACCTTCGGTCCCCAATCTGCCAAACAAGTAAAACGTAGAGCATATCAGCAAATAATCAGCATACTGTATTCTCATTTGGTCAAGCTGGTCTATTTCTACCACATCAAGTCATATTCCTGAGGCTTCTGCAATATTATCAGCATACTATTGCTAGAACAAGAAGAAGCCAATGTAATAAGATATGCTTAATAATCCAAAACCACCATGAGGATTCTGAAATGACCATGTATGATACGTTTCCTTTGTATGATACGTCTTCTTTTGTATGATACGTTTCCATTATAGCCGCAAGGCTCGACTCTATAAATAGAAATTATAAACGTACAGCCGCACGGCTATACTTTCTACATTCATTCGAATATTTTAACAGTACAGCCGAACGGCTATACCCTTTAAATATATTCCAACGAACACGAAGCTTGCACTCGCAGAGAACGGAACTTTCTCTCGCAGTCACTGCTTCTTCCTCCGAGTTCGGCACCGAAAAAAGACCCAACCCGCCTAGGCGCCCGCCTAGCTACTACCTAGCCTCCTAGCCACCGCCTAGCCGCCTAACAGCCTAGCGACCGCCTAGCGACCGCCTAGCCGCCTAGCGCCCTCCTAGCCACCGCCTAGCCGCCTAGCGGCCACCTAGCCACCGCCTAGCAGCCTAGCCGCCCGCCTAGGCCGACTTTTCGAACACTACGATTGACTGGAAGTCTAAAAGCAAATTTGAGATTGGGAAGCCGAAGCAGTGATGCACCTCACTGCCTGTGTTTTAGGTGGAGACTGTGAGTACAATTTTTGTTTGCCGCATTCCTCGTAATACTGATTCACTATTTCAGAGTAGTCGAAATCCGTCTTTCTGCATTTTGGTAGGGGAGAGAGAGAGAGAGAGAGAGAGCATCTTGACCTTTTATTTTCAAGAATTTGCTTGCCAATTCATACATGTACTGTTAAACTGGCATTATCTGCTTTTAGGTTACGCTTTTATGACATTTTAGGCACATTGAGCACTGCTACTCTTGAATTATGTTCTCTATGTATAACGTATGTTGGACTTGGAGGCGCTAATTGTACAGTATGAATGGCCAATATAGATACGAGCCTCCATTCGAGCTCTATTTTCAGATTGAGAATGCTTGTACAGAGAATTAACGAAATTCAGGTCAGTGACTCACTGTTGTCTTTGATCTTTCTCTTGTAGGTCATGAATTCAAATCTGTTACTCTCTTTATTGATATTTGTTTGTGTTGAACTTGAAGGCTAAGTTTTTCTAATGCAGTTGGACAAATTAAGGTCTGAATTCAGATCCGGGCTAGACGCATTGACAAGGTTTGTTTTTGAAAGAACAAGGCCGAAGCAAGTTGGGGCAACTATGATGACGGGTCCCGCACCATATCCTCTTCATGGCAGGTTTATGTACTCCTTGAGCTCTCTTATTGGGCAGTATTTTGCAACGGGCTCTAAATTATTAGTTTTTATCCATGATTTTCCTTGTGTATAAAAGTTTAACAGAATCTTAATTTCTAACCGGAAAAAGTTGGAAGTAGTGAATATGTAATAAACGATTGACCAACCAACTGGAATTAGATGTGTGCTATATAAATTTTTGTTTTGGTTAGCTTCTTTGTGCTGTTTCATTGAGGTTACATAAATAATATATGTTGCCCTGTGTCTTATCTGAAGAGAGTAGATGTTGAAGTGGATGTTCTGTTTTCATTTTAAACAACAACAATGGAGAATACAATAATAAAATAACCCTTTTGGATCTCAGGCTTCATACGGAATAGAGGGTGAATAAGAAACTGACTCTGGAACAACTCTGATTACAAATTTCTTAGGCATCATGTGATTGTGTTAATCTTACTCTGCAGAGTGTCGAAGAAGATGGGTGTCTGAACTGCTTGAGGTGTATTAAGTCCGCTTTTCACCGGGCCAAAAATCCCGAAGAAAAAGATAAGAATCTTGTTTCTTGCCTCATATATAATTGAATTCTTTGTGATAACAAATAGTTTGTTGCAGTATATATGGATATGTATATCTTATTAGCTCATCTCTTGTATACTGGTCTTATTCGTTTAAATTGGGTACTCAAGCAGGATTGTAAAAGGAATGCATATATGGAGGCAGAGTTGCAATGTTCAAATGCTATACAAAGCATGGAAAGGAAGCTGGGAGTAGCTTGCCATGCTAGTGATGCTAATACCATCTGGCTGCTATTTTTTTGGGTGCTTACATCAGATTCGAACTTAAGACCCATCCCTTGTACCTACCTATCCCAATGCCAGTTGAGCTAAAGATCTTAGGCATTATGTAAAAAATCAGTTATCAGAAATAGAACCCTATGGAAATCATTGAAAATGTTTAGGGATGAGGAAGAATCCTTATTTTGCAAATGTTTGCTTTTCTTTTCAATATATGTATCTATCAATGATGTGGTACTTGACTATTACACATTCTTTGCAGACTGCCAAATCGAAAGTAGATAGTTATGATGCTGAAATATCATCGATGAAGCTTGAAATCAAGGACTTTAAGTAAAAAATTAGAAAGGTGTAAAATACAAGAAAGGTTTAAAATCGCTGAAAAACAAGTCACAAGAGCGACTGATATTGCCGATATAAAGCATGAGCTCAAGCGGATGTTGCTCAAAAGGAAACGAGTGAGATGCAGAAGTTACTGGAAATGGAAAGATTGGCCCAAATTGAGAGGGCTGAGAGGCATATTGGAAGTTTGCCAAGAGAAAAAAGAAACTTAGATGATGAGTTAGAGAGAGAAAAAAATGAACAAACGAACAAATACATACATACCTTAACTGGTTCACATGAAATGAAAGAGGATCTCTAGGCTCTCTTCTATAACTTCTATGTTCAATCAATCAGGCATGTGGCTTCCACCCTACTTTCTTACTCTTCTTCTACCCCCCATGTGAACTTTTCAGAACGCACCCACTGGGTGGAGTGGGCTTTCTACTTTTAACTTTTGCTTTTGGAAGAAGCAGATTCAGACTTTCAGAACAACCAAAGGGTCGATTTGTCATCTGTCATGAATAGACCTCCACAACCTGTTCGTTGGGGACCAACATGAAGGTGGTCACTCTTCGGAGATTGTGGCTTTGGTTGATTGTTTTAATTGGGAAGGAACAAGTAATTTTTCTGGGGTAAGGACAAACAAGGCTACTCTGGGATAGAAATGGGAAAATAATATTAAACATGAATAGAGAAAGCTGCAACAGACTCACAAGGCTATCAAATCCAATATAGAAAGGATGTTCACCAGCTTCAAGCCACTCCGCAAGTGAATGGGGGGGTTCATAATTTGAAGCAAGGTCAAGAAAACAAAAAACAACAAGAAGTAAAACGTAGAGCATATCAGCAAATAATCAGCATACTATTGCTACCACATCAAATCATATTCCTGAGGCTTCTGCAATATTATCAGCATACTATTGCTAGAACAAGAAGAAGCCCATGTAATAAGATATGCTTAATAGTCCCAAACCACCATGAGGATTCTGAAATGACCATGTATGATACGTTTCCTTTGTATGATACGTCTTCTTTTGTATGATATGTTTCCATTATAGCCGCAGGGTTCGACTCTATAAATAGACATTATAAACGTACAGCCGCACGGCTATACTTTCTACTTACATTCGAATATTTTAACAGTACAGCCGTACGGCTATACTCTTCAAATATATTCGAACGAACACGAAGCTTGCACTCGCAGAGAAACGGAACTTTCTCTCGCAGTCACTGCTTCGCCCGTCTAGCCACTACCTAGCCGCCTAGCCACCGCCTAGCCGCCTATCGCCCGCCTAGTCACCGCCTAGCCGCCTAGCCGCCTAGCGCCCGCCTAGCCGCCTAGCCTCCCGCCTAGGCCGACTTTTCGAACACTGCGATTGACTGAAAGTCTGAAACCCGAAATTGAAAAAACTTAGCTGCAAATTTGAGATTGGGAAGCCGAAGCAGTGAAGCACAAGTCAGGTCCATAGAAGAAGAGATCATGAAACTCTTAATTCATCTAATTCCATTCCTCTCCCTGTTTCGCGCCTCATATTCTTCTCTCTTCGCACTAACGACATGGCGCAGAAGAAAAAAAATACAAAATTTGCTGACTTGGTGTCTGTCTTCTGTGGAAGGAAATGATGAAGTTGTCCTATCATGGAGTTTCTATGGTCTTGCCAATAACAAGGTTCTGTGAATGGCATGCGTTAGGCTACTTGAATTCAAATTGATTCTGAAGTTTAAACATTTCTGTGAATGGCATGCGTTTAGCTTCTCTTGCTTTGCTTATTCTTTAATATGCAAATGGGATTTATGCTTGTACCTCCTGCCTGTGTTTTAGGTGGAGAATGTTAGTACAATTTTTGTTTGCCGCATTCCTCGTAACTAAAGCGCCTCAAGTGACTTTGATTGTATTGTTAATTCAGCCCAAAGTTCGTAGAATCTATGTATTGCCACTGGGAAAAAAAAAATGATTATAGCCGTGCGGCTGTACCAATAAAATATTCGAAAATATTTGCAGCATATAGCCGTGCGGCTACTTCGTTTTAAAAATTGGGAAAGCAAGGTATAGCCAAGCGGCTATACTATTTCTTTTTAAAAATGTTAAAAACCGAGTATAGCCGACCGGCTAGTCTATTTCTTTTAATAAAACTTAAAAAACCACGTATAGCCATGATAAGAGTTTCCTTGTGTATAAAAGTTTAACAGAATCTTAGTTTCTAACTGGAAAAAAGTGGAAGTAGTGAATATGTAATAAACGATTGACCAACCAACTGGAATATGTGTGCTATATAAATTTTTGTCTTGGTTAGCTTCTTTGTGCTGTTTCATTGAGGTTAGTTACATAATTTATGTTGCCCCGTGTCTTATCTGGAGAGAGTAGATGTTGAAGTGGATGTTCTGTTTTCATTTTAAACTACAACAACGGAGAATAAAAAAATAAAATGACCCTTTTGGATCTCAAACTTCATACGGAATAGAGGGTGAATAAGAAACCGACTCTGGAACAACTCTGATTACAAATTTCTTAGGCATCATGTGATTGTGTTAATCTTACTCTGCAGAGTGTTGAAGAAGATGGGTATCTGAACAGCATATGATTATGCTCTTGAGGTGTATAAGCTGGAATGGGTGCAGGACCTACTCCTATGGCATGCACCCTCTGCCCCCAAAATGGCTGGTCCCCAAAGAATGGTACAATTGTGGTTGGACACTAAAAAGAACAGAGAATATGAGCCAAAAATGGTAACTGGATCATTTACAAATGTAAGACTCCCCAAGAATATAGCATTATCGGTTACCGCAGCTTTCAGACCAGCAGCAGTTGTCCCAGCAACCCCATGATGCAACTAAGAAATTTTTTCAAATCCAGTGAGAAACCAGGAGTAGCCTAGTTATCCAATAGGGGAACAAAACAACAAAACAACAAAAAGGTGCATCAAGTTCATGTGACGTTCTGAAATGACCATGTATGATACGTTTCCTTTGTATGATACGTTTCCATTATAGCCACAAGGCTCGACTCTATAAATAGAAATTATAACCGTACCGCCGCACGGCTATACTTTCAAATTACATTCGAATATTTTAAAGGTACAGCCGATCGGCTATACTCTTTAAATATATTCGAACGAACACGAAGCTTGCACTCGCAGAGAACGGAACTCTCTCTCGCAGTCACTGCTTCTTCCTCCGAGTTCGGCACCGAAAAAAGACCCAACCCGCCTAGGCGCCCGCCTAGCTACTACCTAGCCTCCTAGCCACCGCCTAGCCGCCTAACAGCCTAGCGACCGCCTAGAGACCGCCTAGCCGCCTAGCGCCCGCCTAGCCGCCTAGCGCCCTCCTAGCCACCGCCTAGCCGCCTAGCGGCCACCTAGCCACCGCCCAGCAGCCTAGCCGCCCGCCTAGGCCGACTTTTCGAACACTGCGATTGACTGGAAGTCTAAAAGGAAATTTGAGATTGGGAAGCCGAAGCAGTGATGCACCTCACTGCCTGTGTTTTAGGTGGAGAATGTGAGTACAATTTTTGTTTGCCGCATTCCTCGTAATACTGATTCACTATTTCAGAGTAGTCGAAATCCGTCTTTCTGCATTTTGGTTGGGGAGAGAAAGAGAGAGAGAGTGCATCTTGACCTTTTATTTTCAAGAATTTGCTTGCCAATTCATACATGTACTGTTAAACTGGCATTATCTGCTTTTAGGTTACGCTTGTTAGCTATTTATGACATTCTAGGCACATTGAGCACTGCTACTCTTGAATTATGTTATCTCTGTATACCGTATGTTCCATTCGAGCTCTATTTTCAGATAGAGAATGCTTGTACGGCCGTTGAACAACAAACATGATCTACAGAGAATTAACGAAATTCAGGTCAGTGACTCACTGTTGTCTTTGATCTTTCTCTTGTAGGTCATGAATTCAAATCTGTTACTCTCTTTATTGATATTTGTTTGTGTTGAACTTGAAGGCTAAGTTTTTCTAATGCAGTTGGACAAATTAAGGTCTGAATTCAGATCCGGGCTAGACGCATTGACACGGTTTGTTTTTGAAAGAACAAGTTGGGGCAACTATGATGACTCGTCCCGCACCATATCCTCTTCATGGCAGGTTTATGTTCTCCTTGAGCTCTCTTATTGGGTGGATTTTGCAACGGGCTCTAAATTATTAGTTTTTATCCATGATTTTCCTTGTGTATAAAAGTTTAACAGAATCTTAATTTCTAACCGGAAAAAGTTGGAAGTAGTGAATATGTAATAAACGATTGACCAACCAACTGGAATTAGATGTGTGCTATATAAATTTTTGTCTTGGTTAGCTTCTTTGTGCTGTTTCATTGAGGTTACATAAATAATATATGTTGCCCTGTGTCTTATCTGAAGAGAGTAGATGTTGAAGTGGATGTTCTGTTTTCATTTTAAACTACAACAACGGAGAATACAATAATAAAATAACCCTTTTGGATCTCAGGCTTCATACGGAATAGAGGGTGAATAAGAAACTGACTCTGGAACAACTCTGATTACAAATTTCTTAGGCATCATGTGATTTTGTTAATCTTACTCTGCAGAGTGTCGAAGAAGATGGGTGTTTGAACAGCATATGATTATGCTCTTGAGGTGTATTAAGTCTGCTTTTCATCGGGCCAAAAATCCCGAAGAAAAATATAAGAATCTTGTTCTTGCCTCATATATAATTGAATTCTTTGTGATAACAAATAGTTTGTTGCAGTATATATGGATGTGTATATCTGATTATCCACAAGCTCATAGGCATTATGTAAAAACTCAGTTATCGGACTATGGAAATCATTGAAAATGTTTAGGGATGAAGAAGAATCCTTATTTTGCAAATGTTTTCTTTTCTTTTCAATATATGTATCTATCAATGATGTGGTACTTGACTATTACACATTCTTTGCAGACTGCCAAATTGAAAGTAGATAGTTATGATGCTGAAATATCATTGATGAAGCTTGAAATCACGGACTTAAGTCACAAATTAGAAGCTGCAAATGCACAGGCCCACTCATTTGAGAGAGAAAAAAAGACTTGAGCAAGTCCAAGAAAGGTGTAAAATCGCTGAAAAATGAGTCACAAGAGCGACTGATATTTGCCGAGATAAAGCACGAGCTCGAGCGGATGTTGCTCAAAAGGAAACTAGTGAGATGCAGAAGTTATTGGAAAATGGAAAGATTGGCCCAAATTGAGAGGGCTGGGAGGCATATTGGAAGTTTGCCAAGGGAAAAAAGAAAACTTAGATGATGAGTTAGAGAGAATTCGTGTATCAGAGATGGGGGCTCATTCGAAAGTTGCTCTTCTGGAGGCAAGAGTTGACGAAAGAGAGAAGGAAACAGAATCACTATTAAAATCAAATAATGAGCAGAGCAGAGAACTAGTCCAGTACTGTCGTCCTTCAAGGCCTTCTGGACAGTGAGCATGCAGCACATGCAGATGCAAACAATAGGGCAGACTCCCTGACTCTTCAGCTACAAGCTGCACAGGCAAAACTTGATTCACTCCAGCAAGAGTTGACTTCTGTTGAGCTGAATGAAACAGCAATGCATAGCAAGCTAAAGACTGCTTCCCACGGGGAAACGCTCAAGGGTAGATGACTATGAAATGGGCATGGTTCAAGACATGGAGATGAGTGACCGGATTGTAAGAGTAAATAAGAGGTCTAGAAGTACTACGAGCCCTCTACAAGCACGAGAAAAACTTTCCTGGCACAGGGATGCCAGGTAAGCAATCCAGCTAAGTATCCCAGTCCAATGATTTTTCAACAGCTGTCATCCATTAAAATTAAAAATAAATAAATAAATTTGGTTGCCTCTGCTCCTCATACTATGTGAACCTAGCAACTCTACTTTTAACACTTAACCAAAAACAAAAACAAAAAAATTTCTTCAGGCCAACATTCAAGCCCTTCTCGTCCCGGTGTCAAATTCGACACCGCCATCCTCCATCCTGTATGTCCCCATCCCCTCCTCCATCGTTGGTGTTATCTATCTCTTATCATTTCTGTCTCATCTCTCCCTCTCATTCTCTCTCTTCACGCCAACAACAGTGGCAGCGGCGGTGAGCTTGCCAAACTCCAAACTTGAGGTGACTGACATCAAATTTCGAGGCCAATCTCTCCCTCTCTATCTCTTCTTGGCGGCCTCCGATGTGGCTGACGCAAAGTGAGAGACAGATAGGGAGAGAGGAGAGTAAGTCAGAACAGAGAGAGATAGGGGGTTTTGGGTTGCACTGTGGGAGAGGGAGAGGGGCTGCGCAAAAAGAGAGGGAAGGAGAGGGAGATATGAGAGAGGGGATTTCAGTTGCTGGGTTCGCATAGGATGAGGAGCAACCAAATTTTTTTTTCTTTTCCAATTTTAATGGGTGACAACTGTCTAGAGATAATTGGAAGGGGATACTTAGCTGGATTGCTTACGCTGGCATTCCCATGCCAGGAAAGTTTTTCTCCTAAAGCACACCCACAGCCACACTCAATCAGAAGATGGTGGTTCAGTATAGCCGGGCGGCTATACTATTTTTTAAAAATAAAAAATAAAAAACCGAGTATATCCAATCGGCTATACTATTTTTTAATTAAAAAAAAGAGACCCCATCGATGAGTGCTCAAGTGTCAAAATATGTATAGCCGCACGACTATACTATTTTAAAAATTATAAAAACCGAGTATTGTTGCGTGGATATACTATTTATTTAAAAAAAAAAGACCCCCATCTGTAAATGTATGGATTTTGTAATTTTCTTTTGGCTTCCCTGACAACTTTGTAATAGGATTTTTTATTGTTTTTTATCAAGCTTAAGTTTAGATTAAGAATAGCTTCTCTAGGTATCCTTAGCTAACAACTATCCTATGGAGGTTCAAGCATATTGACAGAGGTAAATTGTGCATTGCATAACATTGCATTAAACTGTTTTCACAAAATGATGACTAGTCATCTGTTTCTCATATGACTAGTCATCCTTGCTCTGTAGGATTTCCAGCTGGATAACCAACTTTTTTTTTCATATTCTCCTTTCTCTCTCTACTGCCATGTGGCATTTTGACCTAAGGGAATTTTTGTGTGTATAGGCCAAAGAATTCCTCTTTTGGCAGCCATCTCTTTTGTGTGGAAATTTTGGAAAGTTTTGCTTGCCATCTTTCCCTTCCACTTCCTCAAGAGAGAACCATATTTTCATCTATGAGTTTTTCCAAATTGATTTATTTTTGAAATACGAATCTAAATCTAGCTACTTAAAACACTCTCTCATTTATATCTACGTCAGATTCATGATTGATTTCTTCAAGAGTATGGTTTCTTGAAGAAATTGGTCATTCTCCTTTGAATCCAAATTTTGGTTTCTGTCTGAGTTGGAGCTTGCAAGCTAGTGCCATGGGATGAAATAGCTGGAGAAGGAGCTGCCATTGCCATGAAGAACTGAGCTTCAAGTTTTGCTAAGTTGGACAAGAAGATTGCACAAAGGAGGTATAACTCATCTTCCTAAATAGATATAAGTTTTCTTGAGCTTGCTTGTGTTCCTTTGTAAGAATCTTTTTCTACTTAGTGGATTGCCTGGTCAGTTGATGACCCCCAGTTTTTCCCAATTGGTGGGTTTCTAGGTGAACAATTTCTATTTTGCATCTCTGTAATTTTTCTAAGTTGGTGTTCTTGGTGGTTGACTAGTCATCTTTATCAGCTGTTTGGTGTTTGCTTGATTATGATGATTTCACACACTTTCCCCATAGTTCTTGCAAGCACAGGGGATGCCTAAATTGACGGGTCTTTCTGAGTGCGTAGGTTGTCACTAGTAATCTTCTAGGGTTGCAGGTACTTTGTGGCATGCTCTGTGTGTATTCTTGATTGTAGTTGTTCATGACTAACAGTTGACTAGTCATAAGTGTTTTTGATCAAGGTCTAAAGTGTGTGAAGTTTGTTGCGTCTTGTTTGAGTCATAAATTTTACCCTTTGTCACCTAAGTACCAATTTCACCATCGATGAACTACCCACGTGTTTTAAAATACGTATAGCCATGGGGCTATACTATTTTCATAACAAAAACCATAAAAAATTGAGTATAGCCGCCAGACTATACTATTTATTTTTTTAAAAAACCAACCTATCGATTACCTGTCAAAATTCGTATAGTCGCGCGGCTATATTATTTTTATATTCAAAAAATAAGAAAAAAAACATAATATCGCCCCGCGGCTATACTATTTATATATCTAAAAAGACTCGCCTTGTGATTAGGCTCTCACGTATCAAATTAAGTACAGTCGTGCAACTATATGATTTTTTTTTAAATCATAAAAAAACATAGTAAAGCCACGCAGCTATAATATTTATATATCTAAAGAAAGGACTTGCCTTGCGATTAGGCTCCCACGTGTCAAATAACGTATAGCCACGCGGCTATACGATTTAAAAAAATAAAATCAGAAAAAATAGAGTAAAGCCGCGCGGCTATAATATTTATATATCTAAAGGAAGGATTTTTCTTGCGATTGGGCGGCCATGTGTCAAAATAAGTATCGCCTCTCGGCTATACTATTTTTTTTAAAACATTTTAAAAAATTGAATATAGCCGCGGGGCTATACGTTTTTTTTTATTTTAAAAAGGTGTCAAAATAAGTATCGATGCGCGGTTATACTATTTTTTTAAAAAAAAACTAGTGGTTAAATACATTAGGTATAGCCGCACGGCTATATTAGTTAATAAAAAAAAATAAAAGAAAAGGGACCGTCCTAGTTGCAATATTTTATACTTTATAGATATTAAAATGTAAGTTTCAACATATTCAAAGTAGATATTGAAGAGCTTTTAAGACGTGTACAGAACATGGATGTATTATTGAAAAATACATACGTACGTGTAGAATAGAGTATTAAACATAAAGTGTTAAATTCTTTATACAAGTAATAACTCCGTCAGAATAAAAAATAAAAAATGGACAATAGAGACTCGGGTAATAACTCTGCAACCTCTCTCACCAATGTCTTGCACCAAGGGGTAATATTGTGAGAGAGATGGCATAAGGGACTTGGTGACACTGCTCTCCATATTCTCTCTTTGCAGTGAGTTCTTGGTGTTGGTTTGTGAAGAACCAACCCAACAAAAGTCAGCTCGAATCTGTCCAAAAAAACAAAGGACACTACTTGCCTCCTTACCGGTAAGGAGATACTACTCCCTTCATGTGAATTGGGTTGACCAAAAATCAGATCGGACCGATTTAGTCTGGTTCTAATTTCGGTTCTTGTAGTGAAAAAACCATACCTGCCCGAATGTGTATTTTTAATTTTTCTAATAAAATAGTTAAGCAAATGCTTAATTTCTAATGAATTGGGTGGAGATAATTCTGGACGAGCTAACTCACAATAAAGATATTGTTTCCCCAATATAGACAGGCTGTTCACCAGCTTCAAGCCACTCCGCAAGTGAATCTGGGGGTTCATAATTTGAAGCAAGGTCAAGAAAACAAAAAACAACAACATCAACCTTCAGTCCCCAATCTGCCAAACAAGTAAAACGTAGAGCATATCAGCAAATAATCAGCATACTGTATTCTCATTTGGTCAAGCTGGTCTATTTCTACCACATCAAATCATATTCCTGAGGCTTCTGCAATATTATCAGCATACTATTGCCAGAACAAGAAAAGCCCATGTAATAAGATATGCTTAATTGTCCCAAACCACCATGAGGATTCTGAAATGACCATGTATGATACGTTTCCTTTGTATGATACGTTTCCATTATAGCCGAAAGGCTCGACTGTATAAATAGAAATTATAAACGTACAGCCGCACGGCTATACTTTCTAATCACATAGTACAGCCGAACGGCTATACTCTTTAAATGTATTCGAACGAACACGAAGCTTGCACTCGCAGAGAAGAGAACTTTCTCTCGCAGTCACTGCTTCGTCCTCCGGGTTCGGCACCCAAAAAGGAACCAACCCACCTACGCGCCCACCTAGCTTCTACCTAGCCGCCTAGCGCCCGCCTAGTCACCGCCTAGTGCCCGCCTAGCGACACCTAGCCACCGCCTAGCCGCCTAGCCACCGCCTAGCAGCCTAGCGCCAGCCTAGCCGCCTAGCCGCCCGCCTAGCCCGACTTTTCGAACACTGCGATTGACTGAAAGTCTGAAACCCGAAATTGAAAAACTTAGCAGCAAATTTGAGATTGGGAAGCCGAAGCAGTGAAGCACAAGTCAGGTCCATAGAAGAAGAGATCATGAGACTCTTAATTCATCTAATTCCATTCCTCTCCCTGTTTCGCGCCTCATATTCTTCTCTCTTCGCACTGACGACATGGCGCAGAAGAAAAAAATACAAAATTTGCTGACTTGGTGTCTGTCTTCTGTGGAAGGAAATGATGAAGTTGTCCTATCATGGAGTTTCTATGGTCTTGCCAATAACAAGGTTCTGTGAATGGCATGCGTTAGGCTACTTGAATTCAAATTGATTCTGAAGTTTAAACATTTCTGTGAATGGCATGCGTTTAGCTTCTCTTGCTTTGCTTATTCTTTAATATGCAAATGGCATTTATGCTTGTACCTCACTGCCTGTGTTTTAGGGGCATAATGTTAGTACACATTTTGTTTGCCGCATTCCTCGTAATAGTGATTCACTATTTCAGAGTAGTCGAAATCCGTCTTTTGCCCTTCAGCTATCACTGTGTTGCTACTCATAACTGTATTAACTATATGAGTCATGACTTGCTGTTTAGTTAATTGGATATTCTTCCTTAACATATGCAGGTTTTTCTGTGTTGAAATGAGACTGAACATAGTGGAATAAATACAAATTTCATTTGAAAAATGAGGTCCAAGTGTTTGGAATTGCAGCAAGATTTTTTTTGAAAGCTTAAATGTCAGGAAGCAAAGTGTTCCTGACGTATAAGCGAAAGCGGCAATCAAGAACAGATCCTGTACAGGGACATGAGTGCCGTAATTCACTTTTGTTGCTCCCGATGATACTTCTTTACACAAACCACCAGACTTGCAAGTTCATTTGATTGATAAGCGTTCATCAGAACATTACAACAGAAATTCTGCAGTGAGATTTTAGAAAGCTGGAACCTGTTCAAATTTTTTAGTTTGTTTCATAAAGATATATGTTGTATGTCAATCATCTTTATGTAGATAATTTAATAATCCATCCTTCCCTATTTTTCCTCTAATAATTTTGTTCTTGAAAAAATACTGAAAAGGAAAAGGGTTTCAAGGGATTACCAGATACCACCAGAATGTGCCCTATTCAACCGACCCTTGAAAGCGTATCTAGTTGAGATGAACATTTAGATTTGGTTCTTTAATTTAGGTTTTTATGAAGATCTTCTCTTAGTTGTCTTAGACCTATAATTTATTTTTAAGGTCATTGCTATATTCTGTCTCGCCTGCCTCTTTTTCTTGCAGGTATGCCATGTATGTTTGTGTGCTGTGTTGGGGGTAACCTGAAGCACTGTGGAAAATGCCTTCAGTCCTATAATCTCCAATGCCTAGATAAGCCCCATAAGGAAAAGAAACACATTGAAGTATCTGGCACAGGACAAATACCAATTAAAACCGTTCCGACAAGTCTTGATGAGGTTCCTTCCCAAAGGGATGCATATGAGAATAAGCCTAGTGGCAAGAAAGTAGGCTCATCTTCAAATGCTAATGCTGGAGCATTGGTTGATGATAATAATGTTGGAGGGAGGTTAGTTTCTCAATTGGTGATGAATTCCGCTATAATTACTGCTGATTTTGTAAGACAAAATCATCAGCAGCAGCAGCAGTATTTGATAGAAAAAGCAGCACTGAATGTGATGGTAGCTCGCCAAGATTGAATACATCAAACTTAGAAGACACTGATTCATTCTCTAGAAATAAGTTAGATAAATTAGGTGGTGATTCAGCTTGTGCGGAACAAGTTGACCACCCCATTGATTACTTTCTGCCAAAGGAATAAAAGAAAAAGGATATGGATGAGTCTAATATGCAAAGGAAATCACTGCCCGTGGAAAATAGCTGCTCATTGATAACCAAATTGAATAATTCTGTTTGTACTAATACCAGTTCTTATGAAGAAACTTCCCCTGAAAACTGCTCACTCAGTAGATCATGAAGCAGATTTGAAGCACTCCAGAGAGGTATGTAATATGAAGCCTATCTTTTGTCAATTTGGAAATAATGTATCTGCCTATGAGCACAAACACAATCATGTGAAATGAGAAATAGAAAATAAGATGCGACATGGAAAATACATTCTCATTTACATGTATTCTATAATAATACATATGTACAAAAACAAGGTCAGAATAAAAGGTGCATCATTGTTAGTGCTTAGTTGCCCTCAAGTGGCTGACTGACTCCACTATTATGTGCATTCTTAACCTGATACTTCATTTCTGTACATGTAATTTGTAATCACCGATCTAATTTCTTTGTTACGGATCATTGATTTTACATATGCTCGTGCTGGATCTGCTGCCGCTGGAACTAAAATGTAGGTTCACATTAACTTCAGAACTTATTGGTTTCTTATATTTTAATTGCTTACTTCATTCATCGGGACAGTTTGATGCATGAAGAAGAACAACTTCATGATGACAAAAAGACAGGCAGTGACGCCTTACAACAGGCTGGAGAAGTACTTGGCCAGTGTGCTCAAAGTGCAATGGATGTTGAAGTTCTTTGCATGGATCATTTAAGAAAAAGTAGTGATACTAGAGACTCCACTTCTGAAGCTGCAACTCTATGTAAACCGGGAAAAACCCATGCATTGATAAGAGATGAAGCTCAAGTTTTATCAAGTGCTGATCCTAAAGCAACAGAAACCCCTCATTTAGGCAGATCACTTCCTTATTTGGACTTGTCTGTTATCCCCACTGGTAGAACTTCATTAATTTCTAGGAATGCATTTGAACCAGTAACATTATCAATTCACATTGTGTTTAACTTACAATACTTTATCTAAAAGAATTCTTACTAGCAGATTCATGTGGCACTGTGGAATGCAATGTTGACTTAAACTTGAGGTCTCAGAAGCAACCTGACCTGGCTGCGCCAAAAACTATGTGGGACTCCTTGGATTCTACTAGCAGAAATAATGCCACTGTATTGCATGAACTGTCTCCTCCAGAAATGTCCGCTGTGTGAATTGAAAGAGTAGAAACTCATGCATCATGGTTACACAAAGATGCATTTGAATGTTTAGAAGTTGGTGACAGCTGCAAAGATGATGATAAAGTTAGTCCTCTATTTTCCAAGGAAATTACACCAAAAAAACAGTGTATGCAGGTGAGATTTGCAAGTCTTGTTGTTTGAAGTTTTGGGGATGATTTGGCTGTCAACTAATCTTATTTTACTTTTCATGTTTGGAATATTGATTCCAGCTATTTTCAGAAGAAAAAACCAGTGACATTTTTCGCTCAGTGACAACACAGCCTGTGGCGGCGGCTTCTATAGCTTCAGGACAAAGAAGAAATTCTTCAGTTGGGAGGCAAAAATAATCAACCAGAACAATAATCTCCTCTGTTACTAGTCTATCCTTATCAGAAAACCCTTTAACTGCAGGATGTGCAACCAATACCTGCTTCAGCGCATTTCCCTTCTAGAACTCTGTCATTGAAACCAGAGAATTTATCCGAGATGCAGCACTCCAATCTTCCTCGAGCCATTTATCGTCAGTATTTGAGACACAAGCTTGTGCATGATAGTATTGCAAGCCGAGCAAGAGCTTTCAATGAAAGGAGTAGTTTTCTTGACAAAATATAAGCCATATAGTACCATGTGGTCTGAAGAGGAGTTGGATTTTCTTTGGATAGTTGTGAGGAGACATGGAAGGGACAATTGGGATGCTATGTTAAGGGATCCAAGATTGCACTTCTCATCATGGAGGGTGGAAGGGACTTAGCTGAGCGGTGGGAAGAGGAACAGTCAAAACTTTTGAGTGGCATATGCGTTCCTCAATTCAAGTACTCGATAGCACAAGGCAGTTCTTTGGACTACCACTACTTTTTGGGTCCAAAAACAGGAATCTGGAAATAAAATACAGCATATGAACCCGGACTTTCATTTGGCAATGTTGACGCGTGTAGAGGAGGTAATGCCTGGAGGAGGCCATTATTCCAGCCGGCTTATGTTTGCAATAATGGCAATGAACACCTCCAGAGGCCTATTAGGTGCACAGAGGACATCTCATTTTGGTTTCCGAAGGGAGAAGTATGATGAGGATGAATTTAGTATTTTAAGTAGAAGTAGGAGTATGGCAAAGGGCAATTTACTATCAACTAATGGCCCCACAACTTGCGTTGGAGCAAAGGGAAACTTGCCCCACTGGCTCAGAGAATGCTTTCCTCTGTATGATCTTTCATGGTTTCACTGGTAGAGTGCATGAATGTTGTTTCATCCTTGAATGACTGAGGCTCTTGGAACTTTTCTAGGCATCTTTGAGTGTTCCTCAATCCTTCCAACTCTGTTGATACCTCTTTCATACTAGACCTCTTTTTCCCATTCAACCTCAAACACCTTGTTGCAAGCTCAGCATTGCTCCAACATGCTCCATCTCTGCATCTCGAACCACTTGAGGATCCAAAATCTGAACAAGTTGGTTTTCCCTTGTCAGTGAAATGAAAGAAGCAACCAGATTTTCCCCGTCATCTTTAGCAAAAGAAAATGGGGTTTTCCCAGTTAATATTTCTACGAGTGACTCCAAAGCTGTAGGTGTCACTTTTATCTGTAAATTTACTTCATCGGAAGTACCTTAAATACATGTATCCAAAAGTTCCTTGTACTTCTGTGGTTAAGTGAGTTTTGTCAAGGGGAACTGATTTTGAAGTCCCAAAGTTGGATACTTTAGCACTGTAGTTATGGTCTCGAAGAATGTTACAAGACTTGAAGATGGGGGATTGAAGCTATATGATACTGCTCCGGCAACTTCACAGGCGATCCTGAAGCAATGTTCCCATGAAAGTGATGGTGTTTCAATGTGCTTCTGCTGGATACGGCTATGCTGTATAAATATAAATTTTAAACGCATCACCACGCTGCTATACTTTTATAAATAGAAATTTTAACGGTAGAGCCGCGCGGCTATACTCTATATAGAAAATTTCCCCGTAAAGCCGGTCGGCTATACTCCATAATAGAAATTATAACTGTATAGCCGCTCGGCTATACTGTATAAATAGATTTTTTTTTCCCAGTAAAGTCGAACGGCTATACTCTCTAAATACAATATATTAATAGTACAGCCACTATGCTGTATAAATAGGAATTTTAAATGTATAGCCGCGCGGCTATACGGTATAAATAGAAATATTACAGTACTCCATAAATAGAAATTATAATGGTATAGCCGCCCGACTATACCTGTTAAATACAATATTTTATAGTGTAGCAGCGCGGCTGTATGCTCTAAATATTTTAAAAGTATATCCGTACTGTTATACTCATTAATATAAAATTATTTTCTTTACATTTTTCTTTGGCCACCTTCTGTTATTTAATATATGTAATTAAGTAATATCTTAGCCTTTTTAATTACTTTAATTATGGTTTCTTTGGTGAAAAAATAGAATATTTTAAAGGATAGCCGCACGGCTAGACCCCATAAATAGAAATTATAGACGTATTGCCACTCGGCCGTACTATCTATATACAATATATAGCCGGTCGGCTATACTGTATACATAGAAATTTTAAAAGTATAGCTGCAAGGCTAGACTCTATAAATAGAAATTTAAATAGTAGAGTCGCACAGTTATAAGCTATAAATAGAAATATAAATGTCACGACCCGATCCGATAATAAAGAATATTCTCGAATCAGGGTGCATGAATTGAAAGAAATAAATAAAAAGACTGAAAAATTGGTTAAAATACGTTACCATTATATTTATAAATAAAATTATAATAATAATCTTACAAGTGTACAAGATATAATAAAAGTTTATCACTCAAAACTAATCCAACTTCTCTGGTTTCGGCTTTGTCTTACCTACTAATTGATTTGAAAAACAAAATAGGTGAGGGATAAGCGAACCACCACTCAGTGAGTAGATTATGTACTATGTCAGTCAAACAATGTCATTTTACACTCTCTAGAAAAATATAATAAAAAGATACACAATCCAAATCATATCACATCATTACTTCATATCTTGGTTATCCTTCACAAATTGTACTCAGTACGTGACCCCTATTGGCCTCACTGTCCTATGTCCCCGTCTGGTACATTTATCCGTCGGATACCCCGTCACTGAAGTTCTCTTGTTCCATAAATAATACATACTTCACAAAAACTCCAAACAATACATATTGTATGAAATATTGCACAAATTAGACATGCTTGACTTGAAAATGGAGAGAAGTTTGCAAATAGATTTTCACATTTATCACAAAATACGAACTTTTAGAACATATTACATAACCCACTCACCATGATAAGTATGAATTATCGCAAGACAAACACACACGCTCTTCATCTTGTTTCTTTTTCTTTCTTCTCTCTCTCTCTCTCTCTCTCTCTCTCTCTCTCTAACACTATTTCATGGTAGAAATCTACCTTAAAGGATTGGAATGAATGATTGAAGTAAGGAAGCATGATACTTATAGGAGAGGCTATGGATGCATCTAAACAATATTTATATATACAATATTTTAAACCATCAAAAGATAAGATAGAAGTAAGGAAATAATATGACTCATCCCCCTTTGGATAATGATATCACAACACCACCACCAAAAGATAAGATAGAAAGATAAGGAAATAATGTGAGTCATCCACCTTTGGCCAATAATATCACAACACCACTTGTTACTAGCATGTAAGGTGGCATGGCAATGATGATTTGATTAAAACCAATTCTAAGTCTCTACACGTGGAAAACAAGAATGGTGTCATCTTTCAACTAAAAGGATAATATCATACTAGGCTTAAGATTTAATAATATATAAGTCCTCACAAAAAATATTTAACTAAGAAAATTCATATTAATAAATAATTAATATGTAGTATGAATAATATATATATATATATATATATCTTTACATTTTCTCACATTACAAGTCTAGCCGTTCGGCTATACTCCGTAAATAGAACTTAAGGGGTATATTTATTTGTTTTTTTTGACCTTGGTATAGCCGCCTGGCTGTACTATTTTTTTTTAAATTGAATTTTAAAAAAAAAGGAACCGCCTAATAGCACTTATTCGGAAGATTTTTATTTTTTATTTTTAAATTTTTTAAAAGAATATAGCCATGCGGCTATACAAAGGGTCTTCATTTCACTTTACACCCTAAAATTGAAATTTTCTCACTTAAACTTCTGGAACTAAAAAGTTATGCCACTATATAATATTTTAATATAATTTTATGTGTATAATACTTGAATTTCGTATATATTATTGAAAATTTTGTAAAAAAATACGTGTATTACACATGAAAAATATGTACATACGTGTATTGTACTAAGTCTTTAAGACGTAAATACGTACATATATGTATAATACAAGTGTTAAACAAGAAAATGCTAAATTCTTTATAAGGGTAATAACTCTCGAAAAGTTAAAAATCAAAAGGAGACAATAGAGACTTCGATAATGGCCAAATAGTAATGAATAATTCTCTAAACTACTCTTATCAATAAAAGAAATCAGGAAAAGATTTTGTTTTTTCAAAAAGGATCCCATTGTTGTAAATGCATGAGTTGGTGGATGGCCACCATACCTCTTAGCATTCACCCTTTCTAATTTTATGTAACCTACACAAAGCTACTCTGGGATAGAACTGGGAAAATAATATTAAACATGAATAGAGAAAGCTGCAACAAACTCACAAGGCTATCAAATCCAATATGGACAGGCTGTTCACCAGCTTCAAGCCACTCCGCAAGTGAATCTGGGGGTTCATAATTTGAAGCAAGGTCAAGAAAACAAAAAACATCAACATCAACCTTCGGTCCCCAATCTGCAAAACAAGTAAACGTAGAGCATATCAGCAAATAATCAGCATACTGTATTCTCATTTGGTCAAGCTGGTCTATTTCTACCACATCAAGTCATATTCCTGAGGCTTCTCCAATATTATCAACATACTATTGCTAGAACAAGAAGAAGCCCATGTAATAAGATATGCTTAATAATCCAAAACCACCATGAGGATTCTGAAATGACCATGTATGATACGTTTCCTTTCGATGTTACGTCTTCTTTTGTATGATACGTTTCCATTATAGCCGCCAGGCTCGACTCTATAAATAGAAATTATAACCGTACAGCCTACTCCTATGGCATGCACCCTCTACCCCCAAAATGGCTGGTCCCCAAAGAATGGTACAATTGTGGTTGGACACTAAAAAGAACAGAGAATATGAGCCAAAAATGAGTAACTGGATCATTTATAAATGTAAGACTCCCCAAGAATATAGCATTATCGGTTACCGCAGCTTTCAGACCAGCAGCAGTATTGTCCCAGCAACCCCATGATGCACCTAAGAAATTTTTTCAAATCCAGTGAGAAACCAGGAGTAGCCTAGTTATCCAATAGGGGAACAAAACAACAAAACAACAAAAAGGTGCATCAAGTTCATGTGACGTTCTGAACACCAGTGCAGTGAAATCCCAACCAAATTAAAAAGAATTAAAAGGGTTGGAATAGCCAATCATGGGGGCAATTGTCCACTAAATACACAGAATCACTTGGTTATGCCACTGAGAAGAGAAATATATGAAGGCTTTCAGATGTAAAGAAGCATAAGAATACAATGTGCTTGAAAGTAATCTTTTTTTAAGAATCAAGACTTACAATTACCAAGGCCACCCCAGCCTCGGTTGATGACGCCTCTCTGTCCAGTTATTTCCAGAGCTTGAAGAATAATATTGGTCATGTTCTCTGGTTCTTCAAGAGGCTAATACAACACAGATAAAAAAATTTAGCAAGCAAGACAATTTAGCATTTCAATCAAATGCACAATCAAGTAACCTTAACTATGCAATTCAGAGGTATACTCTGCATGTATTAGACATGCCTCAGTCAAATTAGATATTGAACGACGAACAACCAAAGGGTCGATTTGTCATCTGTCATGAATAGACCTCCACAACCTGTTCGTTGGGGACCAACATGAAGGTGGTCACTCTTTGGAGATTGTGGCTTTGGTTGATTGTTTTAATTGGGAAGGAACAAGTAATTTTTCTAGGGTAAGGACAAACAAAGCTACTCTGGGATAGAACTGGGAAAATAATATTAAACATGAATAGAGAAAGCTGCAACAAACTCACAAGGCTATCAAATCCAATATGGACAGGCTGTTCACCAGCTTCAAGCCACTCCGCAAGTGAATCTGGGGGTTCATAATTTGAAGCAAGGTCAAGAAAACAAAAAACATCAACATCAACCTTCGGTCCCCAATCTGCCAAACAAGTAAAACGTAGAGCATATCAGCAAATAATCAGCATACTGTATTCTCACTTGGTCAAGCTGGTCTATTTCTACCACATCAAATCATATTCCTGAGGCTTCTGCAATATTATCAGCATACAAGAAGAAGCCCATGTAATAAGATATGCTTAATAATCCAAAACCACCATGAGGATTCTGAAATGACCATGTATGATACGTTTCCTTTGTATGATACGTTTCCATTATAGCCGCAAGGCTCGACTCTATAAATAGAAATTATAAACGTACAGCCGCACGGCTATACGTTCTATTTACATTCGAATATTTTAACAGTACAGCCGAACGGCTATACTCTTTAAATATATTCGACCGAACACGAAGCTTGCACTCGCAGAGAACGGAACTTTCTCTCGCAGTCACTGCTTCTTCCTCCGAGTTCGGCACCGAAAAAAGACCCAACCCGCCTAGCTACTACCTAGCCTCCTAGCCACCGCCTAGCCGCCTAACAGACTAGCGACCGCCTAGCGACCGCCTAGCCGCCTAGCGCCCTCCTAGCCACCGCCTAGCCGCCTAGCGCCCGCCTAGGCCGACTTTTCGAACACTGCGATTGACTGGAAGTCTAAAAGCAAATTTGAGATTGGGAAGCCGAAGCAGTGATGCACCTCACTGCCTGTGTACTGTTAGGGGAGAGAGAGAGAGAGAGAGAGAGAGAGAGTGCATCTTGACCTTTTATTTTCAAGAATTTGCTTGCCAATTCATACATGTACTGTTAAACTGGCATTATCTGCTTTTAGGTTACACTTGTTAGCTATTTATGACATTCTAGGCACATTGAGCACTGCTACTCTTGAATTATGTTCTCTATGTATAACGTATAACGAAATTCAGGTCAGTGACTCACTGTTGTCTTTGATCTCTCTCTTGTAGGTCATGAATTCAAATCTGTTACTCTCTATATTGATATTTGTTTGTGTTGAACTTGAAGGCTAAGTTTTTCTAATGCAGTTGGTCAAATTAAGGTCTGAATTCAGATCCGGGCTAGACGCATTGACAAGGTTCTGTGAATGGCATGCGTTAGGCTACTTGAATTCAAATTGATTCTGAAGTTTAAACATTTCTGTGAATGGCATGCGTTTAGCTTCTCTTGCTTTGCTTATTCTTTAATATGCAAATGGGATTTATGCTTGTACCTCACTGCCTGTGTTTTAGGTGGAGAATGTTAGTACAATTTTTGTTTGCCGCATTCCTCGTAATAGTGATTCACTATTTCAGAGCAGTCGAAATCCGTCTTTCGGCATTTTTGTAGTAGTAGAGAGAGAGAGAGAGTGAGAGAGAGAGCAATCTTGACCTTTTATTTTCAAGAATTTGGTTGCCAATTCATACATGTACTGTTAAACTGGCATTATCTGCTTTTAGGTTACGCTTGTTAGCTATTTATGACATTCTAGGCACATTGAGCACTGCTACTCTTGAATTATGTTATCTCTGTATACCGTATGTTCCATTCGAGCTCTATTTTCAGATAGAGAATGCTTGTACGGCCGTTGAACAACGAACATGATCTACAGAGAATTAACGAAATTCAGGTCAGTGACTCACTGTTGTCTTTGATCTCTCTCTTGTAGGTCATGAATTCAAATCTGTTACTCTCTATATTGATATTTGTTTGTGTTGAACTTGAAGGCTAAGTTTTTCTAATGCAGTTGGTCAAATTAAGGTCTGAATTCAGATCCGGGCTAGACGCATTGACAAGGTTTGTTTTTGAAAGAACAAGGCCGAAGCAAGTTGGGGCAACTATGATGATGGGTCCCGCACCATATCCTCTTCATGGCAGGTTTATGTACTCCTTGAGCTCTCTTATTGGGTGGTATTTTGCAATGGGCTCTAAATTATTAGTTTTTATCCATGATTTTCCTTGTGTATAAAAGTTTAACAGAATCTTAGTTTCTAACCGGAAAAAAGTGGAAGTAGTGAATATGTAATAAACGATTGACCAACATACTGGAATTAGATGTGTGCTATATAAATTTTTGTCTTGGTTAGCTTCTTTGTGCTGTTTCATTGAGGTTACATAAATAATATATGTTGCCCTGTGTCTTATCTGAAGAGAGTAGATGTTGAAGTGGATGTTCTGTTTTCATTTTAAACTACAACAATGGAGAATACAATAATAAAATAACCCTTTTGGATCTCAGACTTCATACGGAATAGAGGGTGAATAAGAAACTGACTCTGGAACAACTCTGATTACAAATTTCTTAGGAATCTTGTGATTGTGTTAATCTTACTCTGCAGAGTGTCGAAGAAGATGGGTGTCTGAACAGCATATGATTATGCTCTTGAGGTGTATTAAGTCCGCTTTTCACCGGGCCAAAAATCCCAAAGAAAAAGATAAGAATCTTGTTCTTGCCTCATATATAATTGAATTCTTTGTGATAACAAATAGTTTGTTGCAGTTTATATGGATATGTATATCTGATTATCCACAAGCTCATAGGCATTATGTAAAAACTCAGTTATCGGAAATAGAACCCTATGGAAATCATTGAAAATGTTTAGGGATGAAGAAGAATCCTTATTTTGCAAATGTTTGCTTTTCTTTTCAATATATTTATCTATCAATGATGTGGTACTTGACTGTCACACATTCTTTGCAGACTGCCAAATTGAAAGTAGATAGTTATGATGCTGAAATATCATCGATGAAGCTTGAAATCAAGGACTTAAGTCACAAATTAGAAGCTGCAAATGCACAGGCCCACTCATTTGAGAGAGAAAAAAAAAGACTTGATCAAGTCCAAGAAAGGTGTAAAATCGCTGAAAAACAAGTCACAAGAGCGACTGATATTGCCGATATAAAGCACGAGCTCAAGTGGATGTTGCTCAAAAGGAAACGAGTGAGATGCAGAAGTTATTGGAAATGGAAAGATTGGCCCAAATTGAGAGGGCTGAGAGGCATATTGGAAGTTTGCCAAGAGAAAAAAGAAACTTGGATGATGAGTTAGAGAGAATTCGCGTATCAGAGATGGGAGCTCATTCGAAAGTTGCTCTTCTGGAAGCAAGAGTTGAAGAAAGAGAAAAGGAAACAGAATCACTATTAAAATCAAATAATGAGAAGAGCAGAGAACTAGTCTAGTACTGTCGTCCTTCAAGGCCTTCTGGACAGTGAGCGTGCAGCACATGCAGATGCAAACAAGCTGCACAGGCAAAGCTTGATTCACTCGAGCAAGAGTTGACTTCTGTTGGGCTGAATGAAACAGCACAGCATAGCAAGCTAAAGACTGCTTCCCACGGGAAACGCTCAGGGGTAGATGACTATGTAATGGGCATGGACTCTGTTCAAGACATGGAGATGAGTGACCGGATTGTAAGAGTAAATAAGAGGTCTAGAAGTACTACGAGCCCTCCAAAGCACACCCAATCAGAAGATGGTGGTTCCGTATAGCCGGGTGGCTATACTATTTAAAAATTTATCTAAACCGAGTATCGCCGCGCGGCTATACTATTTATTAAAAAACCATGACCCCCCATCGATGAGCCACCCACGTGTTTTAAAATACGTATAGCCTTGGGGCTATTCTATCTTTATAATAAGAACCAGAAAATACCGAGTATAGCCACGCGGCTATACTATTTATTTTAAAAAAGAAAGAGACCTTGAGCCGTGTCAAAATCGGTATAGCCGCACGGCGATACTATTTTATTATTAAAAAAAATAAGAAAAATACCAAGTATCGCCGCGTGGCTATACGATTTTAAAAAAAACTCAGAAAAATGGAGTAAAGCCGCGCGGCTATAATATGTATATATCTAAAGAAAGGACCCGCCTTGCGATTGGGTGGCCACGTGTCAAAATAAGTATAGCCTCCCAACTATACTATTTTTTTTATAAATAAAAAAACTGAATATAGACGCGTCTATACGATTTATTAAAAATTAAAATTTTTAAAAAAAATTTAAAAGGGGTGTCAAAATAAGTATCGACGCGCAATTATACTTTTCTTTTTTTTTTAAATCGTGGTATAGCCGCCTGACTAGACTCTTTAAATACATCATATTTAAAAGGTATAGCAGTGCGACTATACTATTTAATAAAAAAAATAAAGAGAAAAGGACCCTCCTAGTTGCATTATTTTATACTTTATAAATATTAAATTGTTAGTTTCAAAATATCCGGAGTAGATATTGAAGAGCCTTTAAGACGTGTACAGAATACGGATGTATTATTGAAAAATACATACGTATGTGTATAATAGAGTATTAAATATAAAAGTGCTAAATTCTTCATACGAGTAATAACTATGTAAGAGTAAAAAATAAAAAATGGACAATAGAGACTCGGGTAATAACTCTGCAACCTCTCTCACCAATGTCTTGCACTAAAGGGTAATATTGTGAGAGAGATTGTAGAAGGGACTTGGTGACACTGCTCTCCATATTCTCTCTTTGCAGTGAGTTCTTGGTGTTGGTTTGTGAAGAACCAACCCAACAAAAGTCAGCTCAAATCTGTCCAAAAAACAAAGGACACTACTTGTCTCCTTATCAGTAAGGAGATACTACTACTTCATGTGAATCACAGTATGACACTTATACAAAAATAATTCATTAAAAACACAAAAGTAAAACTTACGCACACATATCACACTGCCATTGGCAGGAATGTATGAGAGTCTACTTACCTGGTAAGGAGGGAAGTATTTTCCAAAAACAAATGTCACCTCCAAGCTAAATACAAATTTTAAATAAATAAATAAATTTTTCTTGCCAAAATTCCATGGGCTGAGTTGGTCTGGGCCTACCCTATAAAAGGGTTTGCAATAGCAACCCAAATCCATCTCAACGATGCCCCTTTGTTGGTCTATGCATCAAACAAAACTTTTCTATGTGGGACTTTTTACCTTTACATTTTCATATGTCTCCACACGTATGGCGAATTTTCAAGGCTAAAACACGTGGACAATGCATTTTGGGTGACGTGGAGAACGTTTGTAGCCATTGGGCTTTCATACGTGGGCAACATGCTCTGATACCATCCCAAAATCAATTGGCAATTAGGGGAGTAGCTCAACTCATTATAAGCCTTTGCAAGACTTTCTGACTTCCAATATGGGAATTTTTACCCTTTTTGGTGCTTACCCTATTTCCTTTCACAAATCTGTCGGGCTCTGCCGCTCTTCTACATGCAACATGCATGTATATTTGAGGTTAGATATATGCATCTCCCGCTATTTTACATATATACTTCTTTGTTTTTCTGCATTTGTTTAAAGCTGTAACATATCAAAATTTGAAGACTACAGTCCCACAGCTATTTTACATATTTACTGCTTTTGTTTTTCTGCATCTGTTAAAGCTGTAACATGTGCATGTGTTGTGCGTCATCATGTGAATGAGAATTTTAAGCCCAAAAAATTGTACGGGACTGTTGTACCACTTCATTATCATATAGTCGTCGTCGTAAGGGAAAATTTTAGTTTCTCAAACACAAATCCTTTTTTACATTGGATGGATCGTAGGACTTTTGGAACATCTCAAAACTACATGATCTATCTGTATGCATGTGTTATTTGATTTGATGGATGCTTGATTCTTATGGTGAGAGCGACATTTATAGAACACCTATTATATCAAATGTTTGTGTCTCTTCTCCCTACATGCTGCATCTATCCGACACATATTGATTTAGAGAGTTCTTTTATTCATGTTTTTAATGGCTTCAGATAATTATGTATAAATATAAATAGAAAATAGGTGTTAAGCTCTGCACAAGAACATGCAATCAACAAACTCATTAGTAAATTTATTAAGACAGTTGCATTAACAATAATAACAATAATAATGAAAGTTCTATTACAGTGTTTTGCCAGGCGTAGGTCAACTGGATCTTGTCATATGAAGCTGTAGAACTTGGACCAAGCCAGGGATTTTTGCCAGCTCTCTGTGCCTCTGGGTTTGAACAAAAGAAAGAAATGAACAAACGAACAAATACATACATACCTTAACTGGTTCACATGAAATGAAAGAGGATCTCTAGGCTCTCTTCTATAACTTCTATGTTCAATCAATCAGGCATGTGGCTTCCACCCTACTTTCTTACTCTTCTTCTACCCCCCATGTGAACTTTTCAGAATGCACCCACTGGGTGGAGTGGGCTTTCTACTTTTAACTTTTGCTTTTGGAAGAAGCAGATTCAGACTTTCAGAACTACCAAACATGCATTGTCTCCTCCACCACTCTGCAGTTAATTATACATGGTCCCCCATGACACTTGCCGGATATATCATTACATTCACCCTCTCCTCTCTTATTATTCCCTAAATGGTTTTTCTTAATTAAAAAGCAATATTAAGAGAGCGAGAAATCAATTGTGAACAGTTCAATAATAAAGGAGGGAGAAATCGAACCTAACATTTCAAGCGCGAGTAAGTGCATTGTCAAAATAGTAAGAGAAAGGAGAAATCAAATGCGCACGAGTAAGTGCATTGTCAAAATAGTAAGAGAAAAGAGAAATCAAATGTGAGCAGGTGTGAGCAGGTGAAAGATTTTCTGACTTTGAGACACAGAAGCTAATGTGCTTGCTTGCTATTAATGGGCTGGCAAGAAATCAGCACGCTCCTGCATTGTGTGCATTGTATATTTATTATGAATGTGAACCCCCAACCTATTTATACTTAGAATAATCAAAGATAAGCTGTTACATTGCAGGAGCTTGTACTCATTTAGATTCATAAAAGCTTAGAATGCATATGCTAGTGGTAGCCATCCTCCATGTTGCTCCTTGTTTATGCATTGTGAATCCCATTCAAACATACAGTTATAATTGTTTTTTAATTATACAAGCAATATTGAGAGAGGGTTGAAACGAATCTAATAAGGCGTCAGATGCATAAATAAATACTCTTAATCACTTTTTACAAGCCCCTTACACAATTATAATTATTTTTATTCTTCACCAATATGTATAAATCTCGATAAGATAATTGATGCATGAAAGTGTCAAGATAGAATTCACCTACATTTACAATAACTTAATTCACTTGCATATTGAGTCAAAAAAAGGGGCGTACGGGGGTAAGTTAAACTCAAAGTTTAACCAGATACCAATTACCATCAGTCATCAGTCATCACCAACTCTTGTACTCAAGTAGGTTTCTCCCCCAAAATCTCATTTTTTAAGCCAAGCCAAGATAAATTGAAAGTTCCTCAAATACAGGCCAGAGTTGTAGACAATTACAATTTACATAACAAGGAAAAGACTTGAACCAGGTCCACAGAAAAATCTATGGAATTAGGCAGAAGTTACCCATCTACTAAACAGGACCTCTCATCTATAATTAGGCTTTAAATCCCAATTACCCTATCTACTAATTAGAACCTCTCGTCCCCCCATTCTCTCTTAAACCCCCATTAAGGCAATAACAAAACAAACACACCACCTCTCTCAACTACCTTAACCAACCGCCTAACCCCCCCAACCCAACCCTACCCCATCAATTCAATTTTACCTATCTATCCATCCCATTCGTCAAATCCTCTCTCTCTCTCTCTCTCTCTCTCTCTCTCTCTTTCTGGAAAGCTCCCTAAAGCTTTGTAGAGCTTTCAAATTTCAATCACGAAGGCCTTCGCTTTAAGCAAGCAAAACCCTGAAACCAAAATAAATCCCCCAAAAAATAAAATAAAAAAACAGAGAGAACCCAGTTCATATCCCTCCATCTTTCTTCAACCCAAGTCATAAAGTTTCAATTTTCTCTCACCTCTTCATCTGGGTCTTCCTACAATCCAACTTCTTCTGATCCCAACCCTCAAATGTGGCGGCCGTGGGGCAAATCAACGGTTCAGATTCACAACACGTCATCTCCATCCTCACCCTTCTCCTTCTCCTCCTTCAAAGACATCCAGAATCTCTGCGCCGACGACAACGAACACTCTCAACAACCCACAAACGCCGCCGCCAGAAGAACCTCTGCTATTTTTCACCGCGTCCGAGTCGCCAACTCACTCCTTCGCGCCTGGTCAACTCGCCCACCCACCCAACCCCAAGATGAAAATTCCGCAAAACAATCTGAGCCGTCCATCAGCTCCATCCCTGGCGCGGAGAAGCGAATTGTCGTTTACTTCACGAGCCTGCGCGTGGTGAGGCCGACGTTCGAGGACTGCAGGACTGTCCGATCAATTCTCCGAGGGTTTCGTGTCTCGTTGGACGAACGAGATCTGGCGATGGACCACGGGTTCTTAACCGAGCTGCAGCAGATTCTGGGTCAACACACTAAGTTGACTTTGCCGCGGGTTTTCATTGGTGGGAGGTACATAGGTGGGGCCGACGAGGTGAGAACGCTGCACGAGGCCGGTGAGCTCAAGAAGTTCGTGGAAGGCTTGCCCGCACAGGAACCGGGCGTCTGTGACACGTGCGGAGGGTACAGATTTATTCTGTGTGTCGAGTGTAGTGGCAGCCACAAGTTGTACACTGAGAAGAATGGCTTCAAGAGTTGTACCTCCTGCAACGAGAACGGCCTCATCAGGTGCCCTTCTTGTTCATGCGCACTCACTCTAATTTTCCTCTAATTTAAATTACCCAACCCAAAAAAAAAAAAAAAAAAAAAAAAAAAAAAAAAAAAATCATTTTCCTTTTTGATTTGTGAAATTTTTGAGTGGCAGGAGTTTTGTAGTTTTTTGTTATTAAAAAATGTTGGTGGGTGTGTAAGAATGTGTAGGCCCAGCACATATGGGGTGTGCTATGTTAATGTCACCCAATGGATTATATGGCTTATAAAGATTAATGTCAGCTAACTTTGTTTATGATTTTTCAACTTAGTTTAAGTACATTTTACTTTCCATCTTTTGAGTTTTTTTTTCTTTTTTTCTTTTTTTCTTTTTTTCCAGTCAGGTTTAAGGTGCATGATTACTTAGACCCAAAAAATAGGTGCATGATTATTATGAACTTTTGGCGCCAACAATTTTTTATTTGTGAAAATGAAGTTTTTTTAGTAAAGGTATTTTAACTCGGGTGTGAAGTGGAGAGTATATTTGCTCTGACTAACTTGACTAAAAGCATGTGAATAGACAAATGACCAATCAAATCGGACATGATGGCTCTTTAAACAGTGAGTTGGAATCAGTTAGTGTGGTATTTTCAAGTGTTCGTATTGAGTACGAATTTGTAGTAACGAAACTCCAAATGTTGATGGAAAAGGCCAAAAACTTAATTGGTTGGTGCACAAACGGAGGTTGAAACATTACCTTGAGTCAATCAATAGGTAGCTAATCTTATAGTTTTAAATGGACGAGTCGATGCTACAAGAATGTACTTCAATAATTAGGAAATGAACCAACTTTGTATATCAAGCTAACATTCTATTTTTCGTGTGCAATCTCATATAAGTTGAGAATGAAGAGATTGAAGGTTTCAAATATCTGAGAGGTCTTGTATTCAAAACTCTGAAGTGCTTGTCAACAAATAAAAGTTAGATTGAGATTAAGCTTAAAGCGTGGAGAAAAATAGAAATCCAAGTTTGCTCCCTTGGCATACAAGTAACAAATAAACTTGTAACATTTTTTTATGATTAACGGGAAGAGAATATGAACGCGGACTTCTAAGATTCGTCTAATTTATCATTAAAAGTGGGGAATTCAAACTTGGAACCTCGTTTAACATTGTGAAGAGAAATATCACTAAACTAAGAGCTAGTTGATTAGACTTACACTCAATTTGAGAAGAGAGAGATAACACTAGACTTAAAATTTGTAACGGAAAAGCTTAAAACTTACAAGCCTGTTTTTTGGTAACCAACCATACTAGGCTTAAATCTTTGTGTTTAATATCAAAAGTTTGATCTATAAATAAACTAAAGTGATTACACGATGCATCCATGTCTCCCTCCTATTTCGAGAGATTTTTCCAATCAAATATTTTTATTTTTATTTTTATTTTTATTACAAATATTGGACCATTTTACCATATGCGTAATAAACCTATTAGAATGATAAGCCAACCAACCAAATATTGTGTCAAGAAGAAAAAAAAAAAAAAAAAAAATGTGAAGAAGAGATGCGAATAGCTCTAAATTTTGGCTCATGAACAAGGTCCCAATATGAGTCTCAATTATAAAGCTTATAGAAAACCCATTTGGAAATCCATTATAAGCCGAAACATAAGGCCCAAAGATGCGAAGCCCATGGCCCATTTTATCCCTCCCCATACTAATCTCTCTTTAAAATTAATAGGTCTTTATTCGTCACCCACAACTGTTTCATTTCATCTAATGGCACTCAATCTTCATTTTGAACTCGCGATGATACCAAATCTCAAGCTCAGGTTATTTTTCCAATCAATCCAACTCGAAGAAGCTAAATTCTACGAAATCAAACTATACATATGAATTTACAAAATACATCCCTTGAAATGACCACGAGGTTGAACGTACCATGAGCTAGGCAGGCTGACCAAAGCACATGTGACATGGTTGCCATTTCACAAAATAAAGGTGAACTTTGCGAAACTGGCAAGAGAATTTAGGTCCACCTCACATGCATCTAATATGGTGGTACCTACGCCTCTTCAATCATGGGGGCTAAGGGCTTTACTTTTGACAAGGATGGGCTGCCATTATTTTAAAAACGAAGCTGTACACCGGACCGGATTATGTGCAAAGTTTCCATGTTAAAAAAACATACATTTTGTTCTTCGTTTTTTTAATGCTTATAAATTATTCTAGTATTATTATTTTGTAATGCAGTTCTTCAAGTAATTAAAACCTGTTTATTAGTATTGAACCAGATTTGAGTGAGAAATATGTCATTATAAACTTGTTTGTCTCAAATATAAATCTAAACTTGGGTGTAAGGGGACCAAAGTAATGAGTTTGTTACATCCTTGCACCGAAGTTCAAGTTATCATTCCCGTACTTCGTATCAAAACTTCAAGTGATCTGCTTTGTTAGGTCCATATCAAAATTTCAAGTTGCCTTGGATGATATTATGATCACAAACCCAACTAGCTTCTCAAAAGCACTTCTGAGAGACTCAAAAGTCATAAATTGCTGATCCAATGTCACTTGAAATATTGGTTGCGCAACACTTTCTATTAAAAACAGGAGGTTGTGTTGTCTATTTTCTGAAGCAATCAGGAGACCAAAAAAGCCCCACTTCAGGTAATGGGTCTTACTCCACTCAATCAAACACAAACCCTAGAAAAATTCTACACCAAGTTAATGTGGTCCAGTCCCCAAGGCCTCTAATAACAACATATTAGCTTACAAAAGCCATAGTAAAAATCCACACATGTAAAAATAAAAATAAAAAATAAAAAAATCTGGCACATCTATATGTCATACATATATACACGCTACAAATGGCTTGTCCTCTATTAATCCAAGTTAGAATTTGCAATTTTCACAACAAAAATGTCTTTAAAACATGAAATTAATTTGCATGGGGCTTGTAACGCAAGTAGTTAAGAGAATTTATCGCTTCACCCAATCTCCTAAGTTCGATTCCTCCTTCCCCATCATATCGCTTGTATCCAAAAAATAAAAACATGAAATTAATTTGCAAGTTTTATGAGCTTCTTTGGAACTGAGCCCACTAAGGTCATTGTAACTTGCAAAACATGTTGCTGGATGAAGAAGACTCTAACTCACTTCACCACCTGAAAACTTGAAAACTACTGCAGAGAGGGCACTCTGAGCCACTCATACTTTTGGGAAGATTATATTTCATCATCTCCTTTTCCCTAACTGTTAAGCACATCCAAGTGGAGAGGCAAGATTGTATGTTGATGATTGAGAGCCCACTTTCCGAAAACTTGACAAACTGGTCTGAAATCATTGTAGTGTACAGACAAAATAATACAACCATTATGAGCTACTAATTGTTAAATGGTTTGCCTTGTGCAGGCCGGAACTAAACCAACACTCATTTCAAGTTATATACGTGTCATATGGGGTGTGGACCAGTTCACAAGTTACAGAACAGATTCACCCCAACACCCTAAAATAAACAACAACAAGAAGAAGAGAAGTTTTCATCCTCTGTGACCAATTGCATGATGCCATATGGTCCTTTATGATTGAGTCTGAGTCTTGTGTACATAGTCAATGGAAGGGCCTCTAAATTTTATATCAGAAAAGAAAGCGGCTGAAACTGAAACTACGCTGAATGATGATAGAATTACAGAAAAGGAAATTACACATAATGGGGAAATAAATTTAGGCAAAAATGGAGATGAGAGTGTTCAAGGCATTCAAGTAAGTATGAAAATGGATGATTTCCATTGATTGATTTGTTGCGTAATTTATACACACAATTCATGGCAATTTGTGTGATTAAATTTAAATCTATCTCAAATTTTTATACAAAGAGAGTTGGTCTAGTTTTGGGGATGTACATATTAAATTGATCTTATATTGTAAGAGAGTAGAATTAGGGTTTATTAGTTTTATCTTTGCGAGAGATGTTGTCACTAAACATGGTACATTTTTTTTTCTTCACGAAAATCATAATTTTGCTCAAATCAAGTCAAATACGTACAATAAGAATGTAAGCTCACACCAAGTCAAATCATATACAATGAGAACATGTGACACATATAATTGTTTCATCACCATCTTAATTTTTTTTTTTAAATAAGATAGAATTGGTCTTAGTTTTGGGGATACACATGTTAAATTGGTCTGATATTCTAAGAGGGTAGAATTTAGGGTTTATCATTTTCCTCTTTGCGATGGTAAATTTTTTTCTTCCCAAAAATCATAATGTAGCTCAAATGAAGTCAAATTATGTACAATGAGAATGTAGCTCAAATCAAGTCAAATCATATACAATGACACATAAAACTGTACAATCACCAACTTAATTCTATTTTAAAAAAATTCAGTAAGTATATATCGTTTATAAGATTCAAACTTAAAATCTCTTTCACCAAAATAGAAACGGGTGGTATTAGACTAAATGATCATTGGATGATCATCAAACTCATTAATTTGAGCATTATCATAATTAAGAAAAAGGGCTCTTTGATTATATCAAACTGGCGGTCATGATGTTGCTGAGAAAATGCAAATTGAGAAGCAGTGTAGCATATACCAGCAAGTGGCGACCCCAGGAAAATAGAAAGAAAGGGCAAAGTCACCAAAAAAGCACGTGACCAGCACGTGGGGTCTGATGGGACGGTGCTAGTATAAATATATTTGGAGCCAGGTCGCTGGCTACCCGCTACAAGACAAGAAGCAAATCCAATCCAACGTTGCTGAATTGCCGCGGAGCGAAACATTCAACTTCCACGATATTTCGGTTCCCGTTTCGGTACGTTTTCGGTCCGACGTTAAATAAAAAAAGGAACTTTCTAAAATTCTAAATCATTTAAAAAAGTCTCTGATACACGCGGTTTCTTCTTCGTCTGTCCAAATGACCTTTGCAGTGCAGAGACTCCCACAACCTCTGTTTCTCTGTATATAAATGTGTAAATATATAAATATTCAAGTTTGGAAATTTTGATCTTGGTTCTCGTAGGAAATGAATCGACGGTGGAGATTTGGTGGGTTAGAGGAGCACCGGATGGGTGTGGTGGTGGTGATGGTGATGGTGTTTCTTCTACTGTTTCATCATCTTCTCAGCCCATGTTGGTCTCTCAACGTTGAAGGTTCGTATATTTACTTCTTCTGCACCTCCGTACAGTTCTCAATCAGCTGCTTGATGGTTTTTGCTTAATGGGTTTTGTTTTTGGGTGCAGGTTTGGCCTTGCTGAGGTTCAGGGACAGAGTGGTCAGAGACCCTTACGGGGCTTTGTCAAATTGGAACAAGGAAAATGGAGAAGACGACCCTTGTTCTTGGTTTGGGGTCGAGTGCTCGGATGGAAAAGTGGTCATTTTGTGAGTGGCATTTGCTGCTAAGTCTCATGTTTTCTTAGATCATTTATGTGTGCTTTTTGCTTCTGCATCTTGTTTTGGTTAATTGAACCAGACAACTCTTAAATCATAAGTTCTTCTGTGCCAAACTAGAAAAATGGTTTTTCTAAATTTGTTAGTGTTTATTGCTGATTGGCTGATTAATAAATGTGGGTTCATTCTACACTGTGAAGAAGTACTTCTGCATTGATTTACCAAGTTGATTTGAAGTGGGGGTTTCATGTGAAGATCATCTAATAAGATTTTTTTTCAACATGGTTTTTGCTTGAAGCTTGAAAATTGTTTGGAAAGCATGAATTTTTACGAATTTTTCTATGTCAACTTTGAATTTCTATATATTTGAATATCATATATATGGTATTATTAGCCTTAAAGTTAATGTGGATGTGCTATGGATTTCATCCTATCAATGTAGAAACTCTTCCATCTCTTATATTAAATCACGGTTTCGATAGCCTAAAGTCAGATTTCATCAACTTGCAGGAATTTGAAAGATCTTTGTCTTGGAGGAACATTGGCCCCTGAACTAGGGAAGCTGGCTTACATAAAATCTATGTAAGAACAAAACTGGTTGCTAGTCCAACAAAAGCACTCCAATGGTTTATTTTAATCTCTCTTTTTTTTAAACCTTTTGCTTCAAGGCATTACTCTGAATTATCCAGTGCCTCTTTAATGCAGTATTTTGCGCAATAATTCTTTTTCTGGAAACATTCCAAAAGAGATTGCAGAGTTAATGGAGCTGGAGGTTTTGGACTTGGGATATAATAACTTTAGTGGACCATTTCCATCTGACTTCAGCAACAATCCGTCTCTAACTACCCTGTATGTTGATCATTTCAAACTGGTTGCACTCGGAGGTCTTATTCTTTAATGGCTTTTACAGTTTTACTGAACTCATATTGTGATTCTTTTTGCAGTTTACTTGACAATAACAGATTTCTTGGTTGCATATCTCCTCAACTCCATGAGCTGAAGATGCTTTCTGAATGCCAGGAAGATCGGGATCAGCTAACAGATGCTACTTGCCTGACACTGTCTATGAGCAGATCTACCAGCTGGTAAGAAAGTGAAACTGATCTAATATTATATGCTTAGACCCAACTTAGTTTCTAATTCTCACCTTATTTCCAATAATGCCGATGATTCTGTTCAGTAAGCTCAGACAAGTTCTTTATGTTCCGGCATTGTACAACTTTTCTATGGAAAGCAACATTAGGAACAATAAATTTTCTCATACCTTGTAAGCTTGTACCATATTATTTCCTTCATTCAGTTCATGATGACCTTTTTTTGTTTGTTAGGAGCACTGCCCAACCTGAAGATACAGCTTACCGCAGGCTGCAGCAGGTGGCAGATGAGAAAGAGTCATCCAGAGTCAGAAGGGCTAAAGGAAATGAACGCGGTTTGTTATCAACATCAGCTTCACCATCTTCCTCACCACCACTTAATCAGCCTTCTTCACCATCTCCATTACCATTTTCAGTCTCAATGCCACCCTCACTATTTTCATCACCATCATCAAATTCCCCTTTACCATCACCATCGTCAAATTCCCCTTCAGCATCTCCCTCAAGCAGCTTTCTGACCCCTTCACCCTCGCCTTTGGTAGCACCAACTCCAGCCTCTCCAGTCCCAATAAATCCACCAACTACTATTTCTCCAGCACCACAGTCCAATCAAGAACCAATGCCTTCCCCTGCTTCAAGTCCAAGTCAAGGGGTTAAGACTAGTTCTTCCAAGTCAAGGCATCGTGTAGTTATGATTTGTGCAGGCATTGTTGGCGGTTCTTTGTTCATTTTAATGTCAGTTATTGGCATTATTCTCGTCCGAAGCAGTAAAGTTGTTACCGTGAAACCCTGGGTCACAGGGTTAAGTGGACAGTTGCAGAAAGCATTTGTATCAGGTCAGATTCGTGAGAATTCTCAGGCCCCTGCACAAATAATTATAAACTCTTATGCATGTTTATATTCAGAAAATTTATGGCATGTTTAGGCAATAAATATGAAAAGTGGTTAGACCCTTGGTCCACTTTTTCACTACTCACCACTTAGAGCATTCCAAGACTATAGGTTGACCCTGATATTGATGTAGGCTTGGGACAAATTGAGTCTTAGGTTTCCTCTTCTTTTCATATCTAACTAGCTTAATGGTTATTTTCTTTGTCCTCTAGAGTCTAGCTTATTGGTTTCCCTCCTGGATAAAATCATGGGCAAAGTTTTCAATCCCATTCTGCATGGATTGCATATATACAAGAAAATAAGAAAGGAAAAGAAGTAGGAACTTTGATTCTTATTCCATACATGTTTCAAGTACTCAGCTTGATGAACCGTGTTTCAGGTGTACCAAAGCTCAACCGATCAGAACTTGAGGCAGCTTGTGAAGATTTCAGTAACATAATTGGAACCTTTTCAGATGGCAACGTGTATAAGGGAACTCTTTCAAGTGGGGTTGAAATAGCAGTGACATGTATCACTATGACATCTGCTGTAGACTGGTCTAAAAACTTGGAGGCTCAGTTCAGAAAGAAGGTACATAGGAAATAATTCCCATCTGATTTGATGCATCTAAAAGTCCCTACTAGTTACCTCTATTGATGTATATTATATTTATAATAATATGCATTTTTGTTTTTGCAGATAGAAACATTGTCCAAAGTGAACCACAAGAACTTTGTAAACCTTATTGGGTATTGTGAAGAAGAGAAACCATTCACAAGAATGATGGTGTTTGAATATGCTCCAAATGGAACACTCTTTGAGCATCTACATAGTGAGTACTATCTTCTTTATGTTGTGAAGAAAGTTAATTTATGAATTGATCGATCTAACTTCATATAGCATTTCTATAATCAAGTTGCATTACCAGAGACCTACTTATATGAGTTCAAAAGGAATGGCTAAGTGTGTGCGTGCTCGCACTGAGATCCAGGGTTCTTTCCAAAGCTCAAAATGAGTTGGATACTTCACTTTAAGCATATGCAATGTTGAAGGATCATATCTTACTTCTGTCACATGCAGTCATACATTTCAAATAAATTCAAAGTAGGGATAGTTCTCACATTTATTTCCAGGAGAAAAAAAAATGCTAATGGAACATATGATTTAAGATAATGGAGCATCAAATTTGCAGTAACTGATGCATTTTCAACGGTTTTGATAATGTCAAAATTCTGTGTCTCGCAGTAAAAGAAGCAGAGCACTTGGACTGGGGAATGAGACTACGGATAGCCATGGGAATGGCATACTGTCTAGAGTATATGCACCAACTGACTCCACCAATAGCTCAGAAGAACTTGCTATCATCCTCTGTATACCTGACTGAAGACTATGCAGCCAAAATATCAGATTTTACCTTCTTGAATGAAGTGACTGCAGCAAAGATGGGATCTGCTGACAAGAAGCTCCGTGAAAATATGTCTGCAGATCCAGAAAGCAATGTCTACAGCTTTGGGGTTATATTGTTCGAAATGATTACCGGTAGGATCCCATACTCTCTGGAAAATGGTTCTCTTGTAGACTGGGCAGCACACTATATGAAAGGGGATAAATCTTTACGAGAAATAGTTGATCCTACCTTAAAATCTTTCCAAGAAGAAGAGCTAGGAGAATTGTTTCAAGTGATAAATGATTGTGTCCATCCTGACCCGAAACAAAGACCGAAAATGACGGAGATCACAGGCAGGTTAAAAGAAATCACAGCCATGGGCCCTGATGGAGCCATACCAAAATTGTCACCTCTTTGGTGGGCAGAACTTGAAATTATGTCAACAGAAGGAAGTTGATCATAAAAGTCTATTTAATTGTCTTGTCCGTTCATTATAATTTGTGTGCGTTATTCTTTTACCTGATTCTGTTATTGATTTATAGCAGCAGGATGCAAGTAGTATAGATATGATTGTGTTGTCTGTCTCTAATCGAAGTAAGAGGAATGATGTTGTAAATAACTTAAGAAAGTGAAATTTTAAGCGTTTTTACATGGAAATATACTTCTGAGATCAATAAAATTTTTACTTTCTGAGCATTGAGCAGTAAAGGTTCCTGTTTAGTTGTCTCTTTGTTTAGTGTTTTATAGTTTCATCTTCAGGTTGAACCTTACAACCCCTGCAACACCTAACACCCAACTTTTTCCTCCATTTTCTAGAATTCAAGAACCTAAAAGTTACCCTAAACCTTTCAAGGGCAACAATCAGTCGGCAGATTTTACGCATGTTTTTGCCCGTGAAATTAAACAGAAACAAATCGAAAGAAAGGATGAAAGGTGCTGAAAGAAAAAAACAAAGAAACCTCCTTTATTTGGTAGGAGAAGTGCCCCCTCCATATGTAAAAGAAAATCTGAAATATACAATAATTGAGATATTTGGATGTCCTCAATGACTATGTTAATGTACACTGGAACTGTAGAGATCCCTTTCCTCACCAATTGACATCATACAATTCTCAAGGTACTATGATTGGAAAAAAATAAAGTTACAACAGAAAATTCTAATCTTCAACCTATGCTCCTATCTAGTTATAAGAACATTTGCTTTCATTCTTTCTTGCATAACCACCTTTGACTAGTGTGGTCAAAAAGACTGCTTGCCGCTTGCAGTTCAACAATCATCATCATGTGTGCCATATGTACATAGCATTTCCTTGGTCATCTTTTCGTCTTGACCATTGCCAGACAGGTTTCAGTCAGAGATTGTGATTTTTGGGAAACTTTTTCGAACAATGAAACCAGGGTAATTTTCTCTCTTCAACGCTAACCATGAAGTCTCCGACACACTGGAGTCATGAGCAGCATATACACAAGTTAAATATCATCTCAGTCCCGTGCCCGATTATACAAATCAAGAGTGTCTGTGTGGTTGGGGTCCATGCAGAGAGCTGCTTGACAATCTTGGAGAGCAGAGCTTACATCTCCAATTGACTCATGAAATGCAGCTCGAAGATGAAGTATTTGCAAGTCAGGCTTGAAAGCAATGGCCCTTGTAAGCTCTTCTACAGCTTCAGACTCCTTTTGTTCGTCCATCAGAACTGGTTTCATGCGATTCCATACATTAGTACATTGTTTCGGTTTCACAAAAGTAAAAGAACTCTTCCTACTACCTTCACTAAGGGACAATTGCAATTCTCTTCTTCAGCATTATATATCCGTTTGGTTTTCTATAAAAAGCTTTCCCTCACTCTAACAGATTCTAAGTCATGTGAAACCAAGTGCAGTTGAATTCTAACCTAAAGGATAATGAAAAATGCTTCTTGTTCTCGGTACTTAGAGAGCTAGATGAGTGAATGGATGTGTGTTTATACTAAAAATACTGGAGTTTCAACCATTTCTTTTAGAACAGACGTGCAGAAAATTGGGGAAAAAAGGAAATTAAAGTAAGGGATCAGAAAGATTACCTGCTGCCCGGTATCTGTATGGGTATGTCCTCAACGGATCCAATTGTGTTGCCATATTGAGATCAGTCTTTGCCATCTCGGGATCACAGTACTCTGACCGTTTTTCGTAAGCTGATGCATTGTTTTGTGCTTTCTCTATTAGCTTGGTCATCTCATCATATGCGGCTTTTCGTTGATTTTTAAGATGATAAACACGTGCCAACCCTTGATGAGCTCTTGTATGTTTGATGTCAAGAGCACTCATGTAGCAGTCCACAGCCTTATCCAGCTTACCACAATCCACATATATACTCCCCAAGTTATTTAGTGCCTGCAAAATGTCAGAATACCCTATCAAACAAGAACATGAAGGTACAATGATGAAGAATGCAAGAATAACTCATGATTCTCACCTGTCCTTTACGAAGACCATCTGAAGGACATTTAAGAGCTTCCTCCAGCAGTTGAATAACATAAGATGATGATTCAGAGTCCAGGCTAGTATCTGCCAATGCATATGCTTTAAGGAAAAAGCTTCAAATGACCTCTGAATGTGAATTGACTTTTCCGCCTTTGAGAGAGCTTCTTCACGATTTCCAGTGTCATATAAAATCCATCCTTCATAGACCAGCCTCTCATGCTCAGATCCAGAATTATTTCTTGCCAACCGCAAACTGCGCATTGCAGCCTTCTGACAATTTAACCTAAAAATAGTCGTATTTATTAGGAAGCTTTTGTGTGAGAAAAGATGCCAGAAGCCACAGATCTACATGGCCAGCACATTTCAATTATTATTGACAAAGCAGCAGAAACATTTCATTAAACCAACTGCTGTTTGATATGAACTGATTCAAATGTGGGGTAGGTGGTCTGATATCATATCATAAGGAAAACTGTAAACATTTCAATCAAATTAGGCTCCCAAAGAATCCAGATATCATGACTATGTGATGAAATGTTGTAAGTGCCAGATAATGGAAAGTTTACTACACATAGATTGTAGCTGGATAACACAGAAAAGTATAGCTATGATCAGAAAACATACCGTAAAAGAAGCAAAGATTGCCGAAACTGAATGAGACTCTTTCCAGGGTTATGTCCCAACATCTGATGTATGATTGCCAGAGATCCAACGTCATCAACAGACGACCACTGATCATATAGGTGCATCCAGCAATCAGCTTGACTCAATTGCTTAACCCGATGGCTGAGAAGCTCAACCAAGTAATCCCCACTAACCTTTCCATGAAACATCATGTAATTGGGTTCTAAAGTTAGTAACACACGGATATCTCGGAGAGCACTTTCATAATCTTCAAGTGCGATGAAGAACCAAGCCCGTAATTCAATGCAGTCAGGTGAGAGCTTAAACCTAACAGTTCTATCAATCTCCAAAATAGCTGCTCTAATTTGCTTCTCCTCCGCCTTTGCGACAGCTCTATATTTATATGGAAATAATAGAGTGGGATCTAATTCAGTTGCAGTGCTCAAATCCAAAATCTTCTCCTTCCCAATGTTATAGAGGGCACGTTCCTGGTACATCCACCCAGCGGGTTTATACTCGGAGATAATAGAGCTCATCAATGTATATGCTGAATACTGCTGCCCCTGTTTGTATTTGGTCCTTGCAACACCAGCCACTGAATAAACATGTCCTGCCTTAGCTGCAGCCAGAAAACGAAACTCGGCATCCTTAAACTCTCTTCTCTCAAGCAAAACACAACCCAATTGATGCAACACAAGTGTTTTCTGCCACCTCTCAGTTGTACATTCTTCCAACCTCTCCAATAGCATCACAGTTGTCTTAGATACCATACTTTCCTCCATAGCCACATGGCTTAGAAAATAATACAACAAGAATCCATGCCCTGCCATGGCCAATCTCTCCCTGACCTTGGAGCTACAAAGAAATTTCATCACCTTCGGATTATACAGAGAACTGGGAAGCCCTCTCAGCAATACCTGCAAGCAGGCAGCTACAAGAAGATATGCCATCTCCTCCAAACCATACTCAATTAGAACCAATGCATCATCAATGTTATCAACCAGTGAAGCTAAATAAGCATCACAAGCAGACTTCATCTCCTCACAACAGAACCTATTTGCAAAAGAAAGTAACTCCACAACAATCTCAGGACTAAACAAGTCCAATCTCCTAGTCCTACTATACATTTCCACAGCTCTCATTCCCTTCACAGATATCCCATTTTCCGAAAAATCAATCTTACCCTTTTTCGATTCTTTGAAACATCCGTACAACATAGCCTCAAAAGGACTAGAAAGCGATGCAATTTTACTCCTTGCACAATTGATTTCTACATTGCCAATACAAAATGAAACATCACTTTCCTCCTCCTCCTCCAAACTCACACACTCATTGCCCTCAAAAATAAGCATATTGACTGCTTTACTGGGGTCATGATCGCATTGGCAATGACCAGAAACCAAATTTGGATCAAACCCATTTACCAAAGCAACCTTAGGACACTCAAGAACTTGCCCACTACAAGCCATAGCTGACATACCCACAAGCTCATCCTCTCTCCTCTCAAACCTCAACCAAGCCGAAAGCACAACCTTAGAGTTTACATCAACAGCATTTTGACGAGCAGCACGAAGACACCGGCGAAGCAGCTTGGGGTCACCAAGACTGCGCAAGAGAGAATACTGCTCAATAGATAACAAAGATTTATCAGATTGAGACGAGCAATTCTCTAAGCGGTGATAGAGGTCAGCTAAGATTTCAACAAATTCAGCGGGCTTGAGGTGAGGCTCTATGGAGGGTTCAAGCAGGTCAGTTGCAGGAAGTCCATAAGGCAGCAGAAGAGCTTCAGTCACAGAGAGTGAGTTGAAACTTTTGGGCTTTGAATTTGACCCAAAAGATTTAATCAGGTGACTGTTAAGCTTAGCTCTTGAAACACCAACATGGGTTTTACCATTGGAGGTGTCTGTAGGATTGAGAGCGTGGACTTGGGTACTTGTGAATCGGTCTAAAAGCTTTAGACCACGCATATCTAAATGACAATAAATCTTCTGCATATATGAACAAACAGAGAATAAGATTATAAAGTTTCAAGCTCTACCACCACCAAGAGAGAGAGAATAATGTTGAGCCTTTACCTCTGGCGTGCAAAAACCACCCAGAGAAACACAGAGAGAAAGAGAGAGGGAGGCTGTGAAGCAGGCTACAGGCCAAGGTGGGGTTAGTTTCTCGAGAATAAAAATGGAAGAAAATGGTCTCTGCTTTTGGGTTTTCTCTTTTCTTTCATGGGTGGATATATTCTTTATGCAAAGCAGCAAAGCCTTCTCTTTTGTCTCTGTCTTTGTCGCTCTGCTCCAAAGGGTTTTGGTTAACCGGAAAGTTTAGTTGTTTAGGTGGCTAGCTCCAAAGCAAGGAGTTTATCGGAGTCAGTTCATCACCCACCATTGTTAACCACTCCAATCTTGCCACGTCATCTACCAAATGGGAAAATTAGCCTGCCCAGATGAGTTGGTCAACTGGTTAATTTTCAATTTAAGCTTATCTTGAGCTTGACTGCTAATTAATTAACGACAAAATGAAGATTAAGGAGAAATTGCATGTTAAGCAAAGGTCCTTGGCATTGAGTAAGCTTGTAAAGAAAAGTAGTTACAAAAGTTCATGCGTCACATCCGCACCAAATAGATGCTTATAATAGGCGAACTTCTTTCTTTACCAACATTAGAAGTGAATTAGTTACACTTACTAAATTCTGATTTCTATCATGGGAAATCTTTTCCTTAAACACAATTAATGCATCGAGCCTTAATGAACATAAATCTCGCGTAATTGTTATTAAAGTCCGATCCAGTACGAATTTGATCCTATCACGAACAATGCAATTTGATGGTTTCTTTCAGTTGAGGACTACTTGCAGAAGCAGACTGCAAAAGCATTTTGTGCATAGTTTCTGTTTTAAAAGCTTCACTTTCAAGTTGTAGGGATGAGAAAACCCTCAAATAAAATGAATAGTTTGGTGCCATGGTGAAATGTCAAAATCAAACATGGTCCTACAGCTACAAGTTGGTTTTGAAGGACCATAAGGCACCACCCTACAAAAATCCCAACTCTTAGCTTGTTTATATATATTATGCATGAATTATCACAACAAGGAGCTAATACTTATCAATATTAATAAGTAAAGCAGGGGAGAATAGACCAAATTAATAAATTATTAATGGGTTAGGAAGACATTAGATCTAAAATACACTTCTTTTTTTTTCTTTTTTTCTGCTTTTCATAAATCATATCATTTAAACTATGTGGTCTTTCTCCTGCCACTAGCTTACTCATACCTTTAAATATTGAATGGCAAAAAATTATTGGAAGTTAGTTGAGCATCTGTGTCCACGACAACACAGCAACTTGCAAGCCTATCTAAAATAAAAATAAAAAAACAAGAATTATGCTAGCACAACAAATAATAAGAAGGCAGAAGGGAAAACAATTAATATAGGCCAACCAGATCACAAACAGTGTATAGAAAAGAGCCAAGAAATATGATCACGTGCTTACAAGGCTAAGCGTCTAAAAGACCCATGTGAGTGTTCTGAAAGTGCCATTGTTTCTCACCAGTTTTTGACAGCAGGCCAGTTTGCACCAACTTGTGTAAGTGATAGCATTTTCTGCCAAATCAATATGTACTTGTGAAACATATAAATTTCTACGTCTAAGAATTTGATAAGGTCAATCTCCCTCCCCCGCGTGGGTGCTTTTTGACCGTCAATGAAATGTATACATCAACAGTGAGTGTGTGAGCGACTAACCGTAGCACAGCTCATGTTAGTCAAATATTTAGAACAGTCATCACAAGTTCAACAATATTTTCGGTCATGTTATCACAAGTTCAAAGGAATAAGGTCAAACAAGATGGCGCCGGATACAAATAAATGAATTCAGATTAGATTGGAAAATAGATGTGGCTGAAGAAGAAGGGCATTAATGCATCGGACATGTTTGAGATAATTAGCAAACAGCATGAATGGATTTCCAGCTATACGGCTCCCATATCAGCAGGCATTACAAACGACATACAATTATCAACTTCATAACTCATCACATAATTCACACGTGAAGAAGATAGATGGTACCCACTCGATAATGGTTCCTTACAAATTTTATACTTATTAAGCATTAAAATGACTGGCTATAAAGACAATAATTAGAGGAAATAAAATAAAACAACACCAGCTCCAGTATGCACCCCAGGATATGTGCTGCTATGAGAGAAACGAAAGGCCAGCCGACTGAAGAAACAAACCAACCATTCCTGATCGGTTCGTGATGCGACCATCGAAAGCATAATAAAGTTCAAGGAGGAGTTGGAATCAAAAGGATGAGATGAAATCAGTAGAACTAGGAAGAATATTGGTAGTTATTGGGAATGTTTAAATTGTTAGTCATAAATTTGGCCCCTGGAGAGAGCATAGTTGCATTTAGTCATGCACACAAGCATACAACAGATGTAGGCGCAGACGTAAGAACTGTTAAACACATTATCGATACTGCAAGTCAAGGACACAGATGCATGAGAAGTTTGAACTTATAAATCCAGAACAAATCGAGAAACTGCAGAAACATACCTGTTGCATTTATACGAAGTCTACTTAATTACACAGTGTTGAAACTTCATTATTATGTTTCACAGCAGCCACCATATACACCAGTGAAAGATCCCCAAGAACAAAACATTCAAGAACAATTTTTGCACAACACAGTTAACCTGCCTCTAGGATTTGGTCGTGCCAAATCTTGTAGCCATCCATAACTATACAAAATTAACATGTAAAAAGCAAGCAGGATTTAGGTTCCTGTGCTATAAAATGTTACCCAACAAAACTATACTTTTAAATTCTCAGAACTTCCCCCCAAAGTGCTTTAAAGCATTTTTATGATCCAAAGCTTATATTTCCTTATAAACAGATATACAAGACAAGGTCCAATCAAACTGGCATCTGAGAGGCGCTTGCAAAGTTTGAGGTAAGTATCTACACCACCAGATTCTTGGATGCTTTTCCTTAGCCCTTGCAGCACAGCTGCCCTGTCTAAAAACTCTGGGCACAAACCCAAATCAAGCATTTTTATTACTGTTTCTGCAGCATCATCAAAATGTCCCCCTTTAATGTACCCTCTTAGCAACCATGATAGGCTTTTCTTTTTACGCAGAGAGCTGGTAACCTCTGTTCTCGTAAGCAACCGTCCTATAGCACTGGCCTCCTTTTGGGAAGCACAGATGGCTAAAACAATGTCATAAAGTCCCGCATCAGCCTCTTTACCAACAAGTTTCATTTCCCACAACTGCCTCTCGGCCTCAAGTCCACGCCCAGAGCAGATATACATTGCCAGGAGCCTCTCATGAACCACTCCATGGAGTGAAGAACTTCCCTCCTGAATCACCCAATTGGACAACTGTACTCCATCAGATAGAAGATCTGACTGATACTTCTCGATAAGCCCAACATTTTCTGTATCAAATTCAGCTATCAGCCCAGCCCTTGTAAAACCTTTCAACTTGCGCAAAGCTTTAGCAAGTTCATTTAGTTCCTTAACCACAGCTGTCATTGCAATGAGGTAGCTGTAGACCTCTGGCTTCAACCCAGATTCTCTTAGATGAATCACCAACTTCACTGAATCCCTATAGTTGCCCTCAACCTGCAGAAACACATTCAATAGTTTGTTCACATAAACTTAGGAAACTCTAAAGATTTCAGAACCAACTTTACAAACCAAACTAGTGCTAACAGTTGTCCTTTCTACCTAGATATGTTCGGTTAACTAACCAATAGTAGCAGTAATCATTAACAACTTGTATCCATTGGGTATAATCCGATGACACATAACAGGTTGGAGAATCGAACTATTATCCTTTTGATCTATATAATCTGTTAACAACATTAGCACTGTGAGTGAAAAGAGCCGCCAAATTCTTCAAAACTGGACACACCGTCCTAAAATTTCAGTGTGGACAAGGTAAATTCAACTCAAAGCCAAAGTGATCCCAACCCGAAAATTATATCACTAAAAATTAAGCGTGGACAACACAAATTAAGCAGCATTTAAATTAGTAACGGAAGATTAATACATTTGACAATTCAATAGCATAATATTGAGAACAGTACTAAACAAGCACTTACCATCATCTTCCAAGCAAGATAGCCAGTTGGCCCTCCTTTATGCCCATCTGTATCGTCGTCCTCCGAATACACAATTCCACGTCTCAACACCTCTTTTACAAACAGAACCGCCTTCTCCTTCTCACCCATCTCCCAATACAAAGAAATCACCTTCTCCATCATGCTAAAACTCGGCTTCAAACCCACACAATCCATGTCCACAAGAAGGTCAACCACATCCCCAATGTCGTGCTCGCCCTGAATCAATTTCTTGACCCAACTACACATTATGGAAACCATAAGATCCATCGTCTCCTTATCGACCCGGTTCTCCTTTCGGAGCCACTCAAACACCTCAAGCGCACACCATGAGTCCCTACCCTCCTGAGAAAAGTAGACTAACACAAGCTGTAACTCTCTGGCCGATAACCGGTCGTTCATGTCCTCAAGAACATCGGAGGGTTCCCTTGTCATTCGCTCCAATTCTTCAATCGCCTCAAAGAAACCTTCACCCATTTCATCCTCGTCGTCGCTAGTCAGGAACTGGTCCAATTCAACAGATTTGAACAGCCTAAAGTCTCGAACTTTACTCGACTTCGCAACGATGAAGTTGGGTTTTTGGTGCTTGCAGATTCTAGGAAAAACCCTAGCACAGGATTGCGCTGAGAAACCACGGAGACCCATAAAACGCTGCCGTTTAACTGCAAATAACGAATGGGTCAACGAAGCAAGCCCTTGAGCAGATGCCATTTTTCTTCAATTGAGAAAACCCAAACGATATCCCCTGCGTTTGGCTGCCGAGAAAACCAAGGAAAGTTAAAAAGAAAACAAAAAATTTGAATCTTAAGCTTCGTGCTGTAAAGTACACCTCACGTCAACCGAGTCAAAAGAGTGGTATATCAGCTATCAAATATTCATCCGTGAAGTAAAGCCTACCCTTGCCTCGCTCTGGAATTTAATTTTCAAGAAAACCCAGAACAAATATTCAAAGTTCTTAACTTTCTTTCTCTCATTCCTAAAATTTCTCGGCCACCAAACTGGGTATTAGGATTTTCAGCTCGAAAAGCCGAAACAGAAGAGAGAATTGACGAGGAACGCAAAGAGAATGAGAGAGGAGCCGAAAGACATGTGCCGGATGTGTGATCATCAAAAACCCTACAAAAGTTAAAATTGAGCATTTAGGAGGGTTTGGATTGATTGTGATTTGTGAGGTGCTCCTGCAATGGCCGAGAGCCTTTGCCACCACTGTTCTGTGTGACATTGACACCAAAACCTCTCTGATTTTTTTCACCGTTGCGCCTGGTGACGTGGCCCAATTCAGACTACTCGGCGGAATCTGGCGCGGAATGGCCACGTGTGAACACGAGAAATGCTCCTCTGCTGCGCGTCATACCTGATTGAGTTGTGGACACGTGGACGACTGTGGATGGCTATTTTGGTGAGTTGTTTCCATTGACCACTCTCAACATGTGTTTTACTGTGTCATCTCATCACAAGAATTTCTCCAAATGCAAAGTTAACCTCAAACATTGAATTGCACGTACATTCCGAGGTGTAATTTTGAAGAATTTTTGTACGACATCAATAGTTTTTAAACAAAACATTATTGAAAAAATCTTGTAAAAACAATTTAAAACATGAGGATATTGGTCAATAGAGTCTTGACTTGAAAATCATTGATCTTAAGTTCAAACTCTCATAGCACTTTGATATTGTGTACGTGAGAAATTCTCCACTTGCTTAAAAAAAAAAAAAAAAAAAAAAAAAAAAAAAAAAAATATAATTACAAAGCTCATAGATTGTGTAAAATGTAAAAAACAAGGGTAAGAGGTATCAATGAAAATAATTTTATTTTTGGTAGCGATTTGAAACCCACTTTATTAATCATTGTACAGGCCCAAATATCTGGCAAGCCCAAGCAACTTCCAAAATAAAAATGCATTAAACACAAAATAAAAGGCCAAGATCCTTTTTTAATAATAATTATTAGAAGAGTCCAAGCTCCATTCAAAATAACCAAAGAAATGAAAGTCCAACAAAAACAAAAAGCCACACCAAACTAAGGAAACAAAGAAACAAACCAAAGACAAAGCAACATAAATCCATGTAATTAATAAAATTTCATATGAAGGTATGCTCCTTCTGGTTCGGCTCGGTCTTAAAGGTCACCACACCTTCCATCTCCTTCACACCATCCTCTGACTTCATATCATCATCAACATCCCCCTTCGGCTCTGGCTTGGGTTGACTTGAGCTCGCATTTTCAGTTTGCCCTGGCCCGGGATCCGGACCCGCCATCGAGGCCTGCCCTAGCTGGTTTTGTTGCTTCTCCTTCTCTTTTGCCACATTGAGTTGCTTCTGCACTTTCACTTCTGTTGCTCTTTCTTCAGCTTGTTCTGTATGCAAAATGAGAGATAAATTAAAAGGAAAAACATCTAATCCTCTCTTAATTACTTATATACAAAAGAGACTGTTTAAAAGGATATGCAGCATATATAATTATATATCATAGAATGAATTCCAAACTCGGGTGTAGAGTGAGAAGCACATCTCTACTCTTTTTTCGCTACATAAACTAAGGAAAAGTGAACTCGCCAATCCAATAGTTAAAAACGTATTTCACATTAAATGCTGCTTCGTAGAAGCAACTAGAAAGCAGAAGGAAAAATAGTAGCGACTAGTTTAACTCGATAAGCAGAAATGATAAAATAATAAAGACTAGCAATTATGCAACTTGGAAATCGTGTTCATGCAATGCTTATAATCCTAGTTTCTTTCATTCTATTAAAGATAACCTAAATTTAACTTTATAAAAGTTTCAAGGCATATATATATTGAAAGAATAAACAAAGAAAGATGTAACTTAAAAACAAAAACAAAAACAACAATTGAAGAAAATGGTTGAAAAATCAATCTTTCACTCTCTTATACGTACGTATATATTATAATATACGAGTATAGTATACTATGTTTATTAATTAACTTAATATATATATGTGTTTTTAGATATCTACCGATGCGGTGATTTGTGTATATACACTATTTATTTTAACAAATAAGATACTACCATACATATCATATAATATCCCAAAATTGGTAAAATTATGTTAGTGCCTAAAGTAGACCATGGCAAATGTACGACGAGAGATAAATTGTACAAGGTTCAAATCAAGGACTTAATTTGCTAGTATATCTTGTTTGCTATGTTATATAAGTAGATACAATTTTTATTTTTATTTTTACCTTTCCTTGAGTTTGAAGGTTCCATCTGTCGACCAGACTGAATAAGGCCTGAATTTGCCATCTGCTCCATTAACCTTGCCTGTTCCCAATTCATCAACCTGCTGCTTTCATTTGCGTTGGCCTGCAAGCGGGCCTTCTGTTGGCTCAACTGCAGTTCCCTCAGCCTGGCCACCTCTTTTTTGTTCGCTTCGATTTCAGCTGCCAAATTAAAACACATTTTTCATTATCCAACACACAAACTACACATATATAACACATTTTTCATTATCCAACACACAAACTACACACGCACACATATATTTATAGAGAGAGCTTTCGTTGAGGGATCCTTCAAATAAGCTTATTTGAGGGACACCCTTGTAGGGCACACTTCACATTGTATTTCATTAATCCAAACGTCTATTTTGTAGATATTCATTCAATGATCACCTCTACAAAAAATCACTTGAATCTGATATCATTTGACCACTCAGTTAAATTATTGAAATTTATATACTTTCTTGAAACACCTTATTCATTGATTTTGTTGATCTCAATTAGATGTCTTAATGATTTTCAATTTGCATGATTTTTTGCAAGGATGATCTGTGAATGAAGATGTGAAAAATAGATAGTTTGGATCATTGAAAAAAAATTCGTAAAGAACCCTAAAGGGTATCCCTAAAATAAAATTATTTGAAGAATCCCTTAATAGAAAAGTACTATATATATAAACCACAGAATAATGGTGAAGATATATATGGGGGTACTGGCTAGGGTTTTACCATCTTTCATTAACTTGTCCTTGGCGTAAGCAGCTATCTGTTGGTTCAAGGCCTTTTGCTCCATTTGTAGATAATGCTTGTGGTGTGTGTAGAACTCAACTTGAGGAGCTAAAAAAGCTATTTGAGCCTATGTACACAAACATTAAATGAGATATCAAATAATTATATTTAAGATATTTTTTCATACTCAAATTAAGTAGTAAATACAATGTATTTTGAAGTTGAGTTAATTCATATATATGTTGAGGGAAATATCTGAATCGTATGGTTTATGTGAGAGCTCCCAATGGTTACCTCTAGAGCCTTCGCCTTCCTTTCCATCTCCGCGATATATTGTAGTTTCTTCAGTCTAGATTTCTGCGCCGAAGCCCGGTTTGAAATGATTCTATAAAAAATCCATCAAATATCCGCATGAAAATGTTAGATATATAATAACAAAAATATTACTGTTATATATTTGGACCACATATTCTGACCACGTATCGTATTGATTAAACCCTCTAGTAGGAAAAACACTTACATGAAATGGAAATAGCATTATTTTGCTATTTTCGGCCAATCACGATATGTCACACATGATAACTTTTGCACATGACATTCTGTGATTGGCCGGAGATAGCAAAACAATGTTATCCCTAATTTATATAAGTTTTTCTACTCTAATAGAAGTAGAATTGGGACCCACATTAATAGAATATACCTAAATGACTTGACTCTATTAAAGAGGTGGTCCACAAATATAAAGTGGTACAAACAAAATTATTCTATGCGGTGAACAACAAACTAATGTATATAGTTGATGGTTACCGTTTGAGCTTTTTTGGATCCATGGCCTCAGCGTCCGCGTTTTTGCCCAGTTTAACCTGAACACCATCCACAGTTACAGTTTTAGCTTTGGCATTAGAATGGTCATCATCACTATCAGAGCTTCGATTTTTTCCACCATTATTACCAGCTGCTGCAATAGCAGGAGTGGTATTAATATTGTTGAGCCTGTTGGCAATGCCGGCATTAATCCCAGGATTAAAGGCATTAATCCCGGGATTAAAGGCATTAATCCCGGGATTAGGCTCCGAAAGCTGGCCATGGTTGGCACTACTGCTGCTTGCACCACCCATACCTTCAGCATGGCTCATCCAGTAGGGTTGTTGTCTCCACCCTTGAAATGAACCACTTGGGGGTAAAGGAAGGTTGGGTGGACGCATCATTGAGAATTGCCTCTGGTCGATGGGTCTATTAGCCCATGATCCAAATCCCTCGCTAAAGCTAAGCTTCTTGTTTGGATCCATAGTTTTGCTCTTACTCTCTCCTTTTTCTCTTTCTTTGCAAAGAAAACAAGAAATGCTAGAAAACACAGACACACACACTAGGAGTATACAAATAATGTCCTTATAAAGGGGAGAGGAGGAATTTGTGATGGAGAACAAAGCACTCAGAAATCAATGTGTACACTTAACCTATGTTTATCCAGACAAGATACAGAAAAATTACCATATATTACCATCCCCCCACATTATTTATTGGCGCCTACAAAGCTGTCATTTGGTCTCAATTTGAAAATTCCAATAGATCAAATTACAAAACTAGTCTTTGCAAATCATGTTGGATTGAGGTAGGGTTGGGTAGTTTGGACAATTTGCAGAGCATCATTAGACAAGTGCTGATGGTGCTTAACATATTTGAACTTGGTTTTCCCTTTTATCTTTGTGCTCATCTCTTAAAGGGGTTTCCTCAAAATTTCTTCCATGTATATAACCTCATCTCGATCAGGTTTGTTCTGTGCCAACCCTTTACGTGTTGTGAGAAGAACGTTGTATGAACAGTACAACAATATGATCATCAGCCATATTGTGCCATGTGGACTGCCTGACATCACACTGAATAAATTTTCAACAATAAGATCCTAATACTAGTGAAGTACATGCCCTTAAGGTTACTAGCTTTCAATCTTGCTGGTCTGAGGATCAAGAAAAATTAAAGGATTTTCAATCGTTTTTATATATAGAAATGGCTTGATTGACAAAAGAAAACAAAAATCCAGATATATAAAGTAACGAATATATATATATATATATATATATATATGCTCTCAGGTAATTCATAGTAGTCCACGGTGGAGCCACTCCTAGGGGCCTTGGCCCCCCAAAATTTTTACCTCCCTTCTCTACTATATTATATATAATATATAATACTGTATACATTTAATAATCGACAACTTGTAATTTAAGTTAATGGACTCTCTAAAATAAATTAGACATGATTAAGTTTGAAATATTTAACTTTAACATGTAAGTTTTAAATCATATGTATTTGATATATACTTTATTTTCTATTTCGGCCCCTTCAATTTTACAATTCTCGCTCCGCCATGTAAAGACTTTTCTAACTCTAGATTAATTCCTGCACAAAAACTTGGCTCGAAGTAAATCTTACAAGAAGCTAAGGAAACACAATTAAAAATAGAAAGCAAACAAAAAATTATGTCTTTAAATGCAAATGAGGCATGCATTAATCTACAACAAAGAAAGATCTAAAGAAAATCTCTTGTTACCCTTTTACCAATAGAAAAGCATCGATGAAAAATGCATATTCTCATATGACTCCAAGGCCGCATTCAAATCCAAGGTCGATTTTCATGTGGAATTTCGCATGGTTTGATTGGATACAAGTGGAAAGAAAAGAAGTTCTTGAGATCTTTTACAGAAATACAGTTTATAAAATACTATATATAAACATTGTACACATAGATACGATGCATGAGCAGTATGATATATGGAAAGTTACAATGGAATCAGAGGGATGAAGTAAAAGTTGTGCGAGATAAAGAATTAATAAGTGGGTAGAAATTAAAAGTGACATATAATTAGGTTAAATTTAGGTATTTTTATTTATCTTTAAGCATGTTCAAGGTTAGACGGTTATATTTGTCTCCGCATTTTGAGTTCTCTCTTAATTATAGTATAAGTTATTAATTAGCTACAAATGTTGACACAACGTAACAAGGCAATCAAACAATTAGTTTAAGAGAATCAAAGCATGGAATTCACCATATAAGAGAAAACTTCTCGTTTATTGAATTCATAATGATAACATCATCCTCTAGTCACGGGCTAAAGTTGGTTTAAATATTCATAAAAACCCAAGGAATCAAAAAGGAACTAAAAAGAAAAAATAATAAAAGTTTCCAAAAACTAGTAAAATATTAAAAGGCTCGTTTGGGTTGCTAAACAATCTCGAACACCCAAAAAAGCCCACGCATCATGTCAAAACAATGAGTTTTACTCATGGCGATGTTCCCTTCAAAACGGTGGGTCGTGGCCCCACATCAAAGCTTGAGGCCCAAACTTGTAACTTGTCAGTTTCGCCTCAACTATATGTTCTACATCAAATGTTGAGTCCGGACTCACATATACCTAATTTAACAAGACATATATAAGATTATGCTAGCGTTTCATTAAAATTGAACGGTTGATATATAGGGTAAAGATTTAAAAGCATGTAACTAAATGATATAGTTCTTAAACCATCACACACTACGTACAAAAAAAAAGTGGCAACAGTTACCATTATTTGATGATATTTGGTGACATTTCCTGGGGTGACTAAAGCCTTTAGTCACCCCAGCAAATATCACCAAATAATGATGACTGTTGCCATTTTTTTTTGTAGTGACATTTTCATCCAAAAACTTACTTAGAGGTAAATGACAAGTGTCTTTAATTATAATTGCTAATATGTAGTGTATGTTGTATGCAAGGTTTAAAGAGTTATTTACACTAATACCCCCATAGGTTTTCGACTTTTTCACTAAATCCCCTGAGGTTTCAGATTTAACACGAACACTCCTTGAGGTTTCAAATTGTTTTCACAAAACCCATTTTCGTTGATTGTTCATTCGAAACTTGATGATTTCATCTAATCAAACGTGTGCAAATGACAAAATCAACCCAAATGATGATGTACGTGCAATCTAATCTCAAAGGCTAACTTTGTCATTTGGAGATATTTTTATATATAAAATCATCAATCTTTAGATGAAAAATCAATGGAAGGGGGTTTTGTGAAAACAATTTAAAACCTTATGGGGTAATTTCCAAAACCTTAGGGAGTTTTGTGAAACAGCCAAAAACATAAAAGGGTGTTAGTACAAATAACTCTATATATGTATGCATATTGGAGCACCAACCCTTATATCAACATGCACCATTTGTTTCATAGAAAAACTAGAGTACTTCTAGGGCTTTAGTTCCTATCATACATGGCAATTAATGTTTCATCATGAACTGTTTATATATTCACGAATCATTATTATTTCCATGGATGATCTTATTTGAAGCAGAACTTAACAAGTTGAAGAGTTGATATCACTAAACATTGTTAGGGTGGGGGCGGGTGCTGGGCCTTGGAGGAGGGGACTAATTATAGAATCATACTTGGGAAATGTTTTGCCTTAGGGTTGAGCGAAGCTCTACACTTAGCATCCTACAATATAAGTAAACTAATTCAAATTTTAATGAGTTAGAATCAGGATAGGTGAAAGCTTCAAATATAACCGGATAAAATAAGAACTCATTTGATTTTAGCCGGAATTCATATTAGGAAACACAAAATGCACCTTAAAAATCTCTTTGGTACAAGCCCCCTCCCAAAATATATATGCCAGCTAGAAATTTCTGGATATCCTTTACATGGCATCATAGACACAATAGGCATATGTCCTGGAAAAAAGCCTATTGCTACCAAATGGTACATGCCCTTAGGATACCCAGCAAAGAAGGAAAAAACCGAGAAAGGAAGGATTTTAGGCTTTGTCTGGATGCAGTGCACATAAAATATTTTTTTGTTAGACAGTTTGTCATTTTAAATAAGAAATTTACCTAATCAATCGAATCTTGAATCTACCTGACCAAAGGTTCATATTGACAGTCTTAATATTACAATTTGTCAATCTGTCAAGCAAGCCAATATTTCTTTATGTATTTGTATATTTCCTATTATACTTGGATGGTAGTGGTACTATGTTTTGGGTCATTGTTTTAATCAGAAATTATTATTTTTTGGTTTTGGTACAATGGATGCTAGAAATCCAAAAAAGAAAGAGACTAAATGATTAAATTTACTTATACTAATTTAATTTGGATGATTATTTTCTCACTCTCCTTTTGTCCGCTTACACTCCTTTTTCTTTTTTAATATTTTTGGCTATTACATAAAAGAGAGTGTGAGTGGACAAAAGAGGCGTGAGAACATATAATTTTCAACAAATGCAGTGTAAGTGGACAAAAGAGGAGTGGGGAAACCAACTCCCTTTAATTTACTCAAAATACCGTAGTGTAAAACAATGTTTTATGTGTTCACATAAGAAATAAATCCACAAACAAAGGACTAGCATATACTTCATTAATCAATTTCATTTATAATACAACAAATTATACTTGACAATGAAACAACCTGAAATTTATACAAAAATAAAGTCATTTTGTCATGTCAACCACTTCAAAATTTTCTTCTTTTTTAAAGTCGTAGGTAATTTAAAAAAAAATCTACTTGAAGAATTAATGGATCTTAACTAAGTAAATAATTCAAATTCAAGTAAAGTAAACGAGTCGAAACATAAACCAAAACAAAAGCCCTCCATAATATTATTAATCATGTGTCTCTTTAACAAACGCCAAACTGAGTTCATTAATTTAAGCAAGAAACATAAAGAAAATTAAAATCCCATGCACAAAAACATGGATATGTGTCCGGAAAATTCCAACAAAATACTACTAATAAACCAAGCTAACTGGAGGATTTCTATATGAAATTTCACATGAACCTGAAGGAGGGCCCAGCTGGGTCTTGCAGATCAGCATCATCATCACCATCATTATTGATCATGTTAAGCGGATTCATGGCCATGTGATCATCCATGTCCATACCCAAATGATTCATTTCAAAAGGGTCGATGAATGTGCCCATATTAGGCATGTCCAAATCATTCATCTCCACAAACGACTGTCCTGGCCAGCCATATTGGTTCAGATCATCAGCAGGTTGGTTCAGCATCAGGGTGTCAACCAGGCCAGCCGGCCGGGTGAATTGATCAGCAAGTCCAAGCCCAAAGCCAGGTTGGTCCAGACCCAAATTGACCATTTGATAATCTGGTGAGTTGAAGGCCTCAGCTGCTCCTTGTTGTAGAAGAGCTTGATGGAGCTGCCTCAGAGAGTCTCTCTCCTTCACCAGTGCCTCATACTGAGCTGCATATACCCAAATATTTAAGTTTAACCCTTTGTTATGTTCATTCATGTATGTGTCAAGAAAATTTGAAATAATATGCCGATGTTTTTACGTCACAAATGATCAATTGAGAGGAGAAACCTTGTTTGAACTTAAGTTCGTCAGTATATGCAGAAAGCTTTTGTCTCATTGCATGGTTTTCCGCCCTCAGCAACTTATTACGATGACCCGCATATTTGACTCTCGGAGTGTTGACAGCTATTTCAGTCTGCACACATGATGTATATATAAAATCCCACATCCATGTAGCAAACTCCTTTTTTTTTTTGTGTGCAAAGGATCAACACTTACATGCATATATAAATTAAGTGGAACGAACAACGGAACAACACATATAATTAAGGAGAATTTATGTGGGGACGAGATGCAAGTTACCTGGAGTACTTTCACTTCGTTTTCGAGTTTCGTAACATATGCAGCCTGCTTGACCCGATACCTGAGTGAATACTCTCTGCTAGCCAAAACCCTAGAGAAAACAGATCAAACATTTTTTAAAATTATTAGATCTAGAAAAGACAGAAGGAAAATGCATGTTTCTTGAGCGGATCTTTACAGTATAATTAGATTCTTCATGTTTTAAATGTTATGGAATGTCAAAGCCTGTCCTGTACCTAAGTACAAGATACTGGGCCTCTCCACCTATTACCAGTTAATTTCGGGTTGGATCTTATAATTTTAACAAAAAGGTCAAAATTCAAATTTCCAACCACGGTTTTAATTTCTTAAATATTTAGGGAAAGGAGATCTATGGTAAGAAGGCTAGATAATAAACTTTTTCTGCTGCTTGGCGTCCATCTCTTCAAGGTCCTCATCCTCTAGATCAGCAACCTGGATCTCAGAGTTGGGCTCATGAGTAGTTTCTGGTGCTAGTGCAAGTCCTTTGGCTCTGTCAGCTGCGTTACCACTGATATCATAGGATGGTGGTGCCAATGGGATAATGGGAGAGTTGGCGCTTGAGCTCTGCCACCCTAGATGAGAGGGTGGCAGAGGTGGCAGTGAGGGAAGCTGGGAGTTCGTGTTCTTGTTGAAGCTCTCCATTTGTATGTTTGTAACCTGAAAAAGCCAAGCAGTCAAACAGATGTTAGCCAAAATGACATTAATTATAACCTAGAAAACCAAAGCCTAGAATGTTACTCATACGATACTAACATCACAAAAGAAAAATGATTAGAGCAAGTGAGTATTAGGGTTCTCTATATGTCCCCTTTTATAGATGCTAAACAAAGAGAAATAACAAGAGAATCTTGGACAGGAACAAGCATAGTTTCTCTAGTTGTCTTGTTTTTACTTTCCTTTTAATCAAAACTACCATTTTTATCTCTCTTGGCTCCATATAATTATATTTCTTAATCCTTATATTGAAGTAACATGGGATCATATAAACTGAAATAAAATCAAAATTATAGTGACTGTTGAAACACGTACGATCGTAAGTGAACAACAGAAATTTAATTTGGCAACTAGTTTTGTCAAAATGAACTATTTGTTTTAACTGAATAGTTTTGACAATTAATTCTAATCCGGATCAATTGATTCGTTTTTTTACTGTACTAATTATTGCTGCGTGTCCGTTCTTTATTAAAGAACAAACGTCCTACACAGAAAATCTCTTACTAGGGCTACATCTTTATCTTTATTTTCATTTCTTGGAGTATATATATGTTTTCTAATATAATTTCTACACATGGTATATGACACACTACACATACTAATGAAGTATTTGGTTCAAATACATTTTTCTCAATGGTTTAGTATTTGTCACAATTGGACTAGTAAGGTGAGCATTAAGGTGATGCCCCATAGACTGCTAGAGTTTCCAATCACAAGGGCATAGAAAATTAAATGTTAAACTACGGGGATAAAATGAGATTATGTATCATGGCGCCCCTAAGAACATGTCTAGAAATACAAATCTGGTTCCTAAAAGCATTTGTAAATTTGTGTTTAGTATCAAATATTTTAATTACAGGGTAGAAATTTTTGTATTCTCAATAACTATGATTACCTTGTAAAAAATTATATACTTATTTCAATTACCTTGTAAAAATTATATACAACGGGCGCATACAATAATTTCTCTACATACATGCAAAGTATAAGTTTGTGCAGAGTATCAGTTCATGAGCCATGTAGAATAGTTCACACTTACTATGTATATTAGATTCATGAATAATTTCAATATTCTTGTGCTGCCAGACAAATGCTTATATTTTCATATTGCCAGTTTGTACCACACACATTCTTGCAATAACTAATATGATCAATGATCCAGATTCACAATATTAATAGACAGTCTGGCGACATAAAATACTTATATATTGTCATATTGTGAATTTAGACCATTGTTTAGATCAATACTTCTTGAATATTTGATCCATATTCAGTATCTAGCAAGATGAACATTCCATACTGCCAGACTGTCTATCGAAAGGGCATTACCTTAGATAGAAAACACTAGCTACATTGGTTTATGTCTTCCCCCTTCTCCTTCTTATTATGCAATTTGTATGATAATCAAAATTGTTCATTTTTAAGGTCATTCATGAAAAAGATCAGTCGAAATGAAAATCATTTTTGACATTTGATTAATAGTGTGATAATTCATTGCCTAATCCAAACACTAGGGTTCATCTATTTATCCGAAAACAGTTCGATGGCTAAATTATTTTTTATTTGTTTAATGTTTTGTATAGAAGATCTTTAACGGTGACCTAGAAGATAGACAATCTTGATCATCAAACCACTTTATAGGATAAAAACGGAATAGAAAAATGTATAAAGGACAAAGTAGATAGCATTCTCTTACCCTAGATATATATAAGTATTTTGAATTTTTTTTTTAAAAGACATATATAAGTAAAGTACTTAATATATTCCATGAAAAAAGAAATCACCTCTCGACATGTTGCTAAGAACTAGAGCATCCAATCCACAATCAAATAGTTGTTCCTTATGTGGGTTGCTTGTGTGCAGGGGTGGATCCACGTTTGGGCTATAGTGGGTTCTAGTCCAACATTGACTTTGGAGAGATATAAATTAGGCTTAGTTGTATAAGCTTAATTCAGGAAAATTAAATAATAGCCAGCCCATCTCAAGAGAAATTATAGAATGATACGGTAATACCATAGCAGCGTTACATAATACTCCCATTCAAATATAGCTACATATTAATACAACCACATCAATGTATAGTACTCCCATTCAAATGGATAACTTTACTGAAGGTGGAAATGACTAATTTTACACAGTATAACGGTCTTACACTAATTTTACACAGTACTAGTGGAATTTACACAAAAACGAAAAACAAAAAACAAAAATTTTATTTTATTTAAATAAAAAAAGTGCAAATAAGGGAAGGGTAAGTTGGTTCAGAGCATTTGATTGGAGCAAAAATGCACTCTTGCCTCGCCATAGATCAAATAGGCATAGGCACACCATGTTCGTTTCCGTGCCATGTAGGACACCTACCACGACCGTCTTCTACCTTTGGACTTGGTTTTCGTCTTCTCACTCCCAAATCAATCTCAGACATTACCTCCTACTCTCTTCTCGCTGGCACACTCAGATATCCACTAACAACAACCACCATCAAGCATCGGATTCGTCGCCGCCAAGTCACGTCAGCTCCCGCCACTATGCTTCCTCAAAACCCGCTCGTCGCTGATATTTGCGCCACCTTCATTGCCGGTGGTGTTGCTCTGTTCTTCCTTCTGTTGTGGGAAGAGACCGCCAAACGTGGGGTCTTCGACCAGGTCAAAATCTCATCTTTCTCTTCTCTTTTGGGTACCCAGTATAACGCGTATTTGTACGTGTTTGTATACGTTTTCTGTTTCGATATACAATTTTTCGTCTAATCTTTGGTGGGTTGTGTTGGGTTCTGATTGATTTGTGGGAAATTGTTTTTTTTTTTTTTTTTTTTTAAAGCACTGATTTTGTTGATAATTAAGAACCATAGCCAAAAGATATTACAAAATTGGTTAAAAATTGCAACTGTAAACCTCGCCTCAATTGGTGTACTGACAACTTCCAAAAGAGACTATTTATGCTTAAGTATACTGGAAATATAATTGGTTGTACCACTAAAGCTGCTGCTGATGTGAAGAATGGGGAGCAAAAGCATGCCACATGTAGCAGGATTGAATGTTGTTTCTTTTTTGTTAAAAGGGGCTGCTAGTATTTTCCTCTGCAAGTAATAGCTGAAGAGTGAGCTTGTATGAACTTAACCAGTGAGTGTTTGGTGGTTCACTGTCTGTGTGCCTGTAGTAGTCATCCCTGCTGAAAGTGCTTTCAGATTATTTATCTTTTACCATGTTTTGATAGCTGATTTTAGCGGGTTTGCTAGATTGTCTGTCTGCTAGGGAACTTAAGCTACAGCAAGGGGATCCACTGTCATTAGGTCTCATTAAATCTCAAACAAGGGAGTGATCAATTGAGATGGAGTGTGATAGATGGTTTTACAATCGAGGAGTTGTATCAGTATTTACAGTTTTGTCGTATGCAACATCTCATCCCTCTAATTCTTAGCCTAAATAGGGACATGCTTGCTCTTGTAAATTTATTGCTTTTAGACTTTTGCATGCCTTTTGCCTTCACAACATGTAGGAGAAGGGAAATCTGATCCTATCATGGCTTCTGCTTCAATTTCTATATTGTGACAGATAGGTTCTACTTCTTAGCATAACTTACTGTCCTAAAAGCCTGTGCATCTAAGAGTATGTTATCTTTTCTTTTGTAGAAACTCAATAGAAAGTGTGTGCATGTAAGCATTGGCCTAGTTTTCATGCTTTGCTGGCCGCTATTCAGGTAATTGCATGACTAAATAAGTCGTTTTAATAACTTTACCATGCATCTGACTGATAATAGGTACTATGTATAATTACAGTTCTGGCCTTCGAGGAGCATTTTTAGCATCTCTTACTCCAGGCATAAATATTTTCCGTATGCTTCTATTGGGACTCGGTATATGGAAAGATGAAGCAACAGTGAAATCAATAAGCAGATATGGAGACTACAGGTAGTGATTTTGAAAGACTTTTCTGCTATAAACATTCCCGAATAATCTCTCATTAGTTTTTCAAATCTGTTTGTCACTTTTCTCGGGATTGTAAAGAGATAGATGATGAGTCAACAAACTTCTCAAAGTGAAAACCGATCAAACTAATGTAAGACTACCTCCTCTAGATAAGAACTTTCTTTTGCTGCATTTCAATCTCTTCTTTACAATCTTCACAACTGGATCCCAAAAATTAACGCTGGAGATTACCACATGATGGAAGACCCAATTATCTCATTACCCAACTCCCCAACACATAACCCCATCTAGATCCTTCCAAAAGGAAACTACTTCCTCTCATTGGTCAGCAGAGGAATAGGTTATGGTTATTTACCAATTTGTTGGCCCTTGAAATTTTGATGCCTGCTAGTGGGAACAATGTTTGCTTTATGCTTATTTCAATTTGTTGATTACCTAATAAGTTTCATACATGATTTCTTATTTTCCCTTTACTTCATGCATCAGGGAACTTCTTAAGGGGCCACTGTACTATGCCATAACAATAACTTTGGCTTGTATAATCTATTGGAGAACTTCCCCCATTGCAATTGCTCTTATATGCAATCTGTGTGCTGGAGATGGTACATCTAACTGATTCAGTTTGTCCATTCTGTTGTCTTGATTTAGGTTGACTTTTAGCTTTTCTAGTAAAACACTTGATTTCATGGTTAAGCTGCTCAGGACTTCTATCAAACTTCTATTGAAGGATTATAATTGATTTTACTTACTTCCGTCAGGTTTAGCAGACATTGTTGGTAGGCGGTTTGGTACTCGGAAAATTCCATACAACAGAAACAAATCCATAGTTGGTAGTGTTGCAATGGCATCTGCTGGTTTTTTAACATCTATCGGGTAACTTTGCTTGCTTATTTTGTTGCTGTTTTAGAACTGGATTGAACCTTAGAATCTATCATGTTTCTTACTGGTTGGCAATGTTGACAGGTATATGCACTATTTCTCCAGATTTGGATTTGTTCAGGAGAGTTGGGGTATGGTTTTGGGTTTCTTGGTTGTGTCTCTTGCCTCGGCACTGGTAGAATCACTCCCGATAAGCACTAACCTTGATGACAACCTAACAGTTCCACTTGCTTCTATATTAGTCGGCAGTTTGGTTTTCTGATTTGGGTAATCCTTGTAAATAGTGGCGAAAGAATCAACTGCATTTGGCCAACTTGATTGGGTGTTGTAATATGTGTACTATAGCATTGTTTCTTAGCTTGAAGATCTGTAACGGATAATATCGTACCCATAAATGATGTAACCTTGATGCTCTTTTGTGAAAATTCATCACAATGCAGGTGACTTACCAGCCCCGCATGAATATGACAATTGTGTTTCTTCTTGTAATCGGAGGCATTCCGCGTGCATCAGTGCACGTGTTTTATGTTTATTTACAGTCTTTACCCACAATTAACCAAGTGAACATGTTTGCTACACATCTTCTATGATTTTAGCATGTTTTGAGTCCCAGAAAACACTCAAATCATAGATAGCAGGAGCACAAAAGACTGAAGTAAGGGCTGTATTTTCAGTCCTAGTGACGAAACGACATGCAGGATAATGGTAACAAATTTGCTCACCAGATTTAAGACCAAGAGGTAGCATTATCACTTCACCTAATCCATGCCAGGTGTTATATAAATTAACTATGATTATCATTTGGTAACAGTTATAACCACACACATTAATTGTGATTATAGGGCCATCAGGACTACTGACGAACTGTTTTGGTTTAGGTCGGTTTACAAAAGCCCAAAACGCAATTAAAGAAATCATTATCGTCCAGTTTTGAACTGTTTGAATTTATATTTGTGTGTGTGTGTGTTTAAAACCAATCCAAACCAACCACAACAGTTCGAATCGGCCGGATCCATGCCCACTCCTAGTTTGAGCCAAGAGGCATCAAAGATGCTCGTCTCCTACCTTGTCTCCTACGAACTTGGAATATCCGCCGCATGGTCGTTCAAATGACTAATTAGATCAGACTACCAACTCAAAGCTTCCAATCCTACTCATTTCATTGCTTCCTTAATGGGAGAGTGATAGCTTCTGATTTCCCAAACAAATCAATCATCCAAACTAACGGTTCAAAATAAAAGAGACAACTAACTGAAGTAGCAAATATACAAGAAAAAAATGAAGGAACTAGAAGATATTAGGTGTGTGACTGAGAATTCAAACATTATAAAAACACAAGATAAGGGACATTTAACGGTGACACAGACATCATGGAAGGCTCATCACAGCCACAGCCCAGATTACATGTTAGCCAAACAAGGCCAAAACAGAATTGCTCTGCACTTACCAAGTCCCCCACGCAAATCTCTGTAAAAACAAAATCACTTGTTATGAACTAGAAGACGTCAATGGCAACTCTGCTGCACCATTTTCCTGTGCACCAACATCATCTGTCCTCTTTTTCTTCAACCACAGTGAGAAACAATTGAATGGCTTCTCAACAACAGCAGAGTCTTCTTCATCAACTGAATTCAATTGCGGTTGAGGACTCTTAGCTCGCTTGAGACATGGAAGCACAGCAAGGCAGAGAATGAAAGCAGCAAAGAGAACAACCACAACCACCATCATGACCTCCCCATGCAAGGCAAAGTGCCTATCACTCAAGAAGGGAATCCCATCTTGGTCTTGGTCTTGGTTGGGAGCCATGGCAGGTGACATGGTAAGCAATTTGTGAAGTGCCCATGTTGCTGTTGATGTCGGTTTCTTCATCATCTCTAGATTTCTAATCTCTTACTTGCTAAGGTATTGTGATTTTCCAAGTGAGGGTTTTTTTGGGTTTTGCCAGTAACAACAGTGTGAAATGTTTGACTATCGTATAGGTGTGTCTCATTGCCATTTATGGAATGTGACATTTAGCCAGTTTGTTATTGTTGTGCTATGAAAATAATCATTGTTAGATTTGCTGTAAGAGAAATCAGCTGTGAGATAAAGCAGTTTGACATTTGGTAAACTTTTCGTTAAAAGTGTTGTTAGTATTGATTCTCGCATAGTCAGAAAATGATTCCTACATAATCATTACATCTTCGAAACTGATTCCTGCGTAATCAGAAAATAAAAGCAGGTACTGCTTTCCCTTATAACTTTCTCTCAAATCAATTTTTAATAATAAGTGATTTTCTCATAATTTACTAAATGGGTTGAGCTTCCCAAATTTTTTAGAAAATCACTTTATCACCTCAAATAAGCAATATCAAATCGGTACTTATTATCCTGGATTTTTCTGAGCCCAAATAGAGTTAAGGAGGGGTAATGGGTTAGTGGGCCCATCTCCTTGGCTTTTGTTATTCCAATTTTGGTCTTTTCAGGGAGGGGTAATGAGTTAGTGGGCCCATAATCTTAGCCCAAATTTGAAAGGCTGATAGGGAATTCTGACTCCAGAACCGGGGGGCCATGCTTGCTGTATTACTTTTCTATCGTATTCGTTCCGTGTTGGCTTCATCAATCGCATGTGTACAACGTTAACTTTTCTGTCTTTACGATTCAACGTGCTGTCGAAGTTCACGTATAAATAATGTCTTGTTGACGGGTCTGAGTCATTCAATTGGTGTGGTCGTTACAATTCGACGTGCTGTCGAAGTTCACATATAAATAATGTCTTTTTTAACGGGTCTGAGTCATTCTGTAGTAAGAGTTTTAGATAAGAACTTTAGATGAGGTTATATATCTTAATCGTTAGATAAAAATTAACTAATTTGATTCAATGATTAATCAATTTGGATCAACAGTTAAAAGATAGGGCCTTATTTAAGGCCCTCACTATATAATTCTTGAACGGGATTTAGCTCAGTGAAAAATGGTTTTGACTTGAAAACACATCTTTGGTTCGTACCTCATGACATCTTGGTTGTGTATACGTGTGAGAAACTCTCCCTCCTATGTAGTTTAAATTATCGTTTGTATTAAAAAAAATGTATTATTATTAATTAATATTATAGCTTAAAATATAAACGTTCATCATAGTTGAGATTTAATTTTTTTTTTTTTTTTTTTTTTTTTTTTTTTTTTTTTTTTTTTGTGCTGTTAAAGGCTTTACTGACACGATAGTTGTTAGACCTCCCAAAAGAGAAGCCTTCATATTGAGAAAAACTTTCATGAAACGGGGATAACATTATTTTATTATACCTGACCAATAACACTATGACACACATGATAACACTTCTACATTATTGGTTGGAGATAGTAAAACCAGTATTATCCTCGTTGCATATAAGTTTTTCTCCTTCACATCCCCTATTTTTGGTGTTAAAAGTCACTAGGCTCAAAACAACCCAGAGAAAGTATAGATCTTAGGGAATGTTGTGTCTTTAATGTCTCCTTGAGCTAACAATGTAAAAGATGTTCAATAAATGAGTTAAGTTGGAAAATAGTGGCATGAGAGTGATGAACTGTCAACTATGGTAGCTAGAGACCCACAAGTTTAGCAAATAAGAATACTGTGTTTTTCTTGATGTTGGCCATGCTTGGTTTTATGAAAGTTTGAAAGCGATTTTGATGGTGGGTGATGGCCATCCCATGGTGATTGGAGGGTTTCAAAGTGTAGGAAGAGTGGAAAGCTTGAGACTTATAGTTTTGATCTCAGCAACAGATGGGAGAGAGAGTTTTTCTCATGGCATGCAGTTGATGGTTCCCCTTAAGAAATTTTCCAGTAAATCGTGTGATGTTGAAATGTATAGTAAAAAAATACTAGATAGTAATTTTCACAAAAACAAAAATATACAACATGGGAAGGAATTTGGAAATAGAAGAGGTATTGTCTATCTTTTGCTTTAATTTATGTTTCCAACGAAATAGAAAATAAAAAGTTGACTAACTCTTATCTCTAATCTGTTTATAATATTATTATTCACGAGTTTTAACTCAAGTGATATGGAATGGGTGGATCGAAAATAAAGATCTTAAGTCTAATTCTAAATGGAATGAAACAAATGTATACTGATTCTTATGTACCAAGATTCATTAGTTTATAGTCACTGTACAAAAATGACTATAAACTAATGTTAATTAAAATAAGTTCTCATTAGTTTCTTGATGTAAATTTGTTGCTTTTTGGTTTATAGTCACTATAGAGTTTCCTATTGCGATTGATAGGAAACCAATTTCACCTTCTTTTTTTTTCTTTTTCCAAAACTAATTTCACCTAATTTACTTGAGATCAATGACTAAGAAAATTTTGTGATCTTAAGGGGACTCGAACCTTATCTCCCAAGGGATGAAACCTCAATCACAAACCACTACACCAACCTTGCTTTTTTAATATTTAATATGTAACACTTCACAATCGAAGGTTTAAAAAAAAACAAAACAAAAATCAATTCAACATCAATTCGTGCACGATTTGTTTACAAATCCAGCATGCTCTAGAGTTATATATAAATTGCAATAAACTACCACTCTAAAACAAAACAATGCAAATATCAATTAAGCAAAACGAAAACAAAAATAATTTACAACTATTTCTTTTGGGTTTTGTGCCCTTCAACATAGACACTAAACAATCATCTAACATACACACAACATTGTCGTTTATAATCTTGCCAATCTATCTAGCATGCACATTATACACACATTATAGTTATTGTTTCTACATAGACACACTACACTAGTCATTCTTTCCTTCTTGAAATAAAAATGACACCGAAGATTGTCAGTTGCCACACAAAAAATACACTCAAAAGCCAACACAAATGAAAGTTACATAAAAAGCTACCAAGGGCAATGTAAAGAGCACATAAAACAAAAAGAAAACATAAAGTACAATGCAGAACCAACAAATTTACAGAGATTTATCAATTTTTGAGAGAATTGTATGAATTAAAAAACAGAAACTACAATACAATTATTATTCCATAACAAATCATAACATAAACACTAACACGCTAAAGAACGACGACAAAACGATGACCAATCTACAATCTAACTAAAACATAAGTAAATAAATAAATAACCTATCAAATTAACTTAAAAAATCATACCAATATCCAATTAACATAGCCAGATGTAATTAAATGGAAACGAAAACTGCAATACAGTTTGTGGGAATCTCCAACGCAGTTTGTGCAAATCTGCAATGCAGCTCCAAAGATATAGTCAAGAGTTATGATCAAGAGTTGCAGTTGATATAAGTATAAAGAAGAGGCATGAATATGCAGGTGGAAATCAAAATGTAAAAAGAATCGAGAAGCATCTATGACTGTTGTATTTTTCCAAATTAAGCAAATATCTTATAATGAAATGAATATGGGAACTCATAACAAGCCCTCATTAGAGTAACAATGTCCAAAAACACAAGATGAACACCACACCACACTCAACACACATAATTGCTCATTAGTGTTGTAAATATAAAAAAGATAGAGATATCACTTAGTACAATCAAATAGTTCTTCATTCCTCGTCGCTCAAATCATTGAGCATTTCATCCCACGTCTCCTCCACATGTAGACTAAATGAGTATCCATCAACAGGAAGAACAAAATTGTCCATACAACAAAGAAATTCAAGAAATTCATAACCCTCACACATAAATTTACTAATATGAGACACAAGCTTTGATATTTCATCATCGTTCTCATTGAAACCAAAACAATCTCTAGCATCCAACATCACCAGATCTTTGCATCTGCATAGCAACATGAGAAGACCATCCCGATTAACTTTTGTACCCTTCAAATTTAAGTACTTGATATTAGGCACCAACTTCACAATTGACAATGCCTCACGTCCATGAACAGGCCTTTGGACAAATCTAAACCATAAAAATTCTTGCAACATGTTTATATAATTGCAAGTATTTTCGCCAAATTTAAGCATGAACCCAATGATAACACCTCCAAAGTTTTCCACTTGCCAATCAGCTCTAGGTTCGTGTGTTTGCTGTCCAATAAATCTCCTGGTAAACTCAAAATCACAAGGCCAAGACACCTGCACACATTCCACAACAACAAAAATGCTACATTTACATTTACAAGGAAAATTAAACTGGGTATACTTGAGGGTTTTGAAAATTAACATGTTTTGTTAATCAAGCGGAAAATGAGAAAACTTACACATTTGCAGCAAATTCAAAGGCTTGTACTGTGCAGCATTTGGGAAGCTTAAGCAGAGACATTAGCGTTTCCGCTACTCCGATTGATCACAAACTTTAAAAAAGCGGTGACAGAGCAACGATTCCCATCAATTTGATACTCACTCGCAAATCTGTCCATAAGATTTTGAAAATCCGGACATTCAGACACATCCCAAGGCCAGACTTCAATACATTCGTTGTCTGGGAAAATGACAGATTTCCAACATGAAGGATTGAGGGTCCTCCCATCTTCATTCGTCCATCTGCAACAACGATTTAATATAACTACATATGTATACAATAAATTAATTAAACACCAAATTAAAAGAAGAAGAAAAAAACCATAAATTTCAAAAGAATACAAAGAAACCTGGGAAAACAACAATATGGCAATCCTTTTCCTATATAATAAGAACAAACAGGAATTAATTGATGAAGTGTTGGATAATTGTTCATTTAACAAGCACTTTCCACATTCGAACAACAAAAAGTAATAAACCAGTTACTAGTCCAGCAATACAATAATAGAGGCAAAGCAATTCTAGTATGTCCTTTTGGAAAAGCAAGCAAGGCCCTTTGTTTCGGAAAATCCGCCTAGGCGGGCGGCTAGGCTGCTAGGCGGGAGCTAGGCGGCTGGGTTGGCCACCTAGGTGGGTTGGGTATTTTTTCGGTGCCGAAACCGAAGAAAACAAATCGAAGCTTGAGTTGATAGAGAAGCGAAATGGTCGTCCACTGCGGGTGCAAGTTCCATCCACTGCGGGTGCAAGCTTCGTGTTCATTTTGAATATATTTAAAGCGTATAGCCGCGCGGCTATACCTTTAAAATATTCGAATATATTAATATTTAAAGAGTATAGCCGGTTAAAATATTCGAATGTATTTATACAGTATAGCCTCGCGGCTATACCAGTTAAATATACAATCATATCATTTTAGGGTTTAGGGCTAAAGTTATTTATTCAATTATTTTATTTATACAAGCGATATTTGGGAATGAGAATTTAAATTCTTTCTGATACCTCTCATTCTAATGATTTCCAACTATTAGCTCACTGGACAAGAATAATACGGATTAAACCCATAAATACAAGAACAACAAAAAATATAGAGTTTACAAGATAATACTAGACGCCAACGACAATTGGACGTCCAGAATTATATATCTACCAAGAATACAATCAAATATACCATGAAATACAATAATTGACGTCTAAGATAGCCGATTGTAATCCAAACCAATCCTCTTCTTCAATTCTTCCACAAACTTAAAGTTTATTTCATATATAATATGGATTCTGGAGCAATAAAAACCTTACCACAATGATTTGAGTGACAAAATAATAATCTCATAAAATAATGGTTATTGAACAGATAATTCTATTATAATTAGTTTATAAGGTTGCTTCAGTATAAAGGAAAGGAAAGCATAACAATCTGATGGAAATAGAACTCTAGGAGTAAAGATGAACTGGTGCATAAGAATCTTGATGTAAACTAATGAATCTTGGTACATTTACATTTATGCAGTAGTTTTCTATTGTAATCTAGTATTGAAACTGATTCTAAAGTTAATTTTGGAGAAAATAAAAAAAACAAAAAGCAAACAGCAAACAGCACGTAATTGATTAGGTCCATATACTTAGATTTTGTTAAACCAAAACAACAATCCATTGTCGTCCAGCGGTTAGGATATCTGGCTTTCACCCAGGAGACCCGGGTTCGATTCCCGGCAATGGAACTTTTTAATTTTTTATAATTTTTTTTTATACACAAATCCTAATAAATAGCTTTTTAAATCAACTTATAATCAACATTCCGTTGTCGTCCAGCGGTTAGGATATCTGGCTTTCACCCAGGAGACCCGGGTTCGATTCCCGGCAACTTATTTATTTTTTACTTTTTTTTTTTTTTTTTTTTTTTTTTTTTTTTTTTCCCTCTACAAGAAGCTATTCAATTCTAACTTTTAATGACTTTTAATGAGTTTAAAAGTCTGAAGGTATTCAATTGTGACTTTTAAATAGTCTTTAAAAGTTTAGTTGTATTCAATTGTGAGTTTTAAAGAGTATTTAAAAGTTTTGAGGTATCCAAAATGTTAATGACTTTTAAAAACTTTGTTAAATAAATGACTTTTCAATACTTTTAAAGGTAATTCTTACTACCAAAAGTCTTGCTAATTTACACAAGACTTTATGAAAATATTGGGAAGCTGAGAAGATAGAACCAAAACTTCTCCAAACGTCTCCAATTCCTTCTTCCTATGTTATATCAAGCATCATGCAGATGGATCTTTTTTCTTCATGGTTAGGGCTCCACTTTGGTATCCCATTGTCATCCACTTCCTTCAGGTTAGTAAAAAAATATTGAATGTTTTTCTTCTCTTCTCATCCACACGTTTCTGTTGATGAATATCTCTTCTCATCCACTTCCTTCAGCTATGTTTGCATATAAATATTTTATTATATTGATTGTCTCATATGCTATGTTTGCATACAATATTTTATTATATAATTTTTTGCCCCTAAACCCATTAATTCTTTAGGTGCTGTTTCTTTACCCATAATTCGTTAGGTGGATAATTTTTTCATATAATGTTCTCAATTTGATTACATCCCACATATTAGGTTAGGAGAATTGCTGGAATATAGACTCTTGTAATCTGACCATTTATGTTGATTTGTGAGTGTTTATGAAATATTATTGATGACTGAGTAATATTTATTATTTCTTTTGCTAAGAATATGTTACTTGTCTATGTGATTAGATTTGATAAATAAAAATTTAAAAGGTGCATTGGAATTTTCAAAAGGAATGCCATGCAAGATAATAACGGAACTCAACGGTAATGAGCATTGGAATTTTCAAAAGGAATTTGTATTATGGTTTATTCACCGTCATTGAAATGAATCATGGCTAAGCTTTTTTAAAAACTGAATCATGGCTAGTTGAATGCCAATTATTTCCTTATGGTACATTTTCAAATGTACTTTGTCATTTTTATCATTTTCTAATGTTAAGGAGAACTATTCTTTGTTTTTATGTAATTGTATCCAATTGTTTTTTTCCCTAATTTTTTGTTCAATATATGCCGACTAGTTCATTCAACATAAAAGATAAATGCTATTTGTAAAATAAATATAAAAATAAGTATTTAAAAGTCTATAAAACTCTATGACAAAAAGTATATGAAAGTTTGTCACTTAACTTTATAAAGTATGTAAAAGTCATTAAGAATTTGTCTACTTTAGAAAAGTCATTCACTTAAAAAAAGTATTTAAAAGTTAGAATTGGATACACCCCCCTAAGAAAGTGGGGCATGGCAAGCTCCCGTAGGTTGAAGTGAAAAAACAGAAGAAGCGCGTCGCAGTGGATAATCTCTGTTCTCCTTCCCAAAATCCCAATTCCGCCGATTTGGGATCACTTCCCTCTCTACCTCAGTCTCAGAGCAGCTTCTGAGCACTTTCCCCTTTTCCTTTTGAACAATCAGTGAGTCCTCTCTCTCTCTCAAGTATCGCAGAGTTTTGCTGCTTAGATCGATCAGTTCATATCAATCTCCCCTAAATTTCATTATAAGTAAAGGACTACTTTGGGTTCTTATAAATTCTTGGGTTGTACCAAAGTTGCTGTCATAAAAATGATTTCTTGTTTTCCTTGGATGATTAATTTTAACAAATTTTCTGTATTTGGGTAGGTTATAATCCCATTTAGCTCCCTCATGTCGCTTCCAAATGAAGATGATATGTCTTCTTCCTCTGATACTCAGGTATTTATTCATTTACATTCAAGGGAACACCCTTTGTTCCTTTTTTTAATTTTGGCTTTGTGGTTTCTGACCCAGAAGAAGGTGGTGGATTTTCAAGTTTTGTTTTGGGTCTGTATGAGAATGGCTCGGTGATTTTTGTGGGTTTTCAATTGTTATGTCTTGAAGTGCGTTGATATGCATCTTATCAACATATAGACGGTTTAACAACCTTATTTAAGGACTGATTATGTTTAGTTATAGTTGATGCACCAGTTCAAGTCATTAATCAAATTTATACGTTCTTGACATCACTAGCTATAGTGTTTGATAGCCAAGTAGTTTGTACTAGAAAATTGTTCATTGCAGATTGTGGACGTGGTCCTGGGGCATCATATGCTTGGTTTGGTGATCACTGCTTTTGGGTAAAGAGCAAATGCCCGTGATCCAAGGGTTGTGTTCTGTAGTTACCAAAGCAGAACAATGGAAGAAAATATGAATTTGCTTATCTTAATGGGAGCAAATGGTGGATTTAACATTTCTAATATATGTTTTATATAAGGGATGTGCATTATCATAAGTTGCTACATCAATGCACTATAAGGCTTTTCCGTTCATCGTGGAATGGTTCTTGTGTATGTGAAGGCTAGAATATGGATAATTCAGTGTTGTTCTTGGTCTTGTGTAATGTAATTCAGAACATAAAAATTTGAATATTTCATCTGTGCATGTAAAAATCAGCTGACAATATAGTTCTCATAGTTCCTTTCTCTTCTGGCTTGTGGTTGCAGATTACGTCACATATTTTTGGGGATCTCCTTGATTCCATTATTGTTGATGTTGCATCTGAATGTCATCGAATAGCGAAGTTGGGTCTTGATCGTAATTTTGAAGAAGAGGAAGAAGAACTAAGGCTGTCAGCCCAAGCACGGGTAAGGGTAGCTGATCCTAGTAATAGCGGTGAAGCAAATAGCAAGTATGTGGTTGACATATTTGGACAGAACCATCCTTCTGTAGCCAATGAAGTATTTGAGTGCATGAATTGTGGTCGAGCTATCATGGCTGGGAGGTTCGCTCCTCATCTGGAGAAGTGTATGGGAAAGGTGATTCTCTGATATCTTCATATGTTAGACAATTGTTCATATTTTATGGTTATGAAGACAAAAATAGAAAGTTCCTTGAATGAGAACGCTAGGGTGGAAACTAAAAAATGTTTTGGTTCTTTCCTCCACCACAGGGTAGAAAGGCTCGTCCCAAAGTGACAAGAAGTAGTACAGCTGCACAGACCCGGCAGTCACGAGGCAACCCTGCTTCCACATACTCCACTTATTCCAATTCCAACAGCACAAGCCGGTTATCAAATGGAACATCCGGTGTTGCAGGGGAGGAGTATTCAAATGGTGCATTGGAAGAGCCATAAAACATTTTAAGCACTGGTGAGCTACTTGGAAGCAATGGATATCGTTACTTGCTTAGATTGTCATGTTTGTGTAAAGTGAAGGCAAATTTTGAGTAGGCTTTTGTTGGTTTAGGCACTGCGATATAATCTGACTTGGAGAGTATAGTGATCACATTCTTTTTTTCAGTATGAAGAAGAGCGCCTTGTATATAACATTCTTGACCATGTCTCGAATGATAATTTGGAATCTTATACAAGTTGATTTCGGCTTCAAATTCTAACTATTTCCTGAGCTATCAAAACAAACGCGATAAAGGTCTTGAATTGAAGGGATTAAGGAACCACCTCTTCCAAAAAAAGTCGAAAAATAAATTGGTGGGGAATGCATGTTGAAATACAACATAAAGCACTGAGTCTCCAACCACAGCTTTTGACGAGGACCAACCGTTGGTATAAATGTTTGATGTCAACTAGAACTTCTTTGACTAATTACTTTTCGGTTTAGTTTAAGTAGTAAGAGTGTGAGAAAATGGGTGATGATTGGGATAAATTAAAATGTTCGATCGTTTCCATGACTAATTTTGTGTAGGGATTACTATACTTCGAATAATAACATATTCCTATTGGGAACGTTAACAAGTGAGGCAAGCAAACAATGAAATATTATTAACATTTTATGTCGTATGATATTGCACAATGAATCATAGCTCGGATCGGAACTGATAAATGTAATAATGGGTATTCTATACATAACCTTAGACTTTGTATGCTTTCTTAATGGGTTGACACGAACACAACCTGTTGAGTTAAGGGGTGAAAAGTACCATACATGAACACGATCTATTTCATCCGTTAAGAATGGTGATTCATTTTTTTAAAACATGACTGGTTTCACTCATTTTAACATACATGACTAGTTTCACCCTTTTTAAAAATAAACGATATTTCTTAACTAATTGTTAAATGAAAACAAAACACCTCATATTAGACAATAATAAAAATGAAGTTTCAATATTTAAATAAAATATCTTTAAGCAATACAAAGTAATATCCTTGACTAATCCTTAATGATACTTACTACAATTGTCAAAGAAAAAAACAAAAAAGTTGTGAATAGGTTTCTTGCAAAACTATTTTATTAGTAAGGGCACATCAATATTAATTTTGCATGAATATGAAATGATATTAGTGAAGCAGAGATTTGATATAGACCTCTTTCGATGAAGAACGATAAAAAAAAATAAAAAAATAAAATTCCGTTGCCGGGACTTGAACCCGGGTCTTTCGGGTGAGAGCCGAATATCCTGACCAACTAGACTACAACGGATTTGATGATAACACACCTGCTTCAACTTATATTAACCATGTACGGATTCCTCACATTCTTGGGTTTCCCTGCCAAGAGTAATTAGACGCCTCTCTCCCCACATTTATTTTGTTCGACTTGGGGTCCATATGATGGACTCAACACAGGATTTCCTAGCAGCACACACTCCTCAGCGTCCAATCATTATGAATTTACTATCCATAAGAAAAGGTTGAGAAAATATTTTATAGCGGAAATACAAAATTGGTCACGCATATGACATCTGCTTGGCCATCCGCTTGGCCATGGAAGGTCGGTTGAAGAAGGCCGAGAGCGCGTCCATGAGGGACTTGGTGGTCTCGTGGTGGTTGTAGGACATCTGAACGTGCTTGTGCAGCTCTCCGAGGATGATGTGGCGCGCCGTGAAGTCGTCGGGCAGCCATTTCTAGTGGAGAACGACGTCGTCTAGTGGGTAGTCGAGGGTGGGGGTTCTGGATTTTGGGTCGGGAGGACGTAAGCGACATCGTTGTCATCGAGGACGAAGTCGAGATTGCTTCTCCAGGTTTGGAAGTTGGGGGTGGTTTTGAGTTCTGGGAATACGAGTGCGGAGAATCACAATGAGTCGCTGTTCATTGTTGAAGGACTTGTCGAAGCAGAAACTTACTGCTGTTGTTTTTTTTATGGGATTTTGCACTATACTAAAAAAAGAATATTTTAAAGGTTACGCCGCATGGCTATACTCCATAAATATAATATTTTAAAGGTCCGGCCGGGCGGCTATACTCTATAAATATAATATTTACAAGTCTCGCCGCGAGGCTATACCACTAAATAAAATATTTAAATCGTATAGCCGAACGGCTGTACTCTATAAATATAATATTTTCACCGTATAGCCGGTCGGATATAACCCAAAAATAGAAAAAATTTCACGTATAGCCGGTCGGCTATACCCTTTAAGTTGCATAATATGAAATTCTTTTTTAATTACTTCAATTAGTAGTTATGTTTTAGTTATTATTTACTTAGTGAATAATTAGTATTTAAATATTTTATTAAAGAAAAAATAAGAAAATTTTAATTACTATTTATTAAGTAATATAATTCATGAAGTTAATTAAAATATTTAATATTAATTATTCACTAAAAAATAATTATTAAAACATAATTACTAATTTAACTAATTAAATAAGACAAAGATATTATTTAATTACTAAAAATAAAATTAAAAAAATTAATTAACCTAAACATACTAAGTTTATATTCTTTCTTTTTTTTAAACCTGTCCCGACGGAAGTTCGTCGGTTTGTGTCTATCCTTACGAATAGTATAGCCGGACGGCTATACTCTGGTTTAGTTAATGGTATAGCCGATCGGCTATAATCCGGTGGATTTTAATTTATTTTATTCAATAGTATAGCCGCTCGGCTATACTCAGTTCCTTTTTTTATTGAGATATTTAGTAATATACCCATTCTTAGCACTAATATTATAAATAAACTCTACAGCATTGAAATTCTATAAACAAACCCAAAAAAAAACCCAAAAAATAACAGCTGGTCTTATTAAATTTAATATTAATTATTAAATTACTTTAATGCCATATTGAGTGTTTTTGGTATTTTTATAAGATTTTGGGGTTGGGTTTGTTTTAAGAAATTTATGGTAGTTTTGTAATTTATAAGAAGTTAAAGCCTATTTGTTATGTTATAAATAGGCTTTGGGTGTGTTTATAAAGTCCATTTCATATGGAGTATTTTTATAATGTGGGCCACCATATTGGGTATAATAGTGAATCTCCCTTTTTTATTTTAGCAATGATAAGTATAGCGGCTACACTTATGAAACAAGCTGTTAATTTTTTTTAAATATAGCCGCCCGGCTAGACCCCTCCAGTCTATGAGATATCTAAGTTTACCCGCAATGCAAGTTTCTTACTTGCTCTCGAAGTTGTTAGCCATTTATTTCTTGCAGGTTTCCTTCCTCTTATTTAGCTGTATGTTATAACTTATATATGTTGCTTGGTCTCCGTCGTATTGTATCACAACTGTACCTATATATATTTGTACTCATAACTTTCAATGAAATTCAACATCCCAACAATTCTATAAAACATAAATAATTGTGAGAAATTCAACATCCTATGAAACTTAAATAATTGTGTCAGATATGGAACGCAATTTTACATCTAACATAAGAAATCAGCTAAATTAACTGTGGAAGTAGAGACACACCGGAAAAAAAAAGTGTTTTTTAATCTAAAAGATGTGACACACTAGACACAAAATCCATATTTGTACTCAATTTAAAATAATTTATATGATGATGATGATGATGATGAGATGCAGAGGCATGCATGCATCCATCCATCTTGTCTAGGTATAGGAAATCTGTAGATGTCTCGTGCCAGGTTTATGGTGGTTCAACTGACCAAAGATATGTTAGTACAAATATTTATAGGAACTATGGAGGTTGGAAGAAGTATCTCCAATGTAATGAACTCACTAGAAGAAAAGAAAAATATACAATGGCTAGGACCCATATCCTAGCCAACTGGTTGATTAAGACTCACTGAAATCGCTACATGGTCCAAAATCAACTGGACACACAATTATTACTATACACCACATGTTGAGTGCCCATCTTTTAGCTCCGTCTTCGGCCAGATTTTGTTTGTCTTCTAGAGTTGGCAGGAGAAGATTGCTTTGAAGAAGGTACAGGCAAGAGTGTTCCCCCTTTGACGCCATCTGAATCCGTCATGTCGTTAAGTGTTTTTTGGGCTTCAATGTAGACTGTAAGATCTCTAATCTGTCACCACCATCATTTAGACTCGTTAAGATGAGAAACCAGCAACTTCTAAATAGTGGCTAACAAGCAGAAACTCGTAACGTCAATACCTGTTCTTCCAGATCAACCATCTTCTCCTCTCTTAACCTCAGTGATGCAGCTTCCCTAAAAGGAGTTTAAATCATGGAGGATATATAAACCAAAGAATCCAGTGCCGCTATTGATAATCACAGACTTGCCTCTATGCCATATCCTATAGATCTAGCACAGGCACATGGGTCCTGAAATGATCACAATCTGTTGTGTGGGAGAGAAGGGGACAGGATGGGAAGAAAGAAAAGAACAGAAGTTTTGGCAAATACTAAATGGCTCTCCATATTTCACTTTCAGATTTTGAACAACCCCTTATTACCCTCATGGTGCTATCTGAAGTGTTAGTATCTAAACAAGGGGAGACTTGACATCTATCAATGAAGAAGAGAAAACAATATGTACCTCACTTCAATTTCCTTCAACTTCCCGCGCCGGGTTTCTTGGTCCTTTATGAGATTACGGTTGATCTAAGAAACAAACACAAAAAAATAGGCACAATCAAATAAAATGAACTTTCAGAAAGAAAAAAATAATTGATTTCACATAAACACAGTACTCCAATGCCAAACCCCAAAATAAAGACGAGCACATTACAAACTCACATCTTCAACACCATTTCTTTCCTCAAGACATTTCTCTAGTTTCGCTTGAATATCCTGCATCTTGGAATTTACAGCCTTCTCCACTGCTTCTAAAATTGAACTTTCCTTTTTACTTTTGGCCTCCATAAGTAGAGATTCATAATACTGAATTTCAAAATATTACTTGATCAACAGCCAATTAGGTAGAGGGAAAAATAACAACACAAAGAAGAAGTGGATTTGGTGACAACCTACTTGTCTTTGCGTCTCAAGCTGACTTGCAAGAAGTCGGTTATACTCGTCTACAATCTGTTGTAGCACAACATCTAAAGATCAGTTATGTGAATAAGAAAACGCCAAATAATGGATAGTGCAAGGTAGAGTAAAGTAAAAAAATTTCTTAAAATAAATACATACAGTTTCAACTTTGCTGCTATAGAGGGCTCCACTAATTCCAGAATCGTCACTGCATTCACACCTGTCACAATCCCCTTCCACTGACATACATTGAGAATCCGTATCAGTTATTAGCTTGCCATCAATTTTCGATTGGTTCAGGCGGTGAACATAAGCATCACCAACGTAATCCCAGATCTGCTGCCTGTTCAACTCAAGAGAATAGCAATGTTGTGTATCCTTCCAGTGCCTAACAGCATGACCTTCTGTATATCTTTTTGAAGAGCAAATAATATCAATAATTTTCTGCGCTGGACAAATTTATTTAAGACAAAGCCATAGCTCATCAAGTAATGATGCGTAGGCTATATTGTTTTCTTGCTTTGGAGACAGAAATAACCAAAGATATAAGAAGAAAAAAGAGTGCATCATGATTACCTTCCACATCCTACAAAACCACATATTACGCAAACCCAGGGATTCACAGATATTCCACATACAGAGCAAGCTGGCTTTTCATCCTGCTGCTGACAAAATCGGCAAACCTAGTGGCACACAAATATTAAATCAGCAACTTTCTTCTATATAGCTGGACTCTCAAACTTTGCTTGAGTCCTAATACATATCAGAGTTACAAAGGGCTCAATGCCAACTCAAGAAAAACTCAAGCTGAAATTGATAAACCCAATTAAGACCACAATCATTCCATAGAAATATTTCATTATAATCTACATAAGATTTTTTTTTTTTTCTAACTACTGAACCCATCAGTGGTCGGTCCAGTTTAATGGATTTTGAGTCCCTCAGTACCTGCAAGTAGCAATAGATATCAGCAGTGCAGTCAACAATGCTCTCAACCAAGATCTCTAATAAACTTAAACACATCAGACAAAATTTTGGAACAGAAAACCAACTCACCTGACAAGATAAATAAGTCCATTTTGAAATGCATGGACATTGAAATGAATGGTCACAAAGTGTACTTGCTATTCCACTAGTGTCTGCATCCAATCTCTCTGACATTGAAACAAAAGTTAAACCAAAATAATATAAATACTGGGCACAAGAATATCATATATCTGAAAATAAATAAACAGAAGAACCCCCGCCCAACTAAAGAAAATTGTGACTCACCAAGGCAAACTGGGCAAGTTGGTAATTCAGTACATCCTTCTGGAGGAGTCCCAGCTATTTCCTCTGAATCTGTGTAGTCCACAGAAAGCAGAAACAGAATGTGGCACACCTCGGCCTAAATAAATAAACAAACCAACAAACAGAGAAAATCGCACACATAAGCTCAAGATATACAAAATACATGATACATGAATATAAACGATAATAAGAAAAACTCATTACCTCTCCAGGCGAATACTTCTTCCCATTTAAAGTGTGATAAAATCCGTCGGCGGTCATCTGATTCTTCAGCTCAACTAAAACACTGTACCGATCTTCCATCCCATCGTTCCTAATCCAATTAAGCAAATACTAAATTGGACTTTGTTTGATCACTAAGGAAACAAAAACATAGATAAAATGAAACTTGACTTCACAGCATTGCTTTTTTAGATTTTCAGCTCAAGTTTATCTTTCAAATGTGATTTATTATATTTATGAAAATTATCAATGTAAGCCTGGCACAACTCTGTGGCTCAATTGAAGTAAAATCCTGCCCACATTTTTTTTTATTTTAAAGAAGAAAAAAAAACAAATTTTGCTATTTCCTCAGTTTCGTCAGAAACCCATTTCTGGGTTTTGATCAAGCAACCAACCCAAGATTTCCTCAATTCAAAATTTCTCAATTTCTTGGTAGACAAAGAAAATCTAGAAGCGGTACCTGATGAAGACGAGTTCGAGGACATGGTCGATTCGGGACCCACAGAAGCGGATGAAGTCGTCGAAGGAGAGGTAGTTGGGAACAGCAATGACGAAGAGGAGAGTGGATCGAGAGGCAGGACTGTTTGGCAGCGACGAGTGTCCTATGCTTCGGAACAGGTGAGCTATGCCTCTTCGCTCGCTGAATTTGGAGCTGGTGTTAGGGTTTGATTCAGTAACACTGGTGATCTTGGAAGTTGTGATAGTGGTGAACTCGGCGTCTTCGAGGCTGAGGGGGTGGTTGGTGTCCACTGAGTGGACTCGGAGGAAGAACATTGTGGGTTTCTGAGTCGACTTGGTTGGGGGAAAGAAGAGAGAGAATAGAAATGACAATTATGAGAGGCAAAGCTACTTATAGGGTTCAAAGCTTACTAGTATGATTTTGAGACGGATCGGAATTAGGGGATTCAATTCAATTTCAAAAAAGTTCGGAATGAAATTATTTTCCAATTTCGTTTTAAAAAATTTGGGAATTTCAACATCCATTACAATCCGAAAAACTCATAATCGAAATTATTGGAAATTTTCAGAACTTATATATTTTGGAATCTTTTCAGCAAGTTTCGGAAAACCATTGAAAATTTTAAACATGTCTAACGATTTGAAAGGTTAAATTTAGCTCAAATTTGAAAAATCATACGGAAAAGCTCAAAAACCTATTATATGCTATTATCCTTTATAAAATAGCTCCTCTATGTCTATTTGGTCATTAAGTCATATCAAATTCAACATGAAACTAGTCATTATATGTAGTCTAAGCTTGAACCCTCAATATATTTTGGAATTCGGAAATTTCAAAATCTTGAAATACATTCCAATTCCAATCCAATTTTTTTTTGGAATTTTAGGATTTCAAAACTTTCATTTGTCGGAATTGATTATGACTCGCCAATATCGAAAAATTTTCAGGTTGAAATCAGAATTTCCAGTCCAACTTGCACCCCTACTTACTAGTGTCGAGAGTCACTCACTCTCTTATATGTACTTAGATCATCTCTAAATATGTTGGGGCTAATTCAAAATTTCACCTTCCAAAATACAACTATTCATTTATGGACTTGACTCAAATTGGTTTTCCTCCAATCATGCAGACTCATTATTTGAGTCCACAACTTCATTAAATTGTTTTAAAATAGTTAATCCCTTTCTTTTATTTTTTATCATTTATTTTTCTTGACGTTCTTCTTGTTTCAACATTCGTGATTTCATTTTTTGAATATTTTAATCTAAAACACCATATAATTTCACTTAAAAATAAAAACAAGTACAACAATATTTTATTTCAAAGACTTTAAAAGTAAGAACAAGTACCAGAAGCCACACACTCGTCCTTGAATTGGTGGCCCTCAACTATGACATCAATTGGGCAATGATCTGCACAATCATGTGGGCTGGAAAGTGACTTGCGCTTGTACTCCACCAATTTTCTGTGAGGGCAAAATTTCCGTGCTACTTTGATATTCGGCCCGGCTGCATACAAAATGTGAAAATTTGATATTCGGCCTGGAAAGTTTGGGGATAGCTTGATAATGGTCAAATTTGTGTCGACCCCAACAATAAGAGCCATTTTTGATGGGACACTTGTTTATTTTGATTTCCTCTAACATCTTCATTGTTTACAACCTTTGCACCTACTTTTGCTTGAAACATATCATATGATGGCAATACAATTAATAATTTATGTATTTTGATTAGAGTAAATTCTAACAAATCAATGTAGTAATACAACAAAGTAGAAAATGGTGGGTGAAGTAATTATAACTGCAATAAATGTGGAACATATGATATGTAAAATTTTTGTGATAGATGTATAGTTATAAGTTAAATTTGTGTGACTAACAATAAATAAAACATTCAAATCCTCTTGTTGAGGAAAGAAACTCTCTTGCAACGGGTATAGTACTTTTTTTATTAGAAAGATGACATATCATTTAAAATTCATCTAAAATATGAAAATCAACACCACAATCCCAATACCTTTCATATTTTGCAACATATCATCGGTTAGAAAACTTCAAAAATAATGAAAATTGGAAGCCACTAAGGTTTGTTGGCTACAGCTTTAGCAAAAATTGACATTTCCTTCTTTCCCTTGCTATGGATACTGTTTTCTAGCCACAAATAAGGTCAATATGGATATGAAGAGTTATTTTGTGAGATAAAAGATTTATCTATATATATAAAGCAAAAGGCAGAGAATGGTGAAACATTCAAAGTACCAGAAAATGCTCTTAGTTAATTCAAACATTTAGAATTGAAATTATTAATTAAATAAGGATAATATTGTAAATTCACACTTTTTGATATTAAAAAAATTAAAAATTAAAATAAAATCATATAATAGGTTCTATTTTTATGGAATATAACTACCCATGTTATTTTTTTTTAATTCTAAAAATAAAATAAAAAATAAAAAATAAAACCAATTGGCACGCATGTGCCAAGGGGCTAGTGTCATTTGAAGCAGAAAGGAAAAGTGAAGAAGAAAAAATTTATGTCACAATCGAGAAGAAGAGATAGACGTTTCAAGTTTGGCGTTGAGAGGGACAGAAACCTAAAATGCAGGAGAAAAAAGTGTTGCGTATATGGCAAAAATAAGTTCCGTTGCCGGGACTTGAACCCGGGTCTTTCGGGTGAGAGCCGAATATCCTGACCAACTAGACTACAACGGATTAGTTGAAATAATTGTAATCAATAGCCTACTTATACTATTTACATCTCACACTCTTTTCTTCCTCCAAAAATAATTATGCTAAAAGTGGGGCGGTCTTTGTTTAATATTAATATAATCTTCAGATACTAGCCCACCAACTTAATTCCTATTTTTACAAAATATGAATAATTTGTCAATAATAATATTATTGTATTTTAGTTATTTGTATCCTCTGAATTTTGTTCATTTAAGATGGTCTCGAGTTATAATTTTTTTAAATGTTAAAGTATTTATTTATTGTATCAATTGTTTATTGATTATTGAAGTTTGATAGGGCGAAATTAAAATAGTTTTTTTTCTTCTTTCAAAGACTCAGTAATGTAGTGGTTTGGAGTAATTACTCTCCTCGGCAAGGTCCTGGGTTCGAATCCCAACATCTATGTTGTGTGTGTGAATTTAGTATATTATTGTCCCTCTCAATAAGAAAAGTCCTTTAAAAAAAATTACTTTTCAACCTGCACACAAGAAATAGTAGAGAGGCATCAGAAGTATGCAATATATGGTAAAACCATATTTACAGATATATAATTTGTTCAAGGACCCTTCCCTCAGTTGCTACCAAAAACACCCTTTCAACAAGCAAAATTGTACCAAATGGGTTTGGGTCCTATGACAACATTATATGTGTGTGTATATATATATATGTCCTTCGAAATTTATACAAAACCATTATAATTGGCTTATCATGATAAGCTTAGTCAAACAATTCCCAATCCTGAGTTATTTTGGTAGAAGATGGCAATGGGGTTGGGGCATTTAGGCTTCCAACCCCCAACTCAAACCTCTCCCATTTTGTAGTGACTGAGACTGCATTGCTGCTCTTATTGCTGAATGGATTAGAGTTTCTTGCCTTTAGTTTGTCGAGTGTGTCGACAAAGCTCTGCACGCGACGAACCTGTGCACGAATATAAAGTTTATAAACATTGTGATTCTCCGTTGCTATACGTAAATCAGACGAATTTTTTTCAAGTGAAAATCTCAAGCAGACACTTCTAAGGAACAGATGGACTAAAAAGCATAAAAGTTGCACACAAATGCAGTCTGCAGGGTTGAAATTTCTCTATTTGCTGCTGCAGCACAGCAAAGCAACAGTTTTTGTGTTTTTTTTTTTTTTTTTTTTTTTTTTTTTTTTTTTTTTGTGGGGGGAAGTTTGTAAAGTTGGTTTTAAGTCCTAGGATTCCTTTCTACGACCACTCAAATTATGCACATGTGAAATAGTTAGGTATGAATCTGACCCTGGGAGCAAAAGAACCAGCCCCCACCCATCCTTTTGTTCAAATGGAAGAATCTGACCCTCCCATCCTTTTCTCAAGTATTATCAACAAACTAAAACTAGATTTCGTTTCAATTTGCACACACTTGGGCTTCAAATTATACTCACATCAGGTTTTCAGTCTCTGCAAAAAACACTCCATTTTCTAGTTCTACATCACCGATGAATCTTCGATAAGACAGTATGACACTAGTCTAGCTCTTGTTTAACTTTATAGAGCATAAATCTCAAGCATGATTTATCCTAAAGAAAAACTATTGTTCAGGACATATGGATAAGGTTCCCATACACATGGAAATCATATGAATCATGGTAACGTTTTGAAAGGAAGAAAGTATCACCAACCTCAACCCGCCTCTGTACTTTCGCTTCTCCATCAGCCGCAATTGCATCCAATTTAAGCAACTCCACCATGAGCAACTCTGTTAAGACCCCAATTTCCTTATCTGAAACCTTGGTGCCACTGAGCAGAGTTGCCTCGAAATCAACAATCTAACAAACCATTAACAGCGCCAATTAGTTCATAGGAAGCCGCACGAAAAGGACTTAATCAAACAGCAGATACCAACCTTTTGAGAGAGCTTGTCAACCTCTGCCCTAACTTTGGCAACCTCTTCATATGCTTTCAATACACCTTGATTTTTCTTCATCTCTTCAAGCTTCTTCTCTTTGCTAGCTGGGTCTTCTAGTAATATAATCTTAGACATATCTTTTACACCTGCCATGTGCAGACATTCATTATCTTCCTTCTCCTTCCCTCTAAACAACAACCTTTGCTCCTTTGGCTCCAAGCCAGTCTCATGGGCAAGAACTCTTTTCAAATCACCTTGCATTTAACCAAAACTAAGAATAAGTTCCAAAATGCAGAATGATAAACCAAAAGTTCTACAGTTTACCACACCACATAAAACTCAGAATGACAAGCAGCCCAGCACACCAAAGGATGAAGCAAAGTAATACCCTTGAAAATAAATAATGTGGCCGAATATATGTTTCTGAAGCAAGAAGCAAAGAAAATCATGAAAAATAAAAATAAAAGATGAGAAACCCAAGAAGCAACCTTTAATAATTCATGGCAATATTGAAATATTAAAAAAGAAACAGACAGCAAAGCTAACAAACAGTAGGTGAAAAACTGCAATTTTACAGATTATTTATCTAGGCCAACAACAACTCCAGAACTAGCATTGTCCTTACAGAAATTTTTTTACAGCTTTTCATTATAAAATAATGAAATTGGCTTGAATGACAATTGTCAAATTGTCCATGAAGGAAAAAGAACCCAAATTGAGAATGTGGAATGTACCCAAGAAAATCAGAAAGAAAATAAGAGGAACCCAGAAAGTAAATGAAATTAAAAAGATGATTACCAAATGTGGATTGAGCATGGACAATGACATCACGGTAATAAGACCCATGAGAAACCTTGATCTTGATCATAGGCCCAGAAGAGGCATCCCCAATGTCTCTCTTTTGGACAAGCATCCCACCAGGCCTCAGCTCCCAATCTATTTGCCTATCAAACCCATCATTTTCAACACCAACTTTTGATCTTTTTTTCATCCTCCACCAAATATATTTACCTGAGAAACATAAAATAAAGAGGAAATTGAATTATGAGAAAATGGAAAAGGTGGAGTCGGTAGAGAGAGAGAGAGGTCTGTGAGTCTGTGAGTCTGTGAGTCTGTGAGTCTGTGACTGTGTGATGGGTTGGAGGGTAGAGTAAGCAAAGAAAAGGCACTTGAGGACAGGGACCTCGAAACAGACTCTTCAGAGCTAGCGGTTGGTCGGTATGTACAACTCAAAAGTTGGTATACAGAGAAAGAGAGTAGTGCTTCACACGTGCACTCGTGCGACTGGACTGAGAATGTTTCTTAGAAACTAAGTGGGCTTTGTATTGTAAATATCAAGATTAAGATGTGGGCTTGTTTGAAAGAATTTGGACATGGGTTTGAGGTGGGCTAATTTCATTTTTAGTAAAACAAAAAACAAAAAAAATGTGTGTAAAATATGCATTAAAATTAAATAGTAACTTGAACTCTTGTTTTGAAAAATTTATAATTTCGAAAAATTTATTAAGTAACTTGAACTAGGGGTGGATAAAATTTTAACTCTTGTGAATTTACAATTTACCATCGCCATTTATTTTGTTTCATGTTCAATTACAAGCTTATTTAAATAGTTTTGTCTAATCTTTCATATTTGAGATCTTTTGAAAGAATTTTAACATGGATGTTTTTTGGGCTAACGACATTTCAGACCTTGTAGATTTAGGGGTATTCTCGAAATGGGTCACATAGTTTCAATTTCATCAATTTCACCCTAGCGTAAAAGTTTTAAGATTTGATCAATTTACACTCTCCATTAATTTGATCCTTTATTTTTCTATTAAATTGATAATGTGGCAAATGTATAAATAAAAATTAATAAAATTTTCTTAAAATAATAATAAACTAATATTTTATTGAATAATAAATAAATAAAACCCAGCCTAGCCTCCCTCCCACCTCGCACTGAGTCATTGGCCCATTTCCCCTATCTCTCTCACTACCTTCCTCTCTCTCCCTCTTTCTCTCCACCACCACCCAACAATAGCACCAAACCCATCACCCGCCCAGTCAAGTCTCACCTAACTCACCAACCCACTGCTCATCCAACCCATTGTCGCCGACGAACTCCTCTAAATTTCTTTTGGCGAGTTGGGTATGATCCGGTGAGTTAAGCAATCATAAATATGCCCAATTGTCTACAATTATGACTTTCAAAAATATTTAAAAATCATTAAAACTTATTTTAGTATTCCAAAAATAAATTTTACCCCCCAAACCCTAAATTCAAGTCTCAAACCAAACACCCTAGCTCTGAACTTGTTCTAAAACCATTCGTAATCCTCGAACCCTAGCCCTAAACTTACTGTAGGCCCTTAGGACCCGAATTTTTGTCAGGATATGTTTGTCTCGACAAAATTTTCATTACCTAATTATGTAATGATTGTAATTAAGTAATATCTTAGCATTATTTAATTACTTTAATTAGTAATTAGCTTTTAGTTATTATTTCATTAGTGATTACTTAATAATTAAATATTTAATTAGTTTCATAAATTACTTAATAAATAGTATTTAATTCTTTTAAATTCTTTTGTGGACTTCAATAATTGTTTTTAATTTCCAAAAGTATTTTTAAAATAGTTTAGATACTCATTTAGGTAGATTTTAACAAGTGGTTTGTTGTCAGGAACCCCAAAAAAAATTCACCGGGAAAGATCTATTGTGACACATACAAAAAGTTCGTTGGGGTAGGTATATCCACAAAAAATTTGCCAAGATATTTCTATCCCATCTAAAATTCGTTGACACAGGTCAAGATTAGATCCGGTTAGGTCGCACTAACTCTAGATTGAGACCGAAACATTAATCGTAAAGTCCTAGGTCAAGTTATGTGAGTATCCAAACCTAATTGAGTCCTAAGTGACCTAAAGTAGGTTTAGTGTTAGGGGTCGAGGCTTGCGAACAATTTTGGAACAAGTTCGGATAAGCTCGGAAGCTAAGGTTTTTAGTTCGAGACTTGGCTTTATGGTTTGGAATACTAAAATAAATTTTTAGGGTTTTTAAATAATTGAAACTATTTTTAAAATAATTTCAGAAATTAAAAATAATTTTAAAGTCCAAAATAATTTGTGATAATTAAATATAATCAATTACTATTTATTAAGTAATTTAAGATATTAATTAAAATACTAATTATTCACTAAATAAATAATAATTAAAATATAATTACTAATTAAAGTAATTAAATAAGGCTAAGATATTACTTAGTTGCAAATATTAAACTAACGAAACTAATTTTGTATAAAAAAAAACTAAAAAAATCTCAACAATATATATATGCTAAGGCCATAAATTAAGGCCTTGTTTGAGATTGTTTTTTTGGGTAAAAAACTTGCTTTACTTTAAAGTTAAGCAGTTTAATGTGTTTGGTAAAAATAAAATATCCTAATTATTTTAAAAGCATTGGCCTTCTAACAACAACTTTTAAAAGCAGGTTTTGAGTTACTTTTCAAAGCTGCTTTCAAAAGAAGCATAGATCAGCTTTTAATGAATTTTTTTAATTCTCAAAATACCATCATTAATTTTTTTAAATGACACCATCTCCACCTCCACATCCAACTCCACCACCTCTACTCCCATCACCATCAGCACCACCACATCGTTCTCTTCCTCCTCCTCCTCCTCTTCAGCCACCACCTCTTCCTCATCCTCCACCTCCACTACAACTTAGTCATTATTCACAGTTACAATAGTTTTATATTAAAATTTACCAAACGGTTTTGAAACTGTTTTGTGTACTAATAGTACTTTAAAAATATTATTTGCCAACATAAAGCTGCTTTACTTTATAACTAATTATTTTTAAAACACAAGAAAAGCAACTTTTTTAAAAAGTAACAGCAATTTCAAACTGACCCTAAATAGTATACAGCTAAGCTAACACGGCGGCGCAAAGTTTAGTCCTTGGTCCAATTAAATGTTTTGAATATACTCCTAACAAAATTTCCAAGGCAGGCAAATTTTTCAAAGAATAGTACATGCACATATACTTGTATAGGAAGAATCTGAAATACTTTTTAGATTTATCTTACACACGTTAGACAACACATATAAAAATAATTCATTAAATCACAACAAAATTAATTTCCACACACATGTCAGGCTTTGATTTGTCAACCAAGAAAAATAATTTCTTATATGTGAGGAGCCAAGTATTTTTTGTTCGCCTGGTTTTATGTTGAAAGTTCAAAGTCATAGTGGTCCAAAGACCAAGAGTGTCTCGCTCAATTGAGAATACAACTTTAAATCAATCATTTTGTTATCGGAAGGAAAGGTAGAAAAACTAGATATATATATATATATATATATATCAGCATCTTGGTGTGGTCTGCACTTTGAAATTGGATTGGTTTAGTCCTCTTGGGATGGGATTTCTTATTAGGACCCGGGAATTTGTGATATCGGATTATTCTGTGTGTGAGAGAATATGGTTAGCTAAATTATTATATTATCATGCATGATTAAAATTCTTAAACTCTTATAAACCGCTTCTTGGTGAAGAGTATGATTGACGGGTAATCTTCTCTTATCATATCTTATCAAACTATTATGCTTTCACGTCATCCAATAATAATTATCCACTCGTTAGACGCAAAGACGCCTACCAATAAGATACCACTTAATCATGACTAAAAAACTTCACTGCAGTAAACCACTTAATCACCATGCACCCTATACAAAGTCTTTTTCTCCCAAAGAAACAAAAAGAAAACAAACAAAGAAAGTTTGTGAAGAATTGAAGTCCACTGAAACATGATGTTATCTAGCTGGCTTTGTAATTCACTTCCCCATGCCGGCCGGCTTTTCCTCTGTCATCATCATGTCCATTAGAAATTGATGAGAGACGACAACGAGGCCTCTCGATCAGTGTCAACCCTACTGTCACAGTGTGACCATATATACATGTCATATGTATATAATGCATTATCAAGATGCTAACCACCATAATTAGTGGCTAATACAAATTCCCTGTTGATGATTAACACACACATGCATGCATCAGAAGACTAATTCAATTGCAATTTTCTCAGCCTGTAATAAATGACCAGCACCACAAGAAACCAAAGAGCCTTTAATTCCATGTTTGGCAGGAGATAAGAACACGAAGACACTTAACTAACGCTGTTTTATCTAATCTTAGTCAGGACCACGACTAATGACTTGAAACCTTAACAAACTTTGTTTTTTTTCCCACGAAAAACGAGAGGGATGTGAATTGGTAGGCTCCCACATTTGGCTAACGACAATGCCCCAAAAGAAAGGATGGAAAACGAGCCGAAATTTCAAGTAGTACCGTGTAACTATAGAGAAACGCTAAGAACAATCGTTCACGCGCATGCATCAATGATAGGGAGTTGCCAACTAGCAGGTAGGGGACTGACCCAAGTATAGATCGTATTGTATTATTGTTTTGTTTCATATATGCAACCATCATGTCATGTGTACTGGTATTGCAGAGAGTGTGCAAATAGCTCTTTCATTTAAATGGGGTTCTGAATTGAGTTCTCCAAATTTTGTACAATGGCACGTTAGTGTGTCCATCTTGAATGTGACGGGACAAAAAGCATTGGAGGGTCCAGCTAAAATCTTTACCTCATAAGAGAGGGGGATGGGTACAAACTTGGACCACCATGCCCAAACTGATTCATCTGAATCGCGTAACCCATGATCAAAATCACAAAATAACCACAAGGACGCCGATGGTGGCACCTAATTAAGGAAATCTTTCGAGATTTTGTGTCACCGATGTGAAAGGAACAAGAGAAAATAAAATCCCCAACCCTTAAGAGAGAGAGAGAGAGAGAGAGAGAGAGAGAGAGAGAGAGAGAGAGAGAGAGAGAGAGAGGTGGTCATGGAATTGGAACATTATTGGGTAGAGTTATCAAAGAAACAATATGAGGTGGGGTTAAGGTTTGGGTTCTTCTCTCAATTAGAGCTAGGCTGCAAAAGGGCCAAAGAAATTCAGGTCATCAAAACTACCCAGGACAGGAGGTTTTGGGTTCATATTTCATTTCATACCTCTCTTGGGTCTACAAAAAGAGATTTTGTTGGGTGGGTTTTTGTCAGTTCATGGAGGCTATCATTTTTCAAGGGTTTTATGCACCACAAATCTTCAGAACAAGAGAGCAATTTCCAATGTGGTATGTAATGTTTCACTGGATCACCGCCCCCAACTTCTGTCACTACAACCTTGCAATTCTTAGAGCTATACTCTGAACTACTATTAGCAGCCATGTTGTGCACAAACCGGCACAAATTCCTCACCAATTTCCCTGACGAGGGTCCTTCATGGTGCAAGCCATACATGAAGTAAAACCCAAAAGGGGTAAAAAAATCAGGCATGGAAGGCAGTAATTTAAAGCAGGGTAAAAACCTATCCATCAATTTCCAACTTTTTGCATACATTAAGCAAGATAAGGGTGCTTTCCCTAGCCTCAGGTTAAAAAGCTCCCCACTGTTCCATACACTAAGCATGGCCCAATTGCTAGGCACCACCTCATCACCATTTGACCCAAAATCTCCAACCCTCAACCCATCTCCTCTTGGATAAGCCACCCAAGTCCCCAAACTCAGCTTATTTCCAAGCACTTTATCTATGTCATGTGAAAAAAACTCAGTGGAAGCCATACACTTTCTGTACAGATACTCAGCTTCCTCAATCCTCAGCTTTGCAATTTCGACACCCGACGACACCCGACACGGCCTGTAGCGAACCGGGTTCACAAGAATGGCCGGGGTCCTGAACTTGATGTAGCCAAATTTGTTCATGAAAAGCCCGGCTGAGGCCTGGTTATCTTTCTCCGTGGCCATGTATGCATAATCTACATCATTGCAAACGAACCATTCTTCTAATCGACGCACGAGGCTCGAACCAATCCCTTTTCTTCTGTACTGCGGCGAGACCCTCAGGCCTAAGAGGTAGCCTACCTTGGCTTGATCTTTAGGTGGTGGCTTGTTGGGATGAAATGTGACCAACTTTATAGAGCCTTGGATGACCCCGACCAACTGGTTGTCCAGCTCGGCCACCTATATAAATAGTATATGATCACAAAACTAAATTGTTTCGACAGGACATATCGATCTTGTCAATGGAAATTAAACAAGAAAACTACTGGGAAAAAAAAAAAGAATGTTGCGAGGTACCAGCATCTTGTGCATCGGACTGTTTCGGATCCTACATATGGGGTCACCCATCGTATCTGTGAAGAGGAACACACGCTCAGATGGCCCTACTTCGCATCTTCGTTCGAGATCTTCCACTCTGCCTCTGTCAGCCACCCCATCATAGCTTCGAATTATCGGCTCCTGAATTCCCATTTGAATTTAGCCCTAAACCCAAGATTTGTGAGCTTGATCACAAGCAGAAACAGAAACAAAGAGAGGATTTGTGGAGAGAGAGAGTAAAGCTATAAGCTGTATTAGCTTAAGAGGTAGATAAAAATGGAGTGCAGGTAAAATTGGCTTGAATAATTTTCCTTAATGATCATGGAGCTGCATTTATATATGGAGCTGGGGGGCACTTGGGAATGTTCTCTATCATCAACATCAACTAGGCTTATAGCTTGAAGAATAATATTATTATTATACTTGTACCCGAAAAAATAGGTGATAAATATAATATAATAATGGAATGTGTTTTTTGTCTCTACCTTTTAACGAAGTTTAAAGGTCCCACTAGTGTAGTGTAAAAGTACTAGGTTCGAATTTTAGCTAGTATTCGTGTCGTGTGTATGAATTTAGTATGTTATTGCTCCTAAATGTCCTAAGTTTTTTTTTTGTTTTGGGAAATTCACTATTATACCCAATATAGGAACCCAAATTATATTAAAAAAAACTATATATGAAATGGACTTTAGAAACACACCTAAAATCCATTTACAACATAACAAAAAGGTTTTTAACTTTTTTTAAATTACAAAACTGTCATTGATTTCTTAAAACAAACACAACCCCAATACCTTATTAAAAAGCCCAAAACACTCGATATGGTATCAAAGTAATTTAATAATCAAAATTAAATTCAATATGAGCTTTCATTTTTTGGGTGTTTTTTGGATTTATTTATAAAAATTAAATGGTGTATGGTTTATTTATAGTTTTAGTGATAAAAATGAGTACATGACTAAATATCTCTTTTTTTAAAAAAAAAAATTATTAATTAATTTTTTTAAATTATTAAAAAAAAATAATAATAATAATAAATAAATAAATAAAAAAAACTTAAACAGTTAAACCTATTTACGTTAGGATAACCTCAGGCTCACGACACTTCACACACCTAAGAGCTCTCATATCTATATTATGTCGTTGGCCGACCCCCAAATTCATTAGCCTTATAAATAAAAAAAATTGTACCACTTTTGCCTAATATTATACAGGTATAATTACCCCCACCACGTCACCAACCCCATTCATACGTCCGTACAGTCGGCAGGGCATAAGATACATGGATATTATAGAATTTGGGGCATATGGATAACTTGATGTCTGTATGTAATTAATAAATTGAAGATGCAATTTCGCCTAATTAATTGAAGAGGGTACCGTATAAGATTGCGTTGCGGGGGTACGTGTATGTCGTACGTGCATGGTGTATATCAGCATATGATTAATTATTGTAGGGATTAAATTAATTAATCTGTTTTTGCACTATTTTAACTAGGATTTGGTTGTGTGTGTCCCATTCCTCTTTTCTGCTAAGCAAATTCTTTTCACTAATGATAATACTTACCTAACGCCCCTTTAGTGCGTGGCAATTTTTTTATAAAAATAAAAATAATGAAGAAATAAGAGATTAAACAAAATTTATATAGATGAAAGACAGAAATTGGGAACAAAATGTACAAAACAAAATAAGAAAAAGGGAACACAAATTTGGGAGGGGTTAGGTGGTCATTAAGATAAATATCATTTTTTCACTTGGCGAGCATATTAGTTTATCTTTACACTCGAAATCATATATTCGATTCTCCAATTCACTAATATATATGATATCGAGAAGAGAACTTCATTATCTCAATTTTGTCTCCACGTGTTGATTAAGATTTGGTATGTAATATAAATGACTAAAGGTACAACAGAAACCCCAATAGCAAATAGCATTCACCTTCATTTCACTAAGCACTAAACCCTAACCATCGCTATTGTGCTCTTTTTCCTTCTTCCTTTTTCATAATTTTGTAGCCCTCTAAGCTACTTAGTTCCATTCCAACTTACTTACTTTTCTTCCTTAATCATAAGGCCTTCCATTAAAATTAGAAAAGACACGTACACCAAATATATGCTCCATTCACCAACGGCAATGTGTACACGTGTGTGTGTAAAGGCTAGCTCCATCACCAGAAAATCACACTTGGCCCAACCCACTACCACCAAGGGGGGTTGTGATCTTTTCCATTACATCTTTTACAAGAAAATTGAGGGTCCCTTCTTTAATGATTCAACACTCCACAACAGGTGCATCTTCCAAGAAGTGTACAAACTTTTCTGCTTTGTGTCTTTCTTTGCATGCATTATGTTGTCCCCATACTTATATATGCTTTTCTTAATGGATAATTGGATGTTTTAAAGCTAGCTAATTAGCATTCATAATATGCCCAATGAGTAGGGAGGGATCCACTTTTTTCTTTGTGGGTCTCGGGAAAGATAGTAGGTCCTTTCCCAAATTCACTTGAGAGGGGAATGCATGATTGGGGGTGTGGATTCCTTGATTCTCCTTCAATATGAATCAAATAAGTAATGAAGGAATCAAAGAGTGTTTTTTAAGTCAATTTGTCCTTATGAGATTAATTATTATAATCGATTGTTAATTTACACATCAAGTACATACATCATAAGATTTTCATGGCAGTTGGCAAATTAGTATTATATGCGAACACAGTTATAGCCGTTAAATTGACGAATTCACTTTTCTCTACAAGAACATAAATTAGAGTACAAAAGTATACCCGCATATAGTAAGAATTAGTACTATAAGCATAAGATAATCAATTGACGCATTAACTGAAGACTTTGGAACCCATTTTCCCCCCCTCATCATTCTCCTCAATTTTGTTAGCGTTTCAGAGTAAAAATATATTCCATATGGATTGGATTCTATAACATCTTCCTTTACAGATGTTTAACCATAGGGAATGCTGTGGCGTTGCTTCTTAGTATGTTCTAAAAGGGTTTCAGGCCTCTTAGTATGTCTCATCGTTATCCATATCTCCTAGATGCACCCCTAGATGAGATGCCATAACTTTGATCAAGAAATTGACACGTGGATACATAAGAATGAGACAGGTGCCCCTATGGCCCCTAGTGTTATGTTCGTTGGACGTGTCCACATTTGGTGCACAGAGTACATTGGAGAAGCTACTAAGACCAAAATTTGAGGATTATTCAGATATTTAAAATATAAAAAAATAAAAAAACTAATTAAAAGATCAATTTTAGTACGCAATCTCTGCCATAGATAGCCACAAATATAATAAGCAATCGTACCATTTTTATTATTTTTTTTCTCTTCTTTTTCTTTTTTGGGTGGCCATCAACACCAAACAAGCCTCAGTGCTTGTATCACATTTTAGTGATATGAATGGGTGGGTATTCATAGTACACGAGCACTGATCATCATGAGCACATGTGATAGAAACACACTTATGAAATTTGCGCATAAACTTTATCTACTTTTTATCCTTTTAATGAACCACAGTTTGTAATGGACAATATCTAGTTGCATCTCGTTGTGTTGTGACTAACGAATTTTCATCATACATGTCATAATTGGAACCCTTTATTTTTTATATGCGTCGAACAAATCGACAATTTTAATAACAATTAAAATACTCATGATGAGCCGCTCATTTAGTTGATACATAAAAAATAAATAATTAATCTCCAGTTTAAATAGTGAATTAAAAAATGAATTATAACATGTTTATAATAAATATTAGTTAATCACAACTGCGTGAACAATGAGGTGCACATGTCCACTTGGAGTTTGCTTTAATTCCTTACTTATAAGAAGCTAAGCAATGTTCTATATGACACATCCACTGCCACGTGCTATTTTGGTATGAGGTATAAATCTTTGTGTTTTTGTGGTCCATATCCGAATGAAGAAACTTTTGAAGTTTAGCTATAAAGGGACACAGCACACGGAGGAGTTAGTACAAAATTTGGATTTGTTATTGAGAATAGGCAAGCAACTTATTTGTACATCTGAATCTCCAAAAATATTTTGTGCACCTGATTTGTGTAACAGATGTAGAAATTTGGTCAAAACGTCTCATTTGAAGTATCAACACTTCTTCTGGTGTATGGTTTAGGGGGTTTGATTGGCCCTAGGGCCCCTAGGGGTATGTGCTACTTTTTTTATAGAGGGAAAATGTGCCTTGACGAGCAATAATTCTGGTTAATTATTGGGTTTTCATTTGTATGAATGAATTGCTTGTTGGAAATTTTAACGGACTCCAAAAATCCCAAGGTGAGCCATAGACTTTGTGGTGTGGGTCTTTTGTTGGACCATCTGTTTGCTTCTTTTGAATGTTCAATGGCCTACCACTGTCCACAACAAACATGTCCCGACCCCTCTGTGGCCATCCAGTGACAAAGGATGCTTTCTTTGTGCCATGTTCCACCACAAATAATTAAAATTGAAGTTGCCAACAAAGGTTGGTTGAGTTGATAAGAATCGTTCTCTTCGCTATTAAGACCTAGGTTTGAGTCATACTGCTGACAATCCCTCTTGGTGGGTAATCTGTAAAAACCTAAAAAGGGGCTAAGACTCCCTCTGTAAGTCTTCAAAGAGATCTTGATATGCCTTGACTTTGTCCTAGGAGCCGCCATGTGTTCATGAACTTAAGCCATATAGGTCTTTGTTGAGAGGGATCGATCAAATATGGTACAAATAGAAAGGAAAGAACCATGGGTGGGACAAAGAGAGTTGTCACTACATTTGATTGTCACTACATTTGATTATGGATGGCAATGGGTTGAATGGAGGGTGGGTATACCATTCCCATCCCAATCCCCATTAAGCATTTTTCCTCCACCTTACCTTCATACCTGCAATATTCAAATTGGGGATTCCCAATCCCCGCTTTTGTTGGGGAACGAGTTCCCCGACCCGCCCCATAACGAAAAAAAAAAGTCAATAAAAAACTACTTTGTTGAACGAGAAAAAAGCACTATATGCACAACATATCTATCAATTCAATTTTTATTAACTAAACTCTAAGACTATTTAAAAAATAATTAATACATGTCAAACTACATGTCCAAGACATCATCCATCTTAATAATATATTTATATGAAAAATGAATTATATATATTCTAAATGGGGCGGGTTTGGGTCGGGAATTAGAATACCATCCCCACCACTCCCTGAACACCATACCCGAAAAATAACCTGTATATGTCTTCATACCCTTTTTTTATCCTTCATACCTAACCCATTAAATCGAATGGGCAAAGACCCTTACCTGTTGAGAAAACTTCAATCTCTACAATTGATCAAGGGTTGGGTTTAGTGGTCTGTCATATTTCTTCTGACCATAGAACAAAATATTGATAATTTCGCGGATATTTCGGCGAAATTATCGTTTTTTTGGGACAGCGATATTTTAGCACATTTCCATATATATCGTCAATTTATCGATAATTTTGCCGATATTTCAGTAACGATATTTTCGTTCAAGTTGCAACTTTAAATGGACAATATATTGCGATATTATTGATAATATCGCGATATGAACTTACAAAATTAAACTCAACCTTCAGATGAATCCCTCAGCCTCTGAAACTCAGCCTCTCTCTCTATCTCTCTCAACTCAACTCTTAACTCAACTCACGGAAAAAAAAAAAAAAATGGAGTGGGTTTTTATGTTTTGCTATTTTGGATTGTGATGAAGCGAGAGAGAAGAGGGAAGAGGAAGCAGGGAAAGAGACGAAGAGATAGAAGAAGAAAGAAAAAAAAACGGATAGAGGAGAGTGAAAGAGAGAAGGGAAGAAGAGGGAAAAAAGGTATGGAGAGGAATAAATAAATAAAATAAAAAGGGAGAGATGAGTGAATGCCCAAAAGAGAGAGAGAAGGCAGGTTGCGTGGTGAAAGTACTTGGGAAGTGGGAAATGTGACTTAATTACTTAATATAATTTATTTCTTTTCTATTTAATCCATTTAATGTTATTGATTATTTTATTATTCATTATAAGTACTTACATTACTAATCTCTATAATCATTTTCATTATTTGCTACTTAATTCTTCCTTGGATAAATTTATTTATGTTCTTAGTTAATTTTCAATTTTCACTATTATTTTTTAAGCATGATAAAGTACCTAATTTTCATGAAAAATCAAATTGGTTTACATTTTTAATTATTTTTCAATTTTTGATAAATAATAAATATAAAAATGTGTACCATGTCCAATGAATAACGTGAAATAAATTGTTGCTTAATTACTTAAATTTCTATAATCATTTTCTTTATTTCCTATTTAATTCTTCATTGGATAAATTTATTTATGTTCTTAGTTAATTTTCAATTTTCACTATTATTTTTTAAGCATGGTAAAATGCCTAATTTTCATGACAAATCAAGTTGGTTTACATCTTTAATTATTTTTCAATTTTTTGATAAATTAATAGATATAACAACGTGTACCATGTCCAATGAATAACGTGAAATAAGGTTACTCATGTTTCTTATCATGCAATTTATAAAGTGTAAAATATTGTACTAAAAAATGATAAATAAATTACTAAGGGGTGTTTAATTCTCTTTCATTAATTACTTCAGATTTTCTAAGTCACAGAGTTTGTCATGTCACAATATAATCAACTTAAATCACAGAAACCCACTATGCAATGCATTTCCTTCCAATTTTTTTTTGTCAAAATAATAGATGATTGGCTAAATAAACTTCTTCTAAAGTTTCATTAAAAATTTCCATGTATTTATCATAATTTCCGTGGTTTTTATCCAATTTTTATTGATATCGATACTTTCCCTATATTTCCATCAATATTTCTGTGTTTTTGACCACTAATATTTCCGAAACTATCAATATTTAAGATCTTGCTTATGACTTATGCTTATCTGTTTTCGGTGAGTCGAAATTCTAAATGAACTCACCAAATAGGTCAGGGCTGGCTAAGCTTGAATTTGTTAGGCCTTGGTTGGTTGTTGCTGGGCCTATGTTTTCCATTTTGATTTGGGCTTATGTAACAACAAAATATGGCCTCAAAGTATAAGAGCTTGTCCCAATGTGCTCTCTCGTTATCTTTATTCTTGAGGCCCTAAAACATACAAAGGCTCTTCTGCTTTCTTGGCCCATGAGAGTAGGCCTCGTCAATGGGCTAGGTTTTAAAGAGAATAGATAAAATAATGGGCCGGGTTGGGTTTTTAATTTTTTTTTAGGTCCAAGCTCCGCCCATGGGTTTGGCTTGAAAAAGCCTATCGGGCCGAGCCAGGATGAAATGGGCCTACTTTATTTTGTATTTTTTTAAATATTGATTTTTTTGGTAAGTTCTTTATTTTTTATGTGTTGGTGTGTTTCTACGTTTCCTTCTTCTTATTATTTTTTTCTTTTCATAGTTCTCTATTTACATTTATCTATATGTTTATGTCTTCATTGTTCATTTCATAGATTCACAATACATAAATTAAAATTTAGAAAACTAAAACAAAAATTCATATGAACTCTTGTGACATTCTCTTCACCGTAAAGCTCTAAAAGAGGACATGGAAGAAGTGCCTTCTAAGTTGACATAGTTTGATGTAGCTCCAACATTATTGATGTGGCTTAAATTCAGTTGTGACAAGGTGTTAAATATCAAATGGTGAAGCATATAATCATTAAGTTGTCTATGACATAGTGGATAAGTTGTTGATTGGGATGAAAGTGGTGGGGATTCGAAACCCCTTGTGTGCGGACTGGGCTTTTTCTTGATGGGCCGAGCAGGCCCATTAGCCCAAGGGCCGTGGGCCAAATGATGACACCTAAATGGGAGTATTCTATTTTGCAAAACATAGAAAAGGTATTGCATTTTATAATGAATTTCTAGGAAATGTTTGCCTTCTCAATTCTAATAGATGAGGTGTCATGAATCCAATGGTTCTTGAATTGGTGAAAGCAATAGAACCCACCAAAAACAAATTGTTGTATTGTTTTTTCTTCTCAAAGTCGTCTTCGTTCAACAAAATGAAATCCGTACATGATCAAATTCAAAAGAAAACAAAAATCTCTGTACATTTTAGAGTTTAAAAAAAATAATGGAAGTTCAACTTTGGCTTAATTTAAAATATACAAATTTTTCGAAGGGCTAAGTTAACATTTAACACAAATCAAGGGTCCCAATTCTCCATCTAATCAATCCACACACCAACAAAAGCAGATAACTTTTTTTTTCTTTTTTCTTTTTAATCTTTTTGTATAAAAAGAAGAAAACTTTTCTTACTACAAAAGAAGAAATTTTGGAAGTGGAAAACACACACACTTCACACTTCACAACAGTGGAAACTCACGGATATGCAATAGCCCAGCACGGTCTAGTGAACACGTCATCAACGTAACCGCTGGGCCCCGCCACTTGGTCCCACACTATTTAACACCGGGACAAGCAACTCTCCCTCTGTCTCTCTCCCTCCTTAATTTCTCAACCTCACCCCCGGAAGACTACTACAGCAAGTCTACCTAGTACCCAGACATATCGGAGAGTCTTGCGTTTCGGATATCGGACATGGCCGCTTGCGTCTCGGACACGTCTCGGACCCTATCGTGCCGAGACGGGCACGCAGCCTCGCAGCTGAAGCTAATTTCGATAATCGTCATCTTCATCACGAGCGTCGTCGGAATTTCGTCGCCGGTCCTCCTGTCCCGCTACTTCCAGGGAAAGCCCGCATACGACAAAACCACGCTCCTGATCAAGTGCTTCGCGGCAGGGGTCATACTCTCAACCTCCCTCGTCCACGTGCTCCCCGACGCCTTCAGCGCGCTCTCCGACTGCCGCGTGTCCTCCCACCACCCCTGGAAAGACTACCCCTTCTCGGGCCTCGTCACCATGATAGGAGCCCTGACGGCGCTCCTCGTCGACCTCACGGCGACCTCCCACATGGAATCGCAGCCCGGCGGCGGCCACAGCGGCGGCCACCACGGGCAATACGAGGTCGTTCCGATGGGGGCGAAGGAGGAATTGGGGGGGAAGAGTAGTAATAGTAGTAAATTGGCGATGGATGTGGAGTCGGTGGCGGGGGGTGCGGAGAGCAATAGCGGTAGGGTAAGTGAGGAAACGTTGGTGAGGCTGAAGCAGAGGCTTGTGTCTCAGGTGTTGGAGATTGGGATTATTTTCCACTCGGTGATTATTGGGGTCACTTTGGGGATGTCACAAAATCAGTGCACCATTAGGCCTTTGGTTGCTGCGCTTGCGTTTCACCAGATCTTCGAAGGCATGGGTCTTGGGGGCTGCATTGCTCAGGTAATTAAATTCATTAACTCTATCCATTAATTAGAAGATAAAGAAGAAAGAAACGATTATGCCATCACATAGATGTACAAGTGTGCGGCTTAACAGTTACAAACTTTGGTTCCCATTTATCTTTTTTCAGCTGATATTCTCTTTAGAATTAAAATGAGTTGGTCTATTCTAGTGAAAATAGGTCTTCACATGTAGGCGAGTGATGTTAAGTTCGAACTTACATAGCACTTTGGTAGTTTGTGTGAGATACTTATTCTTTTGTAGTTTAGATTATCGCTTATACTAAAAATAATTATTTTTTAGAATTAAAATATATCAAATTTCGCTTTAATAAAATATATGAAAAGGCAATTTGGGTTTTGAATTCATTCCATTATGAAAAGAATGAGTAAAACAATGAAGAAGTGTTTCGTGGTGAATTTAAACTTTAAAAAGTAAAGAAAGAAAGAATCCACAAACTAATATTTTACAATATCAGAAACTAATAGCCAAAAATAACGAAGCAAATCGGTAGGATTCTATGAATATTCTAAAATAGACGATGTAGTGACAAAAATCTCAGTCCCCCGTGACAGATATTGACGCGTGGCTTAAAAAAATTCTCAGACCACCTGGAATGAATGCTGCTCACTTTAACAAACTGAAGTGCTTTACATGTATGCGGAAGTGGGTAAAAATAGAACAGTTTGAAAACTTCACATTAACATCATCATTTTTCTTTTGGGTACAGAATTGAGATCAATAATTCTGATGGGGTGAGTTTCAATTGTGGAATTCCTTAAAGTTTATTTGTGAGACACCGTTGTAGGGTTAATTTTTTTCTTATATTTTAATCATCCGAACTGTTGATCAAGGGATCCTTGAATAAAAGGGACTGATTAATTTTGATAAGAGTATCTGACATATATGGGTTATGATATTGCAGGCAGGTTTTAAGTTGGGAACAACAGCCTACATGTGCTTCATGTTTGCTGTGACAACACCAATGGGGATAGTGTTGGGGATGATCTTATTCTCAGTGACAGGTTATGACGACAGTAACCCTAATGCCCTAATCTTGGAGGGCTTGTTGGGCTCCTTGTCCTCTGGTGTACTTATCTACATGGCTCTCGTGGATCTTATAGCCCTTGATTTCTTCCACAACAAGATGATGAGCTCTGATTCATGGCTGCGAAAAATATCATTCATTGCTCTTGTTCTCGGCTCTATCTCTATGTCCATCCTCGCCCTTTGGGCCTAAAATTTTCTCCGTTTTGCAAATAAAATCAGGCCAAAAAAATCATATCATGGGTTGTATAACGTGAAGTGTGAAATGTGAAATGTTCATCGATAGGTACCCAGTAGCACATATTGTTGAAATCACATCCTCCTTTGTATCTCTGTAACAAGAACTAGAGGAAGTAAATGAAAAAAAAAAATGTCAAAATCGATTAGGCGACCAACTAGGCAAGCTTGTGAGTAGTAGTGGTACGTACGTACATGTACCATCTGGTGAACACGAATCAATCTTTTGATAGAGATGGAATCCACTTATATGAGATGTGGAGTGTGAATTGTGAAATGATCAACTTACCAAAGAACTTTGTGCAGGCTTATGAATCTTCTTAGTCTCTGCTTTTAATTTTTTTTATTTGTTTGACGAGGAAGGGTTTTGAACTCAAGTGAAACATGGCGGGTACACAATTATGACAAACTGACCTAATTCATATCTGCGTATATATATAGTTATTTCTTGTTCTAAGTGTATTAGAAGGGGCATTTAGTTGCTTCACGAATTTTCTTATTAGGATTGAAATATTAATTCTGGGAGTGAAAACAATAAAAAAGAATTACATATTTTTGTTGGTAATGGATGGTTTAGAAAGTAGTGAAGGACGTAATGGGTTTGGTTAGTGGTTTAGGCTCATGCCACATCGTTGGCCCCCCCACACTCTCTTTATCTTTGCTTTAGTACCATGCACTCTTCCAGTTTCTGCCTTCTATGTCATCTTCAACTAATAAACACTAAAAGCAAAAGGGCATGCAGATTATACAGATTGATACGTTTGTTCAGTGAGTGTTTCAATGGACAGCGTCTTTATGAGCCAATGAACTTCTTCATATATTTCACTATGACCTTTCAAGTATGCATATTTAAAATACTTTATATAAGCTTACTTATTTAGAACCCAGAAATGTATTATAAGGAAGATAGAGCAAATATTTAATTGGTTAATTGGATCTGAGTTTCACATTAATAAATTAAAGCGATACCAATTGGCAAGTCGGTCCCGTAGCTCAGTTGGTTAGAGCGTTGGTCTTATGAGCCGAAGGTCGCGGGTTCGAGCCCCGCCGGGACCAATTTAATTCGATTATTTTTAATCCCTCTATATATTTTTGTTCTATTTGAAAAAGAGAACATTCTGGACCAACGAAAGGCCCATGTAGTTTGGTTTTTGTTTTTGACAATTTAACGAACAGTGAAGTTGGCCCAATATGAGTGAGAAACAAACATAAGAAAAGCTCTTCTTTATCATCTTTGGTTAGACAACAATCTCTTTATTCAAAGCTCAAAAAGCATACAATTAGTAAGCATATCGACACTCACCCAAAGTAAAAGAAGAAGAAACAGCCTGAAGTGAGAGCACACAGAAATGCCACTAACACAAATGCTCGCAACTACCTAACGCCTAGAGGCACTAGACGTGTGTATATGGGCATCTACTCAAAATGGGAGCCCAACTTGTAATCAATATAGTCTCCCTTTCTTGAATTCCAAGGTCTATTCGACCGAAAAACCGTTTTCAGATAACCAAAAACGCTTTAATTCCAATGTATGTTTTCATAGAAGGACTTGTGATGAAAGTGCTTTGTACATAAGTACTTCCGAACATACCTACACTACAGAGTACTAATAAAGCGCATATAAAGCACCCCACCGCCACAATTATCACCACCATTTATTCAAAACCAAGAGAACCTATCCAAAACCTTTACTTCTTTTTTATGGCCTCCCAAGACTCAAAACTCTTTGAGTGGCATTTCACCGACCTCAACCACTCTGACTTCCACATCTACAGCCGAGGCCTCTTGCTACTCCTCCTATTCTTCTCTCTCATCTTCACCATAACCATCTTCTTGTTTCATGCTTATTGGGCTTGTGTAGGTCGTCTCTCAACAACAACCACCTCCATGGCTGCAAATTCTGCGTCATCAATGCACTCACATGGGCTTGATGCTGCCACCATTGAAAGCTTGCCGGTTTATTTGCATCGGTCGGCGGTCATCGCTAACCCTAATGCCGGTGACATTGAAGCCACTGAAATTGAATGCTGTATTTGTCTTGGGGTATTTGAAGGAGAAGAGAAGGTCAAGGTGTTACCAAAGTGCCACCATGCATATCATTCTGAGTGCGTGGACAAGTGGCTCAGCGTTCAGTCAAGCTGCCCGCTTTGTAGATTGTCCCTCCGAGTCATCAACTCTCTCTAGATATATTTATATATACATCTATCTCTTCATTGAATTTATAATTAACTCTCCCTAGGTTTTGTACGTATATGATGATTTGAATAACCATACAACTACAATAGCTATAAATTTTATGCAAAATTTCGTCAATCCTGAATTTTGTATGTACCACATCTACTAATCATCTTACTTTTTTTTTTCTGTACTGCATATATATATATTGAAAAGGATTGAAATGAGCAAGAAATTACACGGGCATTGTTTATAGTTTTGAAAGTTGAGTTATTCTAGTGATGATTATTGGGTTCTGGTTCGCGTTTGGTGTTTAGGAATTTAGTGAATTATCCAATCCGATCTAATGTAAAACAAGCACACCGCACATGATTAAAAAAATATCACGTAGCACCACTTAAAATGAAACTAGTAAGATACCGTATATAGTTTTTATTTTTGCTTATATAACTTTACATGTATGAATCCTCTTTCAGTTGTCCAAAAAATTAAAACTAAAAATAAAGGAGCCGAAATTGTGGTTTAGACTTTAGAGGGTCCTATATATTAATTTCCTTCCATAAGTAAAAAGTCTCATTGTGTCAACGTGTCTTTTGACACAAACTCTGGCAGTTGCATATGCAAATTATTCACCAAATTGGAAATAAAAAATAAAGAAAGAAACAAAAGATAAAGTTGGCGTTTCCAAATTGCTACAGGTAAATTGCAGTGTATATGGCAGTTGGATGAGCATCCATTCCCGTACGATCAATTATGCTGAAGAATAGCGTTTTGAACATCTGTTTTTCTCAAGGAAAATATATTTCCTACAACCCATATGCCTTTTTCAGGCGGCTCCTTCTCATAAGTTAACATTGAATTTCCTATTCCATATGATTATAGGGATGTCTCGGAGTCACCTGTGTAGCAAGAAAGGTGTGAATTATACAAATGTATTAAGAGTCCATCACCAATCTTAGTCAAAATCGTGGTTTCATCATTCAAATTTCATCCAAAAGTTATATGTAAGGCTCAAATTTTATTCATACATGTATGCTCCTCGTGCAACTTTTGAATGAAATTCATATTGATTTTGACTTAGATTAATAACGGACTCTAACACGTGTATGATTCGCACTTCTTTTGCCACACGGGCTACCTTGAGATTTACCTATAATCACATGAAATATTTGTCTAATACACATATTACACTTTTTTTTCTTTATTATTATTATTTTTTCCGTAGAGACCATGATTCGTCCACAAAAGAAGGGCAATATTTCTTTGGGAAATTTAATGCAGAAGGACCGGAAGTCCAGGCAAGGATATGTATTAAATGTAATAGAAGGGCATCATGACATTGAGAGAAGAGTTCTTTCTTCTTCTTGACCATTCTCCTTCACATATATGCGAAAGCAATGGTCCAAAACATTGACCAGAAAACATGGACGACTTGACTTGACAGCACCCTTTGTCCTCGTCCTCACCCACGTCACCCACAGCACCTCTCTTCCTTCCTTCCAGTTCCACCCCACCCCCTACTACATGTTCTATTATTGATCAACCGGTCACAACCCAACTACCATATCAATATCCTCCATAAAAACGCTTGAGCTTAAACTCCAAATTCAAGTGTACATAAATTGGATTACATCTTCGTTGAACCACTAGAGTTTGATATCTGAATTCACTCCTCAAATTCATAATCCAAGTTTAATGTTATGAAAAACCAGTTGATAGTCTGATTAAGAACTTCTATAAACTCACACACACACTAAATATGTCGATATTTCTTCTAATTTAAGACGCACTAAACAAGCATGAGCTATTGCCAAAACGGCTCCATGTTAGTGTGTATGGCCTACTTTTTCTTTATATGCCAATTGATAACCTTTTACCAAATTGACAAGAGATAACCTTTTACCAAATTGACAAGAGATTACAAACTTGGCTCTAATCTAAGACTACTTTCTCAAATAGATTACAAACTTGATGAGAGAATGCCAACCAATAAGACCAATTAGTTTAGTGCAACAATGTCCAAATGAAGGAAGATGCGGCTCCTCCAATCACCCTTGTGTGTTTTCTGAACTTTGCAGCATTGTGTTGTGCCTGAAAATGGAGTGTTTGGGATGACAAGATTGGAGACTGTTTGGTCATTTTGGTGTAACCCGTGTGGTAAAACTCCCCACCATACTCTACACTATTTATAAATGTCACATCTGAGACTATCTATCTTCCTACCTTTTCATCTCAAAAACTGAAACTGACCCAAAATTTTGAGCAGAAGTCGCATCAGAAAATCATAAACAACCGGAAAGACAGAAGTGTGAACAAGTCACTCAATAACTCACGTCAACAAAAGGCATCCCTGAGACGCACCAAAAATAAACAACACACACAAAAACAGATTCCATGTATGGCTTGCTTGCTTGCAAGAAATCTATACAAATTTGGTTTACAAACAAACCCCAAATCTCTCTCTGATTTCAATCAATCATCCATTTGGTTGCTGTGATCATTCCCATTTGTGGTTGGGAAAACCTTGCTTATTTCTGGCCTGTTTCTGCTCAGCATTCTCTTCAATGAACAACCCACCGTTAATGGAGATGAGGACGAGGATGAAGAAGAAGATGAAGATGTGGGTTCAGAATCAGTTCTCATCACCCCAACACGAACAAGATCATCATTTTCAACATACCCAGAATCCAGAACATCAATTAAAACCGATTCTTCTTCACCGACCGCCTGATCCGACGTCGTATCAATCCCCATCCCAATCCCATCAGCGCTGGTCACTATCGGAGCTCTGCAAATTGGGCAGTTCATGTGTGAACCCAGCCACATATCGATGCACTCCACATGAAAACAGTGACCACATTTGGGCAAATTCCTCCCCACGTCCTTGTCCTCAAACGGGCTCAAACAAATCACACACTCCATCTCCAAAAACCCATTTTCGTAATTTCGCTCCTCCTTCTTCTCCTCTGTTTTGTACACGAACAGAGGAATTGCAGAGATTGTTTTCAAGTCGAGGCCTTTCGATGACGCAGAGCCCGAGAACCCGGGATCCAAGGTGAAGGTGTGGAAATGCTGGAACCGGTTAGGGCCGAGAACCCGGGAGACGGTCATGGAGCTGCGGCGGCGCCTGTGGTGAGCTTGGGCCAAGAACCATTTTGCGTAGACATGGAGGAGGAGGACAAAGAGAATGACGAGAAGAAGAGAGACCAAGGCAGCAAGCAAGACATTGCCGTCGTATGAGAAAATGGTGGCAAAGAGTTGTTTGAGTGGGTTGTTGGGTTGCTGCTGCTGCTGTTGCTGTGTGTCTGTGGGACTGAACATTATGAGGGATTGGTGTTTTGCTAAGTTGGTGTAAGTGTGGAGGGGACTGATGATGGGAGTGAATTGAAAACTGAAAAAGGTTAGATAGATATAATGGGGTCATATGAATGAGTGAGTTAGTAAATGAAGACTGAAGAAACTGCCAATTACCCAACAAAAAAAATTAAAAACAATGAAGAATACCCCAAAAAAAAAGGTACAAGCAATGAAGGTTGAAGAGTGCAATGTAGTGGGCTTTAGTTTTAGAGCTATGATTTTCCCGCTCCAATTTTATCCACTTACACTTCATTTTATAACTTAAAAAGGAGTGTAAGTGGATAAAATTGGATCACTAACTCAATTTGTTTATTCATTTCCGTATACTTAATAAGGCAATAGCAATTTATTCATTCAAATCTGTGATATGAATATGTGTACAGACACGTTATTTGGTGGATAAATATAGCTACATAAGTTTAACGGATGAGATATAAAGAACCCAAAGTATTTAAATTTTGTTTTTGTTTTTTTTGGTTCTTTATTTCTGTGATCTTCTTTTTTTGGGTCAAGTATTTCTGTGATCATGTGCTGCTGAGAGAGAGAATTGAGTTAACGTGAAAATGAAGAAAAAGGGGTTGTTGTGGTTGTTGTAATGGGATTAAATTGTGGGTTTTGGGGGGCGATTTGCTTGGTGTGCTCCTACATTTGCGTGTAATGGTTGCCAAAGGGTCTGTGGGTTTCAGTAGAATAATGCAAATGGGAAATAAAGTAATGGGGGAAGGGGTTGGAAGTCAAAGGAAGGATCCCTATATCCAAGGGGAAGGCCGGGGAATGGGAATGGGAATGGGGAGACTCTATGCATAATGCAACGGTAGACTCGTGAAGGCGACGGCAGCAGCGGAAGAGGAAGTATTGGATTCATGTGCTATTTCTTTAATGAAGGTGCTGGAATCCCGAGAACCTTGAGATCTATCCAATCAACCACATTTACCTTCACCTTCTTTTTTCAGTGTTTTTGTTTTTGCTTGTCTTTTTGTAATGTTGCTTTGTCTTTTGCTTGTGAGATTATTATAATTGGGGTTATAGTTAAATCGTCTCATTGTATATTAGTGTTCAAAAGAGGTTTGCTCTTTGACAGTCTTTGTCTCATTGCATAACATATGACAATCTTTGTCTCATTTTATCTATATATATAAAGCAAAATGCAGAGAATGGTAAAACATTTAAAATGCCAGAAAATGTCATTCGTTAATGCAAATATTAAGAATTAAAATTATTAATTAAATGGTGATAATATGGTAAATTCACACCTTTTCATATTAAAAAAATTAATTTTGTTTAAAAAGATAATGGATCTTATTTTTATGGAACAAACTACCCATGATCTTTTTTAATTCTAAAATAAATTTTAAATTTTTTTTATAAAAAACCTCTCATTGGCGCTGAAGCGCGTGCAGGGAGGCTAGTAATATATAAACGAATTATTGCTAGTATCAGTTGTGCATACATGATCACCTCACACAATTTGAATAATTGATAAGTGTGAATTTTAAAATAAATCTCTTAATTATGCATTGGTCAAAATGCATACTTGAAATTCAGATACATTAATGATTGACAGGAATTCATTGACGAATACACAATCACTAGTATCATTCACATTCCTAATAAGGATTTGATTCTTACCCTTCACCTTCTCTAAACCAAAAAAGAAATGTGAATGCTTGCAAGTTGCAACCCCATAAAGAGAAATTATCATTCATATAATTTGAGTTCAACAACTTCTCTAAGAAAGTATAAGCTAAATGTCATTAGATTAAATGGTCTTAAATCGTCTCGAGAAACGTACTATAATGGAATAATTTGTTTGATCAAGCAAAAAAATTAGAATAATCTTTTCTTAATGCTCTTTTGGGTGTGTTTATGTTCTCTTTTTCTTCATGGCAGAAAACTATGGAGAAAGGAGGGGCCCAGATTGTGGTAAGATTCTTCCTCTGAGGTGTCAATTCTTAGATGAGGGTTCCCATGTGAAAGTAGCCAGACTTTTTTCTGTTTGCTCCATTAATACCGGTGGATCTTTAATGGCTTCTTACTCTTTTTTTTTTTGCACGTTTTTTGGTGCTGATTTTTACTTTTAAACGGTAGGTATAGGCTCTAGCCTCTGGCTCGTGACTTCTCCCTGACCCAGTCAGTCTCAGCGGCAAAACGATTCTGTGACACACTTGGCTCTCTTTCATGAGATTCTTCACTTAGACCAGGACACCCCCTCCCCCCTCAGCGGCAAATCGATTCTGTGACACACTTGGCTCTCTTTCATGAGATTCTTTACTTTAGCCATGGCAAGGGGGGAGCTAGGGCAGCCACTATTCACGTGAATAGTGGTTGCCCTTGTAAATAGTATTTTGTGTTTTCACCCGTTGTCCTTGCTAAGGGCAGTTAATATTCATTTTTTTGTTTTATTTACAAATTTTTTTACCTCAATAATTAATTTGGATAATATTTTCGGATAAGATTTCCGGGTTCTTACATGTCAAGATTATTCATAATCGGATAAAATTTCCGAATAAAATTTTTGGGTTCAAATTTCGGATGAATTACTACTACTAAAATAAAATACATGAAGTACAACTTTAATACAAAACATGAAAAATAAAAATACATAAAAGGTATGCCAACTAATTTAATGGTTTTGATTATTTAACCAATCCGTGTTGCTAGGCCCATCATCTTGGAAAAGTCTTCTTCTCATAACATTCATTCGTTCTAGCTTCCAATATTGTTTTGTTTTAGGGGACATATGGCTTGTATCCATCGTCGTGGTTTCTCGATCCGTCTTCTCCATATCTTTTTTGCGCAAATACTCCTTTTCTCGTGCACACTTGGCTTGAATTGCCACCTCCATATCTTGGCGTTTCTGCTCCATTTCAATTCTTATGGCGTTTTGCCTTGCAATTTCCTCCAAAAACTTTGAATTATGATTGCTTGAATTACCCGCTTTCTTTGCCTTCGCAGCCTTTCGGCCAATGGGTCTCGGTTCCTTTTGGATGGGTGAGTCTTCACTCATAGGGGAATCGAGAGGTGAATCCGATGTCGTTGAATCATGGAGAGGCGTCTCATTTAACACAACGTCGGGACCTGTGGGAATAATTATGAAGCATTTACAATATTTCACCACCTCCCAACATTCATGATGGGTGAAACTTTTTTTGCCACCCCCGGTTGCACCGAACCACATCTGTGCTTGAATGAGCTATTTAACAAAAAAATGGAAATGCAAGAAATATTTAAAATATATTGGATATGCAAGTAACAAAATAAAAATAATGGAAATGCAATTAACCTTACAAATAAATTGGAAGTGCAAGAAATATGAAGAAACAATTGGAAATGCAATAAATATTAACAACATATTGAAAATGCAAGAAATATGAAGAAACAATTGAAAATGCAAGAAATATTAACAAAATATTTAAAATGCAAGAAATATTAACAAAATATTGAAAATGCAATAAATATTAACAACACATATATATATATATATATTAGGACATTAAACTTAATAAAATGAAAATTACAAAATACTTACCTCATTAGTACGATTTTCCCCACTTCTATACAAGTTCATCGCTTTTGCCAAGGCATCTCTCCATTTTGCCATCTCTTTGTTAAGAAGTTTCCACCTACTCGACAATTCCATTTCCGTACAAGACGACTCCGGAATTTTTTTCGCAAAATTCGGCATGAATTTTTTTTCCACATATGGAAAAATTTCATCTCATTGCCTGTCAAGGGACAATGACAAACTCGGAGCCAAGCCTCACACAAAGAAACATCTTCCATGATGCTCCACGCCCCTCCGATTTCAATAGAAGAAGCCATAAAAATAAGAAATAAAAATACAAGGTGAAAGAGATGAAAATGTTGAGTAATTGTACAAGTATAATAAAATGTATGAGAATTGGTGTTGAAAGTGAAGGGTATTTATAGGTATTATATAGAAAAAAAAATAAAAATTAGAAATTTTTTTTTTTTTTTTTTTTTTTTTTTTTTTTTAAATTTTTTTTTTTTCATAATTTTATTGCTGGAAAAACGCCAGCCATTGGATGAAGGCTGTGGAAGCAAATCGGAGCACTAGGGGTGTGCCACGTGGCTTCCAGCCGTTGGACCTGCGTCGCGATGACGTCAACGCACGCTGGTTCAAATTTTTTTTACTGCGTTGCACGCGCCAATGGTAAAAAAAATTTGATTACCGCGTGCTCAACTTCAGCCTGACTTCGAGGTGACGTCACCCCCCTCGTTTTGGACCTTGGGCGGAAGTTGCCTTCGGGCCAGCCCGGGTGTGGTGGGTCCCTTTTTTTTTTTTCCAACCTTGGACTAGGCTGCTTGCTAGACTTGCTCTAAGGGCAAATGAGTGGAGTTGCTCTTAGACCTGGACACCAACCCAACACCACCCCCCCTCTTTTCACGCAAAGTTTTGGGAGTCAAATAAGCTAATAGGTTAAGATCTATTCAACAACCAAGACAAACCGCGATTTCCCAGCAAAACCTTTTCCTGCTAACCCTAAAAAGGACCGGACGAATCAACGAATTTTCTTCAACTTTGATCACATTTATTAATGTAATTGATTATTTTAAGTGTACAATCACAAATTGCCAACAGAGTCTAGTATATGAAAAGAGTCTTGACTTGCAAACTAGTTGTCTTAAGTTCGAACCAACATAACACCTTAATAGTTAATAGTGTGTGTGTGAGAGAAACCTCCTCATTGTAATTAGGCTATTGTTTGTATTAATTTTTAAAAAAATCAACCTTAGCATAAGCTTTAAAAGGTCATTTTATACACTAAATAATCAACATCGTTAAAAATGAGATTGAAACTCAAGAAAAGTGGGCAGAACTGAGATTTTCTCAACCTGCATAGAGAATATTCAAATAAAAAAGAATTACATTTTTATGTCAAGACAATAAGAATTACATAGAGGTTAACCTCATTAGAATCAATCGGGGAATTGGTAGCTAG